AAAAAAAAAAAAAAAAAAAAAAAAAAAAAAAGCAATGACATGACCAATACAACCGAGGATCACATTATTCGACGGAAATGGAAGTTCAAGAGAATTAGACAAAGAAAGTCAAATGTTTGAAGGAAAAGCAAACAGGGATCGCCGTCGTCGATCAGCGGAAGATTACATGACAGCCCAACAGCTCCACGGTTCACCCAACCAACATACAGACAGCATAACGAATTTAATAATATGTATCGATATTGTATCTACTGGTATATCCAAGCCAAACAAACGGAAGTAATCGGGGAAAGAGGAACGGAAAAGAAACGAAAGATAGGAGAAATCCTGCAAACGAGTCAAAACGAGCAAACGAAAAAGCAAAGGTCCACCACATCTGTATACACCTGAACTAATCCTCCTGGTACGAAATCTTCCGCATCTCACCCAGACGTTGTCTAGCCCGAGACAGACCATTCTCCAGCTGTAGGATTTCAACCTGTAACGCGGTAATGTTAGCATGTGTCTCGGAGAATTAAGACAATAAAGGCATCTATCTTTGCAAAAGAAAGAAGAGAAGAAAGAAAAAGGGGAAAAGAAACATACCTGCTGCTCCATCTCCCGCACCTTGAACTCATGCGAGCTAAGCTTCGAATAATCCACCGTCTCCGTCTCATCCCTGTTCCGCTCTGAGATGATATCCTGCACCTGTCTCACCAGCTTGCGACATGCGACACCAACAGCCTTACTAGCGCCCTCCAGCCGATCCTGCGTCTTGCTCATGAAGCTAGCCTTGACACGACTGGCTGCGACCAGCTGCGCTGTACTAGCGGCGACATCGTTACTAGCCACAATGAGTTGTTCGGGGGAGTTGCGGCCTGAGATGACGCCGTCGGCCGTCTCGATGAGGGTGTTTGTTGAGGATGCGACGGCTTTGGCGGCGGAGATGAGACCTTCCGTCCAGCGGTTGTTTTTCTTGTAGAAGGCTGTCTTGGAGGAGCTTCCGCGGCCTTCACGGACGATTTCTTGCTGTGTTGCTGTGGCGGCTTTGATGAGCTCGGCGATGGCGGTTGTGACTGCGATTGCGGCTTCTAGGATCGAGTCGTTGATGCGTAGCTCGTAGGTTGAGAAGCCCTCGCGGGGCTTCTTCTTCATCTTGGCGAGACGCTCTGCGGCGGCTTCGATCGCGTCCGCGGCCTTGTTGAGTTCCTGGTCGACCAGGTCGCCCAGGTCGCCGCTGGTGCTGATCTTGCTGCTCTTGGGGGCGAAGGCGTCGACCAGCTTGGATAGGGACTGCAGGTCACGCTGGACTTCGAGGTTGTTGTTGATCACCACGTCCGTCTTCTTCAGGGCGTCCAGGCCCTCCAGACGGAAGGACTGGAGACCGCGGAAGAACCGCACGGTCGCTTGGGCGGACTTGCGGGCGCCGTTGGTGAGCTGGTCGGCGCTCTTGTCGTCATTGGCCAGGCGCGTCAGACCCTTGGTGTTGCTCAACACGTCGGCAACCGAGCCCGAGAAATCGGAGACGGTGCGAATTATCTCAGCGTGTGGGCTGTTCGGACCGTCCGCGATGAAGTTGTTGAACGCCGTCGAGAACTCGGTTGCAGAGGCAGAGGCCTTTTCGATTTGCGACAGCACGTACGGAGGAGACGCGTTCTGGTTACCGGCCTGCATAGAGGAGTCCAACTCGTACAGAGCATCGTCCACACGCTGCACACCCATTTGAAGAACAGAGTCGATGATGTCGTTGATCTTCGAGACGGCCCCATGCAGAACGTGGTCGATCTGCGTATCCAACGCTGTGTCGGTATCACCTTGGCTCTGCAGAGGTTAGTAGCTGAATCATTTCCCAGTAATATGAATGTACGTACCATCTTCGCCTCCTCCAACTCTATGAGAGCCTGCTCCATTCCAGATTTGTACACCTCAATCTCCTCATCCTTCTCTTGAAGAGCAAGGTCATGTTCGCGCTGACGATCACCAATCTTGGACGAGTCCTCATCAATAGCACGAGACTTGTTCCGCAAGGCTTCCTCCAGATCAGCCATCTCACGGTTGTACTTGGACAACAGAGACGAGATCTCAGTGCCCTTCGACCGCTCAGCATTCTCTGCCCGGTCAATAGCGAACCGCAGCTCCCGCTTGACCTTCTCCAACTCCTCCTTGTTCGTCCCAGTAAGACGGTCCCGGTCGTGCAAGGCACGGTCACGCTCACGAATCATATCAGCCAACTCCAGGTTCTTCGTCTTGAGCTCGCGTTCCAACTTCTCCCGGCGGTCGATCGCCTCCTGCGCCGAGGCGGCCTTGATCTTGAGACTCTTGGTTGTCTGCAGGAGATCCAAGTGCTCGTGACGGAGCTGAGAGTACAGCTTAGCCAAAGCTTCATACTTGGCTCGCCATGTGTTGACCTGCTCCTGCAAGGACCTGATCTGCTCGTCGCGCGAGGTGTTCTGCATGTTCGTGTTCGTTATGAGCTGGTTCATCTGCTCTTCCAGATCCTTCACGCGACGGTCGTACTCCTGCAACATGAGCTGGTCCCGCTCAAACTGTGCGCGGGCGTTGAGGTTCTCGCGTTCAAGCTCGGCCAGGCGACCCTGTGTATGCGACTGGTACTGCTGCTGCATGAGCTGCTCCTGGGCCAGACGCGCTTGCTCCGCCTGTAGACGCTGTTGTTCCTCAAAATCGCGCTGTGCTTGTTGCTGCATGAGGAGCTGCTGTCGTTGTTGGTCCTCCCACTGCTGCTGAAGACGCGCCTGCTCTGCCTCGTACTCCTCCTGTTGACGCTTGGCTTCGGTGCTCCAGAAGTCGTTGATGGGCTCGGGCTCGACGGCGCGCGGCTTCGGTGGCGGCGTTGGCTCCCGTTCCACCTCCCTTGCCGGTCTCCTGGGTAGAGCTGGCCGGTCATCGTCCTCGGCCAGGAGGTTCGGTGGGTCTTGAGGCAACTTCGGGATGGTAATAAGACTGGTAAGGTAGCGCAGGTTCGAGCACTCGTAGTAAAACCGAACAAGGCGATAGTGCTGCGAGTTGTATCGACCCCGAAGCGGCTCCAGCGCCTCATCATCCCCAGTAGTAGTATGCATAGCCCTCAACATACTAGTAATAAACTTGTAAATACCATAACTCTCTTGCACAAGCGGCACCAGCGCCGAAATCCGACACTCATTGTTCGTCCCGGACAGGAAATGCGAGAAAACCAGCTTCTGGAACGCATCGATCTGATCCTGCAGGTTCATGAGATCGTTAATCGTCTCATAACCCTCGTTCGGATCGTTGATCGACTTCAAACTGATATACTCCTCGTACTCGAACAGACCGTTGAACTCAGGGTGGTCCCGGTGGAAGTTCAGTTTCGACTCGAGGAAGAACACATATTCCCGGATGATGGGTCCGTATCCGCGGATTCCCTCGCCGGCAACACCGCGCATCAAGCTGTCCACCCAGTTCACATGTTGTTGTGCTTCGCGGACCACAATCGGGTGTCCTTCCTGCAGAACCTTGTGTATCGTGATGAGGGCCTTGAACGTCTGGACTTCGTCGGCGAGGACAGGTTGTCTGTTCGAGGTGACAGCAGTCGTTAGCCCACGTCCCCCAACACCATAATTATTATACCGCCACGTACACTTTCATACCAGCCCAAAAGGCCGCCGACGACTTGTGGTCCCATGTGTAAACGATGCAACTGCGGACATGTTTCCCTAGACGAATCAGCGGAGTTCGGAGGATAACGACAAGGAGTTCGTACGTTTAGGAGCGGTTTCCTCTATAATTACAAATATTAGCTTCAATCCATCTAAAACCTGACAATATAACAGCAGTGGTCACGCTACTCACCAATACTGGTAGCTTTGCGGATGTTAATCGCCAAATCCGCCTCCGTGCTGGCCACAAGTTAGCTCATATGCTCCCTCTTCTCTTCCTCTCTCTCCATCGGAATATAATAACAACATACCGACTCATTTTGGTGATGCGATTCGTCAGTGTCGTGGAGGCTCAGGGGAGTAGAAGACGGAGCGGAGTACGGGGAGCAGTTGTAATAATAGTAGCTAGCTGGTGGGCCCGAATCCCGAGCGGCCACGGAGAGCGCTGACGCAACAGAAGCTCTAAACAGAGAATTAACAGAACAGAACAGAACACTCAACAGGGTATGAAGAGAAAAGAAAAGTGTTGGAGAAATGACGTTGAAGAACGTTGACGCCTGCGGAGTACGTACTGCTTGCTCCCTCGCGCTTGGCGCAACAACGCGTGGCAACCCTGCCCAATCCCCAGTCGGGTACAGGGTCTTCTGGAGGCAAACATGGTTCGGGCAATATACCCCTGGTATTGGAGGCTACAATTATGGCTGTCACTGGAATTGTAAGCTACACTCAAGGTCGCGATATTGAACCGGAGAGCATACACCTCCGGTATGGTATAGATACGATTAGGGTGAGGATTGGGTAATTATACTTCGGATTTAAGCATGATTGAAGCTCCCACGTAGTCCAGCTTTACAAGTACATATATAACCAATACGCCAATTATCATGATTGCCATATATATGTAACTCAAAACGCCCGCTCAAAGTACACAAATGCCTGCACTGCAGAGCTATCACAAGGTCGATAATGTTGTCACTTCTCATACAATCCAGTCCAATACTGCCTATGGGAAAAAGCCATCCGTCGCCGATAATATCTCCATCCCATGAGGTGTAGACGGTCGAGCCGCAGGTGGAGTATTTTGACTAGCCTCCTGGCTCTTCGGACTCTCATTTGCCTGGCTGGGAATATCCTGGCTCTCAACCGGAGACTCGGACGGCTCATCTTCGACAGCCTGTTCTGCACCCTGGCCCAACAACCCCTTGCTTGGATCAAGGTCAGCAGCCGGACTGTCCGGCCCCGAATCAAGAGGTGCTTCGATCACCAACAAGTCCTCCGACTGATCAACAGATTCCTCAGAGCTCGACACAGGCCTCCGTCTGGGAAGTGGTGGTTTTGGGACCGGTCTCTTATTTCCCTCACGTTCCGGCAGTGAAGGTGGAAGGGGCTTCCGTTTAGTCGAAACGGAGTTCCTTTTGAAGCCACCATACCTGTCCGGGTGTGGAAGCGGTGTTCCCGGAGGAGGGAGAGGATGGCCACGTCCAATCGGCTCTTCTGGGGTACCGGCAGGCCGAGGGGCATCCTGTCCGGCATTCTGCTCTCCTCTGCCAAGCATATTCAGTCCCCATTTCTTCGCCACGGCAGTCGCTTGCCCAAATGTGATAGAGGCTTGCGATTTACTGTCTTCAGAAGGTGTCATGGTTTTGGTGAGGCTATCGAACGTGCCGCGTCGTTTTGTCTTCGTGCTGCCTATTGACGTGGTAGTTCCTACTGATGTAGTCGAGGTGCGAGCAACGTTTGTTAGGTTGACGGACGAGCTGTTTGGTCGATGTGAAGATGGAGGGCGCGATTCACTGCTAAGCTCGCCAACACCATCGAGGGACTCCAAAATAGATGGTTCGCGACTCGGGGGCAGAGTCGACGGCACCTCCGGGGGAACCAGACTCTCCGTAGCCGGGGTACTGGCGGCTGTTTTGTCTGGCGAACTAGGTGGAGAACGGTTGGAAATCTCGATCATAGCACTGGTAGCGCTACTCTTCTCCTCGCTCTTACCGTCATTAACTTTGTCGATTTTCGCATTGTCGGCCGTAACCACGGGATCAGCAGCGTTGGAAAACGTCTGAGACCGAATCGCTCGTGGCAATGGAGCCAGCTTGTCAACACCAGACGAGGATGCAGTCGGGCTATTTGGGTCCTCCGGGATAGATGACTTGGAGCTTTTGCGGGATTTCACAGCCGCAGGAACAGGTTCGGAGAGTACCGGCATACTCATTGTACGGTCATCTTTCGATTTGAGCACGTTCAACGATTCATCCTTGTTGCCTTCTTGCTTCTGAGATTCGTCTGGAATAACTGCATTCGGGTCATGTTTCGGGATTTCTCGCTCCCAGATTCCTCCACGGAACGGCTGAGAAAAGGTGTCGAGGAAGGGAACATCATCCCAGAACGGTAAAACAACACTTTCGGCAATGACCTCCCGGATCCTGCTCTCGATAGTGCGGAGGATAATGCCGTACGTTATTTGCTTTGAGCTGACAACAGGCTCAATATCCATCACCATGTTCGGCATACTTTCGAACGACATCCACATTCGATTGCTGGGAGGGGGCTTGAAGCGAAGCAACAGGTGACCCTCGAGCTTTTTCAATACTATAGCCAGAACGATGTCGACTTCCCTAGCCTTGAAACGGGGTCCCAAGTCGATGCGCACCGTGGCGGAGATTTCGACCCGGAAGTTGCCGGTATATTGAAGATCTGTTTCGACGCAGCAGTTACCATCGACGGTAAGATCCTTGAGTCTTGGGTTAGTGATAAACGGGGCCCCTTCGCCCATATCGATCTTCCGCAAGCCGATCTTGCTGATGAAGTTGGGTTTGTTGACCCGAGAGATCTTCTTGGTTATCTTTCCCCGTACAAATTCCTCCATCTCTGGCGTTTTGTACAAGGCAAGGAACAGCCTACCAAGCACTGCGTTGATCCATCTGGTTTGCAACTGCTCCTCTGAGGAATGCAACCGCTGGACGAGTGTGACAATATGCCTGGTATCGAATTGCTGGCACTTGGGTGGCCTACTATCCGGATCCCACATCTTTGCCTGGTTCTGAAGCAAGGCAAAGTAGAAGTCCTCCTTTTCCGACAGATTCTCCGAGAATAAATAGAACGGAGGCGTCGGACCACCCAGATCACCAAGGGATTCCAGTCGTCGCGAGAGACAGACAGCATTTCTCTTCAGCCAGAGCTCGCCTTCGGGGATCTTCTCCTCTTTCTCACCGCCGCAGATGCTCACATCGTGGTGAGCAAGCGAAATCACATACCGCACTTCGACTTGGTTCGCATCATCATAAAGCATAAGATGGCCATGCCTATTCCGGAGTAGTATACAATTAGCGTCCCTGCGGGGTACATAGACGAGCGACGAAGGGAGGTATACCGAAGAACAATATAAAACACATTCCTAGCCCTCTTCCCACTCTTCCCAGTCGTCTTTGCCGGCTCGATACTCGGTGTCTGCTTTCTATCAAACAAACTCCGGTACATAGTCTGATAGACGCTGGGACTCTCCGCGGCGATCACCTCCCCAGCCGGTGTAGTCCGCTCTGGCGGTTTCCCATTGACTCCACCGGGGACATACTCGCGACAAACGGCAAAGTAACCAGCCGCGACATCTGATTCATGTGTTCGATGGAACTCCTCGGCCAGTGCATCCGTCCCGGACTTGAGGCTGTCTTGGTCATCGGTAGGGCGGTGGAGGAGGTCTCGATCTCGCGCTTGTTCGCATTGCGGTTGTTGTTTCTGTTGCTTGTGAGATGGTGAAGTCGGAGTATCCGGGAGGGAGAGGTAGATAAACAGGAAGACCAGCGACAGGACTAGAGGGAAGAAGGTGAGTCCGCCGAGGAGGTATACGAAGAGAAAGCTGCCGACTGAACCCATCGGGACCAAGTGGATTAAAGAAGCAGCAACGAAAGCTCCATCATCATAGAAACAGCGATGCTGCTTGCTTGTTTCGTAGTATGTGTGACACTTAACTCACCAATACCTGAGCAGATAGAGATGGATAAAGTGTACAAGTAAAGGTGTCGTTTCGCCGAACAGGCCGAGCGAGGCGATGAACGCATGGGAGTATCCATACGAGGTAAGGACGTAAACCGCCCGCGGGCCAATCAGGGACCTCAGGCCCTCTGCATGACGGCATCGGGAGGGGATCATTGTTGGTCCGGGAGTCACGGGTACTTCCGCTGGTATTAGATACAATATTAGTACGGTTCAGTACAGCGGAGGCCTCGGAAGTACAGTACAGTAGCAGTATGTAGCAGTAGTATTGAGCTTCATCTCTATGAAACACTCCAGTTGCCAGTAGATTATAACCCTGGTACCACAGTCGTATCCAATTGCAGGTACAAAGTTAGTTTATGTCAGCAGGGCTAAATCTTAACTATCAGAAAGTGCATATGACATATGAACATCCTGTATGAAGCATCCCGGTACACCGTTCTATCTAGATCTATTCCCATATCACAGAAAGACCCGATACTTTTCTTTTCACATACAGCAATCAATAAAACATAAAAACATACACATGAGGCATAATAGTACAAGGGATATTCCAAAACAACAACGCCTATATGAACGGCGCTTTTTCGTGTATAAAATGGATGGTGATGGCAGTTCCTCTACTTCCGTCGCTTCATGGTCTTCTCGCACATCTCGATCAAGCCAGACCTGGCTGCACTGTCAGGGAGGTCGCTGATGGCAGCGATGGCGTTGTTGGCGTATTCCCGGGCAAGGGCACGGGTCTGCTCGACACCGTCGCTCTTGTGGACGATTTCACGGGCCTACAAATTACAATTAGTACCAAACTTTAGGTGTTCAAGGCAATTTCAAAACTTACTCTTTGCACATCTCCCTCCTGGGAGAATTTCCGGCCAACCAATGGACCAAGCTCAGGGTTCTGCTTCCATGCAAACAAAAGGGGAGCAGTTGCAAGTCCCAATTCCAGATCCGCACCGGCGGGCTTGCCCAACTCCACCTCAGTCACAGTGTAGTCCAGCATGTCATCCACAAGCTGGAATGCCAGACCCAGGTTACGACCGTAAGAGTAGGCAGCCTCAATCACCTCAGGGGCACTCTGGCTGAGCACCGCCGTCGAGCGGCACGACTTGCTAATCAAACTGGCCGTCTTCAGGTATGTCTTTTGCAGGTAGTAGGAGATGGTCTCGTCGGTGAAAACGGGGTTCTTCTCGTCCTCGGCCGTGTTCTTCAATTGCATGAACTCGCCCTCAACAAGGTTGGCAATCACGGTACCCATCAATTCCGTGACCTCAGGGTCGCGCAGACGTGCCAACGCAACCGAGGCACGTCCCAGCAAGAAGTCACCAGCCAAAACCGCCATCTTGTTTCCAAACTGAGTATTTGCGGAGTTGGATCCCCGGCGGGTAACTGCGTTGTCAATGACGTCGTCGTGGAGGAGCGAGGCCGTGTGAATTAATTCGGTAATCTCAGCCAACCGCCGCTGAGACGGGAGGATGTTCTCATCGCCTTCAAAGTCGTACTTGGCCTCGGCAGACCGAGCCACGAGCGGGTTCGTATCCGGATTCAAATCAGACAACACTTCGGACGAGGTAATCGAATCATCGACTGACGGCGCATTTGAATTCGCAGAAAGTCGTGGAGCTAGCGCAATTGCCTGGGACATGAGCAGGACCAACATGGGCCGCATGTGCTTGCCTTCGCTCCGGGTATAGTACTTGGCGACCTTGTCGAGTGTAGGATGCCCTGAGCCCAGTAATTGCCGGATGTTCTTGGTGAGAAACTTGAGCTCCTTGCCCACAATTCTTAACGGGTCTACCGAAATGCCTGGCGGTGCCTTGGGCAGGCCCTTGAAGATTGTCTGAGCAGCGGACACGGCGGCGCCGAATGGGGGTGCATCTTTCCGCCTCGAGGGATGGTAATTCCGGGACTGCAGTTGGATTTGGTTCGAGAGGTCATTGCGGAGGCATTGCCAACATATCGAGGTCGAGAGTGCAGCTCGTGATGAGAGGACCAGCCCGGAGGCCGGGGCGGTTCGAACTTTCATAGTAAGAGGGGTAAGACAGTTCAGGTCATGGAAGACATGAGAATTGAGTAATAACTGTAAATATCAGTATTCAACAATTGAACACGCTAGGGATTGATAGCTGAGACCGGTTGCGTGCTGGTGCGGGAAATCCTAAACCGGCGGAAGAATTCGAAAATCGCGGCGGTGGCATCGGACCGGCACGGAGGCTCTGCGGAGATATCTTCCCACAAGCTCTACATAGTACAAGCAATGCCCGTACGAAATGGACAGAATACGGTTAAGGATACATTTAAATAGACTACGGGGTCTAAACAGAGAGAAAAAGAAATGTTCAATAAATAAATTGTCATGCCAACGACGCTAATGAGCTCAAGCCTGCCCATTCCCCCCCATCGTACACACCGAACTGCAGACAATCCTGCCCATTGATAAAAGCGGACCGTAATGATTATATCCTCCACTTCCTAGATCATTAAATCGCGTCGAAGTCTCCACCAGCATCCTCATCATCCATGTCTCCTTCCTGAATTTCCTTGGCCAACTCACGCTCACGTTCCCGGGCTTCCTGCGCGCTCTTCAGCTCAAGACGGTGCTGGTTCATAGGGAACCTCATAGCCTATTCGAAGGGAAAATGGGTTAGTCACTGTAAATAACCAAGGTATAATCATTGCCAGAAGCTTACTTTGACGCTCTCGTCGTGGAGAGCCAAGCATGCCCGGATACGCTCGTCGAACACCTCACCAGGCTCTCTGGTGGCGTAGATGTCTCCAACTTCCTTGCTCTTCATGTAACCACTCTCGTGGTCGAGACTGGCCTCGATGACACCGTCCCGAATCGCCTTGGCAACAATGTACTCCGCCGACTCTTCGCTATCCAGGCCCAAACGGAGACAGATGTCCCGCAAGGAGATGCGAGAGTAGGACAACGACATCATCCGGATACCCGTTTTGATGACGTTCTGTCTCAAACGGAGAATGAGGGTATACGTGCCATCCTTTCTGAACGTAGCGGTGTGTGTGTTTACAATGTTCAAGAATCCATCCAAATCACCCACACTCACTGACTGAGAAAGGAGGAAGTACGGGTGCATGGCACGCTCAAGTGCGGGTTGTCGGAAAATTGCGCGGTCAGGGATATCACCCATCAGCAGTTCGACGACTACCAAGAGCTTGTGCGATGCTTGGTAAAATCCACGCGCAATATTGCTTGTAGGCGATTTCCGGGTGGCTCCGATCAAGTTGTCGTGGGCGTCAGTGTACTGCAGTTGAATAGCGCGAATACGGCCCAGGTAGTATAGATACCGAGCAATCTGGTTGTTGGATGCGGAAGCGGGGAATTGGTTGTGCGAGATGAGCAAGTCAGCCTGCGAAATGTGAGATGTCGACAGGTAGTTGCGCAGCAGCAGCGTCATCACCGTCGCCTGGGTGTCGGCATCCTTTCGAAGAACAGCAGTCCTGAGCGCTGCCAGCAGAGGCTGGCGGATGGACGTGACCGTGGCCGCAGGAGACGGGGGAAGAGGGGCGATTTGCTCGAAGAAAAGGGAGTAGTAGAAGTAAACGCGAGCAGCGAGCGAGTCAAGAGTGCGGCGGTTCAGTGTCCGCATACGCTCGATCAACTCTGTCGAAAACTTGGCACCCTTTTGGACGTCTTTCTTGTCATACAGATAGATCTGGGCAAGGATGGACAAGTACGTGTCCACCTCTGGCAAGATCTCCTTGGGAGAAGACTTGTTCTTTTCCGAGTCAACTTCCATATCCGAACTAGCCACAGCGCTTTCAATGGCACCAGGTCGATCGATGGCGTCAAGCAAGAACGAAGCCGTGAGACTCGATGGCGGGTAGGTCTCCACTATAACTTCTGAAATCACATCGGCCGTGATATGTTTGCGCATCGAGGATATCGATCGCAAAACGCGGAGTGTAAATCTGGGGTCGAATTGGGTGACGGCACGCTCGAGGAGGGCGAAGTTGGTCTTGATGTCTGTTGTATAGAACAATAGTTTTGTGCAATATTAGCCATCTTTTTCTTCTTGCTCCAAGATAAAAACAGGAATAGGACAGTGCGAATAGACTAACCCTGGATGGCCTTGACCTTGGGGTCAACCTTAGGCTCGGACTTGGACTCATCGCCCTCGTCCATCGCAACATCACCCTCCTTGTCCGGACCTTGACCGCCGGATAACCTCGAACCCTTGGTAGGGGGCACTACAACAGTCATCTCGTCACCTTCCCGCTCCTTCCTGGTGTTGATTGAGGATGTAGGCCCACCTGCCGTATCCTCTCCCATCTCGACGTCCTCAGAACCCTTCGCACCATTCTTCGTCGGATCCGAGCCGTTGGCCTGTCGCTGATCGCCCTTCCCCATGTTGGAGTCTGCGGAGCTATTCGTCGATCCGGCCTTCTTGGAAGGAGCAGCAGATTTGGACTTGTTAGCAGTAGAGCGGGCGGGCGCGGGCTTATCCTTGTTGGAACTTGGACACTGTGAGCTGCAATGCGCTTGATTATCGTTAGTGGAACAGGGTATCTCTGACTTGCTGTTTGATCTCAGGGAACGTCTCTCCGACATCTTTCCAGCTTTCGAACTCGGTTTAAGCAATGGGTGCGGTATCGGGCACAAGAAGGAAGGGATCTCAACACAACCGCCGTCCGTAAGACACCAAAAGAAGTGACTTCAATAAGAGGCGACGAGAAGCAGAAAGAAACCAAGCAATCAAAGCAAAGGGAAACGATAAGAAAGAGGAAAGTTGAGAAGGTGGTGAAGACGGGTTGATGAGGTGATGTCAAGAACGGGCGTTTGGGATGGACGCAGACAGAACAGCAGGGCTTAGTCAGGCATTGGAGGGAAGCTTACTTACTGAGCTGCAGAAGATGCCTTGACAGCGGCAGGATAATTTCTGAATTTGTGGGAGAAAATACAGTGGTTAGATAGAAGGTATTTTGACCGGAGATCAGTCGCCGTAGCTAGTGAGCTCTTTGCCTTCTTCACTCGTTCCGGTTGCTACGCGTTGCCACCTCTCAGTAACTGTCGACGCCTCAGGCAGAAACTCCCGCTTTTCTTGGCAAAACAACAATAATGCGGCATAGAGGAACTTGTATACAATTAACTGTCAGACTTCAAGCTCAACATGTCGTTGCTTGCGAATCATCTGGAGCAGATTGCTCTCTCTTCCAATGCTATCGCTGATCTCTCGTAAGATCTGGTTGTCCCTCGTTCATTACAGTCGCATTCTAACCAAAGACGATCCCAGATTCCCCCCACCACGGATCTTCACGAACTCATTGCTGAGCTCTCCCGACATTACGTCTCTGATTCGCGACACGGAAGTTCATGAGCGCGCTCTTTTCCAGATTGACCCAGCCGCAAAAGCCTCCAACCCGTCCCAGAGACGAGCAACCCGGCGGGGCACCACCTTTCAGCCCGAGGCGGAGAGAGAATCAATGGCTAGTCGGATCTATGCTGCAAAGAACAATCGAAACCAGTCAGCTGTGGCGAGAGTACTAGGATCTGATATGATGGAAGAAATCAGACGATCAACTGGCACGTCAACGAGAGGGCCTCGTGGTGAGGTGAACATTGACGTTCTGCTAAGAGGTGCAGAGATCCTTTGCAATGTCTAGTAAGTGCTCTACTCTTTGTCTACCCTGCTCGTTGATCTGACATCTGACCACGTGATTAGTCCGGTTGCTGGTGCGCAGGACAAGATTACTAGCCTTCGATACCGTCACGAGATAATCTCAGGCTCCATTGCCAACCTGGAGGAACGGGTAGCGAGAAACACGGACGAATTAGATCAGATGAGAGGCTCCTATGGTGATGATGACGACTACGACAATCCTGCCCTCTCGCAAGCGGTGACTCCAGAGGTTACCGACGATGATATTGAGCGAGAGCTGGAGGAGATCAGAGAACTCGAACGAAGAAAACGGGCTATGGAGGCTCGTGTCACAGGCATGGAAAGAGACCTGGGTGGCTTGATGGAGTGATCCTGACATTTGCTCGCGATGGACATACTTACGAACAACATTTGGACTGACCTCGACGCCACGAATTAAACACCCTGGTCTATTTGGGATACCTTCACCAGCACACGCCATTACCCAACCGCCTCCGCCATTTAGCCTCCTGCTGCTGATTAGGTCTAGTGCGTGGGATAACAGGTCTTTGATGCAGAGGGTACTGTCTCATTAATCTACACGAAGACCACTGTTTCGACTTCATCTGGTGGTCGCAATGATCACATCGACCCTTCATGGTCTGACAACATCTATAGATGGCTACAAGGTGCACCACAGCAGCACTGCCTACAGGGCTATATCGCGCCGGACTGGTGATATTCAAAGGGTATCAACCTCTGTCAGTCCTGCAGCCATGCTGTCAACACGTGAAACCGGTAGTGGATATTATTTTTCTCTGCTAGATCTCTTATTTGCGGCAAAATGCAAAAGATTGTTGTCATATAGCAACTTCCTTGTTAGCTTTGTGTTTTTGGATGAATAGCCTAATGCAGAACAATAATACGGATTCTCGAGAGCAATATAGCTTATTTGGAATCAACAAGTGAATATAATTAGAATAACAATTAAACAGCAACAATGGACGATAGACTGTAGTACTGTGAAAGATGCCAAGCCTGAGGCTCTTCTCCGCCATCGCTTGACGATCCAACATCACTTCCGTGACCACTGCTGCTGCTTGCGATCCGCGACACTCTTGGGCTTCGCGTCTCACGGTCGGTGTGCTTTGCTCTATCTGTGCGCGATACGATCTCGTTGCATTTTCTTATTCGATTCCATTCGTTGATTCCTTCGTGAACCCCCGTTATCGCTTCCGAACTCCCCTACCGACGTCTAGACATCAACCGTCAGCATACGTACGACCTTGCCTCTGTCTCTCGCTATTTTATCATTAATAGTTCGACCAACATGGATGGCTCTCAGCCGCAAACCAACCCTACGCAGAACAACCAACCGATGGTCGCACCCCAACATTCGAATTTGATCCGGACCGACCAGGTACAGAAACTGCCGCACCTTAATGAACAGCAAAAGGCGCAGCATACCCAGATAGTACGCAGCTTCTGGGAGATTTTGAACACCCGGGATCCGCAGAGTACCGAATACCAGTCCGCGCATCTCAAACTCGCGCAGCTTTCGCAGACCTTAATGAAGGGCATGCGACTCTATCAGGCAAATCGCCAACAGCAGATGCAACAGCACCAGGCGGCTGCTGGGGTGGCACAGGGCCAGCCGGTTCAGCGCTCTCAGTCAGCAAACCCACAGTCCTTCGGGCAGCTTTTGCCTCAGATTCAGCAGAAGGTTAACAGCTTGAACTTCTTTTTGCCGCCGAATATCAGTCAGGAGCAGATCCAGAGTTGGCTGCCAGAGGCGCGGCTACGGTACGGTATCGCGCTGCAGAAACAAGAGCTCGGTCGGGTACGGATTGCTGAGCTGCGCCAGCAGTTCAGTCAGCGACAGACTGCGGGCAATCTGAGCCAGGAGGAGGTGCAGGATTTCAAGAACCGACAGCTTGCGTCGGAGAAGCTTTACCGTGAGGGAAGCGATTTTCTGAACAAGTTCAAGGAGCAACAGGAAGGGTTCAAGGCTCAGCAACAACAAAATCAGCAATTCAACCGGACAAACGTCCAAAACGTTCAAAACGTTCAAAACGTCCCTCAAGCGCAAGTGCATCCTGCCCAAACGGGAGAGCCAGCCGCGGCCGCCACGCCAGTGACTGCTGGTAGTGACAATCGCCCTGTCAACGCCGCTCCAGGAACAATGAATCAAGCACCTACCCCAGCCCCTCATACTATCAACTCCGCTGTGAATGCAGCACGAAATCAAGCGGGGCAAGTAGCCATGACCCCAACGGCTTCACAGCCTGGGCAGGTGCCACCAACTGCACAAGCACCAGGGGCCGCGCCTACCACCACACCTGCTCCTCCTCAACAACCAACACAACCCCAAGCGCCGCAAGGCACTCAACCGCAAATGACATACCCCCAACCACCAAACATGAACGGAACTACGCCCACTCCCACTACCGCCCCTCAACCGATGAACCAGCAACAAGTACCACCGCGTCCTCTATCCCACCAAGCTGCCATGAACCAGGCAGCCCAGACCTACGCCAACACCAACGCTCCTAGCAGCGTAAATAACGCGGGCAACATGACCCAACCCAGCATGACCCAACCAGCCGCCACAGCAAACCAGGCTGCGAATAATGCAACTACCCAGGGCTACATCCCCAACCGCGCCACTGAGAACTCAGCCCGCAACATTAACATGGCTATCCCTAAAAACCTTAACGTGCCCCCGCCAGAGCCTGTCGCCATGTCACCTGCTCGACCAACCCTGTCTGGTGGCCCTAGCCACGGAGCGATGGGTATGATGGGCCAGCCCGCTATCCAGAAGCACCCTGGTTACGTCCTGGAGGGCGAGGGTCAGCGCGTCCTCAGCAAAAAGATGCTCGACATTCTCGTCCGTCAAGTCACCGGTGGAGGCGAAGGTGAAGGACTCACACCAGACGCTGAAGAGGTACGTACCCTTTCTACTCCACTTTACCTCACCATACAAGTATACTAAGTGAATGACAGTTTGTCCTCCAAATGGCCGACGACTTCGTCGACGACGTGATAACCGCAGCCTGCCGCCTCGCCAAACTCCGCCCCTCCTCTACCCTCGAACTCCGCGACATCCAACTCGTCCTCGAACGGAACTACAACATGCGCATCTCTGGTTTTTCCACCGATGACCTCCGTACCGTCAAGAAACCTCAGCCGACGCAGGGTTGGACACAGAAGATGTCTGCTGTTCAGGCGGCCAAGGTTACTCAGGGCAAGGCCGAGTAATCCCTTTCTGGTCTCCTTTCCGTTATGAGAGTCTACTTTTTCTCTTTTGTTATGGTTCGAGTTTAGCCGGCGTCGATGGGAGGTTATCTCTTTCACTTACGCTTTTCTGCTTTTTGGATTGATAGTGGGATATCATCGTAAAACTGTTATTTGCTTATAGGTCAGGCCAAGTCGAGTCAGGGAACGGGGAATTGCTGCATGTACAATTGGCGTTTTCTTTTCTCTATCGGTTAACTTGTTACCCAGAATGATTGGAATTGAATGATATCAAGTCACCGCAACAATACATGTACACTCACCCAATTGGATCATCCGAATCGACCGTGGGTGTCGTCTGCCGCCACTTGGATGCCAATAAAGACAAATAAAAGGGTTCATCTCTTTCTTAGAAAAACAGCACTCAAATAAGTGCAATTGTCCAGTGTAAACACAGCTTACGATAGTCTGGCAGGCGTAAGAACGTATCACAGGGGATATACATTGCTCAATGAAGGATCTAGTTCGCCTAAAGAGGCTTAACATCCGAAGTTTGACCAATCTGTAGCACATCAATGGCATCCCAGGGTTTCTGTATCTCACCTCCAGTGTTCCGTGCCCTACACAGAAAGGTTGGTACACCGAAAATCAGCCTGCCACCACCCTCCAACGAAATAAGTTAACTGTCAATGAGAGCATCTCGATCCCGAGGGATGACTCAATCTGATAGTGCTCTACAAGGCATATCGAGCTTGTTGCTTAGATGATCAATTGAATGAAACAATCTTACGTTTAGGCCAATAATTTGGTAATACAGCCACGGAGTGATGTAACGCAAGCTCTTTTTTATCCTGGATTTCGCCGAATACAAATCATCCAATGTAACATATCTGGGAACTTTTTCTGGAAATGGTGATCCTCTGTAAGCTCGATTCACCGAAGCAGATTGCTCAAACGTATAATGCACGGACGTTGATGTGCTGATATGGGAAGGTGGAGGTCTCTTGTTGGGCAACAGCCCTAGAACAGGCTCGTTATCCTTTAACGATGTCGCTAATCTCAAACGTGGATCCTTGGCGCTAGGATCAGGTCTTCCCCTGAGCAACGGTTTTGGAACAGACCCCTTCAATAGCAACTCAAAAATTTGTGGCGCATGGTTTGCAACTGCCCATGACAATGGAGTACGGCCGTTGTTGTCCTTGGAGTCTGGGTCTGCCCCCGAGTCCAGCAGTAGCTTGGCTGACCTACTATAGGCCACGGTGGAGTTAGCAGCCCACGCAAGGGGAGTTTGGCCGCGGTTATCCTAGGAATCAGGATCAGCTCCCATCTCCAGCAGCACTCTGACAATAACTTCATTATCGGTTTCCGCGGCCCGTGAAAGTGGAGTACACCCACAATCATCCTTAGAATCAGGGTCAACTTTTCCACTTTGCAGTAAGAGCTGAACAATTTGTTCGCAGTCAGATGATAAGGCTACTGCGAATGAGAGTGGAATTCGACCACAGTTGCTTTTGGAGTCAGGCTCAACTCCTGCCTCTAAAAGTAGCTTAACAACCTGTGCATATTCTCTTTCTTCATGTTTGCATCGCCTCGGTAATTCCTCACCTCCCGTGCCAGCCCATGAAAGTGGGCTTCGACCATTTTGACCCTCCCTCCAGCAACAATCTGACACCTCCTGCGAAGCCTCTCTCCGCAGCATCTGATAGTAATCCCTTGCCAGATTCCAATTCGGAAGCGACAGCGCCTTTTGAAGCAATAGTTCCATCATCTCCTCGTTCTCGTTCCATACTGCCCAGTAAAGTGGCGTTCGGCATTTGTAGTCCATGGTATTCGGATCCGAATTCCAGTCCAGCAATAGCTTCACCATCCTTGTATGGTGATACGCTGCCGTATCTAGTAATGCGCAAAATCCGGAGCTATCTCTAGCATCTGGATTCACTCCCGTCTCAAATAGGAGCTTGACCGTTCCTTCGTGACCATTTGCTGCCGCCACTGACATTGGGCTCATGCCAAAGGCGCCCTCGAAGTTAGGATCAGCGCCACCCTTCAACAGAATTCTAGTCATGCCTTCTTCACCTTTCATTGTCCTCTGTATTTGGATCTGATCCCATTTCTAGCAAAGCAGTGGCTACGGCCTCATGGCCACGAATTATTGCCTGAAACAACGGCGTCCGGCCGCGTGATGCGTCTTTGGAGTTTTTGTCATCCATGCGTTCGAGTAAAAGTCTGACTGCCACCTCATGACCATTCTCCGCTGCATAGAACAAGGGAGTGTTATTACTTATATCCCCGTGGTTCGGATTAGCCCCGCGCTCTAGCAAGAGCCCGACTGTAAGCTCGTGACCGTTCGCCGCAGCCCATGACAACGGAGTTAGGCCATACTCGTCTGTTGCGTTTGGATCAGCGCCTTTCTCTAGCAAGATTTCAGTAGCGAATCACGTCTGGTATGCTTTGCCAAGCGCGGATAATTCCTTCTCAGATCCTCCAGGCACTGGTTTATGTCTAATCCATCGAGCTCATGCTTGCTCTCTAGCTTCGTCAATGCCGTAAGTAAAGCGTTGGGCGGTCTGTTCAAAGCCCCGGTTCGTTTGAAACCACCGTCATTTTCTGCCTTGCCGAGATCTCATTGGACCACCCCTGTGTACTGGTCTCCCGGTGTGCTAACCACAACGTCGCCAAGTTTAACCTTGGGAGAAATCCCGCCGCCGATACCAACCATAAGACCGATTCTTATCGACGGGAAAGTGCCGATCATGGAAGCTGCGACGGCCGCCGCTGCATTGGTGCCGATTGTGCCTTTAGGCAGACAGGCAATAACGACATTGTGGTCACCAATGGATCCAAGCGTGTACGTGTTATGGTCGCTTGATGGCTTGGGAAGGTTATCGTGTCTTTCGTCCAACATTGCCGTTGCCGCAGTTTGCTCCTTCGTCAGTGCGCAAACCCATCCCACGGTGTAGTCATTATGAGCCAGTCTCTTCAGCGAGGATCGGTCCAGTCTCCTCTTCTTATTGCCGGTATTCTCTTCGCTGCTGACCTCCCGGGCTCTCTTCGGTGCGTCTGGGTCCGCCATCTCGGTGGAGATTCGTGTCTGAACGTATGAATCGACAGGTCAGATCTAGCGGTTGCGATATTCACCTAGAAGTCGTCAATTAGTTGTCAAGAGATATACGCTAAACATGATCATACACACTCACAGATTGAACAGGGTGATAAGGAAAGACGATGTTGCGATCCCGCCAGAGGGGAATCAAGCTAAGAAGTCGGGCTGACTGCACAGCCAACTATCTTCGCAGATCTCACGCCACTTCAAGTGGCTGGGCGTGAACTTCAGTATACACGCCTTGGCAGACATCTTCGACGTTGTCCTCGATTAGGATCAGATTATTGGCCAAATGTCAGCGAAGTATGAATACGATGCTGTTATGTTGGAAGATGCGCATAGTAACTAGTACTCGTACTGCCAGATGATAATTCAGGAATGGCTATTTGAATAAAACAATAACAGAGTAAAGATGGAAATTGATGGCTATGATTAAGATATCAATAACTTGGTTGTCAATGGAAGTTTAGGAAGGTACCCCAAATAGTCACATGATATGTATGCGCAACACGTGACATATAGTGTGCATACACGGCCTACTCTTGTGTCATTAATCAGAATGGCTAATATCATACTGGATCAGCTTGGAACTACATTCCGGCTCTTAGGGACCTCAGCTCTGTGCATAGTGGTGCATAAGCAAGTCCTATCTGGTTGCCCGTTGCGGGTGCTGCTGCTCCCAGAGGGCAGCATGTGATTCCCGGAGTACTTTAGACCTCTGTTAGTGAACTTAGAGTAAGTAAATAATCTAATTCTGGGACAGTCGACGAGATTATGAAGTATCAAGTCAAATCAACCCAACGCTACATATTACCAATTCCTCTAACTTCCCCTGTCCAAGAGCAAAAAAATGGACATCCACTATGGTAAGCTAGCGCTGTCTTTGCTAGGGGTCTATCTGATCCTCCAGAGTATATACCGTCTTTATTTCCACCCTCTCCGACACATCCCAAGCTAGCCGCCATAACCTATTCCTATGAGTTCTACTATAACTGTATCCGCGGCGGGAAGTTCCGGTCTGAGATTGGGCGTATGCACCGAGTATACGGTATGTTTCTCGTTTCACGAAGAGGGACCAGTAAAATCTTGGAGTGTTCAATTAACCTATCACCGCAGGTCCCATTGCTCGCATAAGCCCACACGAAGTCCACATTTGCTTCTACCACGAGACCTATGCATCGAGTGAAAGACCACTGACTCCGTCTAGAGTAATTCGTTGTTTTCCCGATTACTCCCACATAGACTGCAAGTCGACGGGTAGTCCTTTGTCATTCTGATCTACCAAGCTGAAGATCTTCAACATGCCTTGTGATGAAACTAACGCGCATTTCTTCCAGGTTGCCGTCCGAGCCAGCTCGACAATAACCCGAAGCAGAGCTGCAAGCTTCTTCAGCTGTTCTTGATGGCTCTCCTCCCATTCCTTAAGCTTTCCCATCCTTAAGATATTCCTTTTTGTAATGCTCGTAAACATCCCAGTCTCATCATAATGTCCGGCACAGAGAATAGGCGTCTGCGAAAACCAAAGCTGTTCTGTGTTCTTGGAGACATCTAGGTTCTTTCCAACTGCTCCAGTTTTGATCTCGATAATCCGAGACGGAGCGACCAAATTCCCCCATTTTAATATTGTATATCCCGTTGGGGTCTTGTTGCTTCTCGGCGCAGGCATTCCCCTGCGAATGTCATCGTCAAAACCGGTGCATCCGTCGACTTCATATCGCAGAATGATCTTAACGTCCCCGAGCATATAGCGAATGGCCCGATTATGGGTCATGCTATTCCTGACACCCCTTGGTCGGCAGGTAGATGCCTTTTCAAATTCATGTCCATATCCCGCAAACCCGTTGATATTTGTGAGTGCTTTCGGCGTCCAGCAATAAAACAACACTGTGTCGTTGACGACCTCCACATCGATGCGGAATGAACTCTTCTTACCACTCACGAAACCCAGCAAGACCCGGAGATTGCGTTGATCCGAGACAAGGTCGATGTCATTCATTTTCATCCCGGGTTGTGTGAGAGATAAAGGCTCTGAAGAGCGGCTCGAGAGGACATTTAAGGAACACATGTCGATTCGGGTCCATCGGCGATACTCTTGAATCTGGCTTGATACTGCTTGGTGTAATTGGGGGCTTCCAGATGGAAGGGGAGCCTTGACATGATGAGCGTTATTATACAGAAGGAATATTGATCTACCCACCAGGCACAATGATTGTTCTTCGGTACTTTGGTAGTAGATTGTACGACGTTAATGTCGCTAGATCGACCTTTGTGGTAGCAAGGTCATCTCTAGGCTGGATGGAGTCTAGAGAAATCTCCCCCAAGACATCTCCTAGACCTTTGAGAAGAGGATCTTTGGGCATATTGGTGATGAGACTGGTGATGAAGGATGGATGGTTCAGCGTGCCAAGCGTAAGCACTGATGCCCAAAGCCAAGTTCTTCTGCCTGAGGCCGGCGCTTACTCTATATAAGTACCGTCTATAGGCCTGCTCGAACCGAAGATGTGTGTACTTTTGAAAGAATTATCTCGATTTGTTGTCACGACCCCGGGCATGAGCAAAACCGATGAGGCCCCTAAAGAAATCCTCAAGAAAATAATACCAACGAGAGATATCTGTATTGATATACTTACTTACAGTACTGTATGTCTTTCGTTCTATTCAATCAAACTTCTAGTGGGAGAAAAACGGAAGAAAAGGTTCAAAACAATATCAATCCAAGCCGCTCAAAACTTGCTCTCAGAACAATAATAGCAAAAACAAGTATAAAGAAAAGGAAATACGCGTGTACTCTGTTTGCCCATCCATGAATGCAACAAAAGGAAAGTGAAAGGAAAAAGGAACATGAGGGTATGGCTTGACTGAAAGTAGAAAGGGTGAAAAGGTCGAGGCAACATCGCCATGGCATAGTAAAGCAAGAGACACAAGGAAAAGAAATTGACAGGCCAAAGTTGGCATGAGCAAACAGGACGAGGCAAAGACAACACGTTATGTGATGAAAAGAGGTATTGCAATATAAGCAATAAAGATGCAATCATGTCGGTCGCCCGACATGAGCAAATGAAAAGATTTCCAATATGTAAAGGGAATGACGACGATAAGAGGAAAAAGAAAAAGAGATCTAAAGAAGGGTTAAAGTAGGTGTTAAAAAGATAGACGGTACATGATCAAACAGTTGCCTGTCATGCAAGAAAAGAGAAAAAGTCATGGGTATCTCGCGCTTCTGAGACACTGTTCATCCGCGAATCGAAACGGAAAGGCGATAAGAAAAAGGTTCAGCTGGAAATGTCGAAACGGACAAGTTGCATCCTGATAAAAAGCAGGTAGCCCCCATCCATAGAAACACACATCAGTCGTGGTAACATGACACTCTATAAAGAGCGGTTTCTAAACGAGACGAGAAATGGTGGGATCAGAGGCAACGGCAAATCAACCATAAGGACGGCGCCATTAACCCCGGTAGGGTCTGAGATTCTCGTCACGAACTGCTGCTTTGCCCTTCTCTGACATATCGAACCCATTCTGGTTGGGAATCGGTGGGAGGTCCTTCTCCACAGGCGCTGGAGGACCTTGTCGGCTATGCTGACTATGGCCCCCGACACTGCTGGCCTCGCCCGCTTCATCCACAATCGGAAGTGTCGAGGTCGGTCCAGGGCCGTTGGCGTCTGTAGGATCCCGAACTGTGGATAATGTCCGGGGATGTGTGATAGAAACATCCTTGGATGCCTCCTTTTCCGCGTGCTGCATGGTTCTTTCAACCGACGGGGTGCGTTCCGTAGATGGTCGGCCCATTGCGCGGGACTCTCGATGCCGCTCAGCTTCTTCCTTGGACATCGTAATGCCGCGGATAAAATTGATGAAACGATCACCGTAGCCTTCGGGTGGGATCGGCGATATTTGTGTTCGATCATTTGACAGGCCTTTGAAGAAATTCTCTATCCTTTTGATGGTTCCATACTGAGAACAGTTAGTAATAGTCCAGTTACAGTGACAAAAAAAAAAAAAAACCCACATGAGTCAAACAGTCAATAATTCCGAGATAATAGATCTCTTCGCCTGGGGCCCCATTTTCATGCGTAGCACGGAATCCTCCATCGTCAGCGTAGAACACGTGGTATTTCCGTTCATCGAGAATCTCCTCTGGCATCTTCGCAGCCGCCTTGTCGAGGGGTACTGGGCGCTCCCGCTTGATCAGCATGCGCAGCTCACGAGCTTTACGTTCACTTTCCAACTTGGACGGCGTGCGCATGAGCATATTCTGAGACGAATCCTCCTGGTCACCTCCGGGTTGGAAAACTTGCAATGTCTTGTCACGGAGTTTCTCCTCGTTGCCTCGATCCAAGTCATGAATTCCCACCAAAAGCGAGTAATCCATGATCTTGAGTCTCTTCAACAACTCGACATCGCGCTGTAGCTGGGCAATAAAGAATTCCCGTTTAGAAGGACCGCACTCGATATGACGGCTGCGGCGGACCCAGTTCAAATCCTTGAGAGTGGCTCGTGGGTTCTTTTCCAGGTCGGATTCGTGCAGATCTCGGCCAATGGTCGATCCCTTCAAATCGAAGGTCTGGTGGATGTCACGGTGCGGCGGGAAGAGGTTGTTCATAACTACAAAGTGGATCTTACGGCCATATGCCATCTTGACACGATGCAACCCGTAGAACTGAGAGATCAGCGTGTTCGGGTTCTTCTCCACATGCTTGTAGTACTCGGGTAGGATCCTGCGCAGCAGCTTGTGTTCGGCGTGGTGGATGGTCTTGATGATATACTTGTAATCTCGCGAGAAGTAGAAAAAGCTACCACTCTTTCCTGGAGATCCCAATTCAGAGAGGATATATTTGCTTGTGAGGGACATGAGGTAATCAGCAGGGTCGATGCGGAACTTGGCTCGCAGGCTTCGAAAGACCCAAGGAGCGTAGTCCTTGAATTTGAAATCATACTTGGCTGAAGGGACCAGCTCATTTCCGGTGCTATCATTGTCGTTAATATCGGGGTACAAAAGGTGATACAAAATATCAATCAAAGGCGAAACATACATGTCAAAGGAGAATTTGTGCTTGGCTTCAAAATCTGCGGGGGTAAGTTCGCGTTCCAGTTTGGCATTGATTCGCGATACCGTGAATCGGATACCAGTCAACATGTTATACGCTGTAACCCAGTTGACATGGTTCTGGTCCACTTTGGTTCCCACGATGACCCGATCATCATCGTCATCATCGCGACGCCGGCGCCTGGACGCTCTGCGCTGCTTGATAGCCTCCGCGTAACGGGCAGCATCTTCGTCGGGGATGGACTCATCTGCGATCGAATCGGAGTGGTTCGTTCGGGTGGTTCGACGGGCAAGGCTCATAGAAGTCCGGCGGATACCTGCCGTCGGGGATAGCCGGCCGCTGCTTTGTGCCGTATCTTCGGAATGATCACGACTGTTCCGGCGAGCGCTAGCGGATCGCGGCACCTGAAGCGTATGTCGATGTCGTAACGAACTCTGATCTTGTTGTTGTTGTTGTTGTTGCTGCTGTGTTGGGGATTGCGGTGGGTTGCCGCTAGCGGCGCCATCGATGCCGGTGGGGATTGGAGGCGAAGAGTAGCGATGCGGACTAGTAGTCCTAGGCGATAACCGACCGGGATCTGAGGAGAGACGTCCGAAGTTTTCTTCGGGTTGAGAGCTCGACAAGGCAGACATTGAGGCGTTCGCAACGCAGTCAGAGGCGACGAGTTGGTCGACAGAGGGTCGAGGAGTGTGGTCCCCGTTGACGGTTGGTCTCCCATTATAGAGCGAACGGGAACTCTGCGATGTCCCCATGAACTGCTGACTGGAGATGGACGCTGCCGCCGACCCGGCCCCTGAACCAGCGCCGGCGATGATATCACGGTCTAACGTGGTCGAAGGACGACCGGTATCGCGGGGATCACGCGCGGATCCGTTGCCCAGAGAATACATACTGCCATCCTTGGACTGGGGCAGGTCACGGTTGTGGGAAGAACTAATACTGGAACGGTGACCATTGACGGAGTAGGCACTAGCATTCTTCAGATTGGCGAGACGGTCGGTCGGGGGGGCGGCAGCGTCACGGTGACTAGCAGTATCGCCATTTGGCCAGTTATTGGTCCATAGGAAGGTATTTCCAACGGGGGCTTTTTCGTGCGGTTTCCCCTGGGGCGAGTCCACGGGTGGAGGCGTCGCGGTATGATAGTCGTTGGCGAAAGACGGCATGGCGGTGCGGAGGAAGGAGAGAGGGTAAAAAAAGAAAGAAGGACGCCCGCTAATGAAGGAGAAAACCCCGAAAGAAATAAAAGAGCGTAAGACGAAAGAAGCCGAGATTAAAAGGAGAGAAAAAGAGTCAAGAGTAAAAGAGGAGTTGTGGTGGTCGAGTGTGACGTGAGGTCTGCGTTGGAGGGAAACGGCCGGGAGAAAAAGGCTTCGGGGAGTGAAATGTCAATCAGAGGCTGTAGTGTCGCAATATTAAAGTAGTCGTCAAGTATAGTATGAGCGGCCAGCCGGAAAGGGCGTGGCACAGAGGAAAGACGTTCAGCGACCGATAGGCATGATCAGGAGGCCGCAGACACAAGACGAGGGAGAGCGACGTGTCGAGTTGAGGAAAGGGAGATATAGTATCGAGTATCTGATAGACAGTCTGAGTACTGGATGAATTAGGCAATGAGTATAAGAAAAGAAAAGAAGTCGATGGGGAAGAGAAAAAAGAAGATAGTGGTAAGAGTAAGGAAGAGAAGTGGTGAAAAAAGAAGGGGAGAAAACGGAGGCGGGAGACAGTCGCAGTAGGAGTCGCAGTAATAGCAGTAGTAATAATGAGAGCAAAATAGAGGATTAACAGACTAAGAATATTATTATTATGACAGATATGAATAATCACACAATAATATCAATTTAATTGTTTGATTTTCATATTGCGCGTTCATCACTTGACAGGTAATTCTACCATGCCATACATACCTCCTCTGCACTCTACCAGTATCTCTGCCACGAACACCTAACCCCTCATATCTCTTGCATCCCATATGTATTCCTCTGAAATATCTGTATCGCGGAATATTCTGCATTATCCTTCTATACATACAGATTTGCACATCCGCATCCATCTCCGATCCATACTTCTCCGAACCGAGACTACTTTGTAGATGAAGATGTAAACACTACTCCATATAGCTATCTGTAACCCTTTCTAAGCTTCAGCCAAAGACCTTTAACACAAAGAGCACAGAACATAAACAATATTTGGCTATCCCTGATCGTCAGGACCTCCGTTACAGCCTGGACGCCTCAAATCAGTTAGACAACACACATGTACTCTACAAATGCCCCGGAGTAATACGGAGTACATACTGCAATGTATTGATTGAATCTTCAATCCAAGTGTCGGTGTTATTACTTTGTCTATAACTCTGTCAACCGAACAATATCCTTCTCTAACATGCTCCCGTCTCCGAGATATGTGCTATTTTTGGAACAACAATAAACACTCATAAGGCTGTACAGAGTACTATGTCCTCCGTACGGGCGAGGCGCTGTGTTCTTGATATTCAAGTGCAATAATCGCTACTGAAATACTACAAAATCTCTCAATCCCATCAGAACAAAACCTATAATTAGTCCTCCGATGCTCTCCCTGAAAGTCATCCCCTGAACGAACTCTTGGTATGGAGCACGTCCAAGAAAGTACCTCCACACCACCGCCACACGGATGATAAAAATATGCAATCCTCTGATAGACATGCAGTAGTTTATGGCTGTGAAGGAGCCCATTTAGGTACAATGATAAGCCCTAATATTACTGTTCAAGATTGCTAAGGCCTCGCTGGACAGCACCTGTAATAACTTTAACCAACCTTATATGCGGAAGTCTGCGGAACTGTGATAGATCGGATTCAGACTGGCTGGGGTCGTTCTGTTTGTATTGGCCCGGATCTCGGTCTGGATAGATACCGAGAAAATGGTAAGCGATTTGCGGGCGCAATCACGTGTAATATCATGTGACCATACGGAGGTAGCCCTCCCGATCTTCGACGCGTTCATTGGGCTCTCGATACGCAGGTTGAATCATGAGTGGTAACACAATATCCATCTTCACCTTACTATGTAGTATTACGTAGTAATTCTGTCCATCTAGGCTAGAACATGGTCCGCAACAATCATCGCGCAACCTACGACAAACCCAAAATTGAACTGGAAAAAGTATTCATTGAGTATCACCATAAACAAGAGGTACTAGACATCGAAGCCAATCACCAGAGAAGAAAAAACGTTGTATAAACCACCGCAGGACGCCGACCCAACCAAAATTTCGGAAAAAGCGAATGATCACTAACACAGAATGATATCCCGGACGCGACAAAAGAAACACATGAAGAAATAAAGTCAAACAAGGAAAAATTACAACCGAAGGGGAAGAAATGAACACCCAATTGATACAACCCAAGAAAGGATATCACTCGAAGCGCATGAAGACGAAAGGTGAAAGACGTAGGACGCGATGGAGACGGAAAATGAGAAGGGACGATTCGAAAAATCACAAAAAGAATTTACGCCTTCTTCTTAGGAGCCGCCCTCTTGGGGGCCGACTCGGGTTGGGCCGTCGTCTTTGTCACGCGGCCAGACTTGGTCGTCGAGATGATCTTGGGCTTCTCAATGATGGCAGGAGCCTAGTTTTCTGTCAGCACAAAAGTTCACCGATGGAAAATGAGGGATGATCACGTACGGCAACTGGTGTCTTGCGGGGCTTGGCTGTGTTGGCCTTGGGCTTCGCAGCAGTCTTCTTCTTGGTAGCGGTGGCCTTCTTAGCGGTGCTCTTGGTGGTCTTCTTGGGGGCGGTTTCAGTCTTCTCGGCCTTCTCGGCCTTCTCGGCCTTCTCAGCCTTCTCAGCCTTCTCAGCCTTCTCGGTCTTCTTGGGGGCGGCCTTCTTGGGGGCGGCAGCCTTAGCAGGAGCGGCCTTAGCAGGAGCAGCCTTCTATCCAATGATCAGTGACATGCTATCTTGGAATAAACGAAACAGATGTGAACTCACCTTGGGCGCGGGCTTCTCAGCAGCGTCCTTCTTGGCCAACTTCAAAGGACCAGAGGGACCTGTAGATAAGAGACGCGTTAGTTGATCCATAAACAATGACCGTGGTCGCACATCGACATGGAAAGCATGTCCATTTTATGTCGTGCAGAATTTGCAAATGGTCACGCGCGGGAGAACTTACCCTTGGGCTGGGTGAAATCACCCTTCTCAACACCAGCCTTGATGGCCTTGTTGAACTGGTTGTCGAAGACGGCAGGAGACGCGTTGTTAAGGTCATTGTTGTTCTGAACATATTTCTTGATGGATTGGCGACTATTGCGAAGGTCGTGTTAGCTGTGCGATTCATTGCGATAGAGGGACGCGGCTGGTCGCTTGTCCAGCGACATCGACCACCGCGCACAGAGAACACGAAAGAAAAATTTTTAAAAAAAACATACCTGCTACCATTTCGCTCTTTCAACTATAAGAAAAAGAAAGGGAAAAAGTCAGCGACCAACTCGAAAATAAGACCAAAGATGCCCGACGACAGAGGGGCGTGTGTAGACGTGTCACGGTCGGGGAGAGTCGAGAGATCGCCCGACGTGTAAGACGTGATCAACTCACATTAACGATAGCATCCTTAATCATATCTATATGGATAAAATCAGCATTTATTCGCGACCAAGGCGATGGTTATATCAATTCTACGCGATGTGGTGGTAAAGCAGGATCAGTAAAAACATACCGCGGTAGGAGGCATGACCAGCGGCGGCCTTCTTGGTCGCGGACGCGGCAGCAGCTCTCTTGGGGGGCATGATGACGGTGTGGTTGTTTGTAGAGGAGATATATAGATGTAGAAGAGGTATATAGCAGATGAGGTAATGTCTTATCTATTTCTTCGCGTGTTTGGGTGGTGGAGAGATCGAAGAGAAGGAGGAAAGAAGAAGTGACGGAAGGGGAGGAGACGATGCGCGGGGCATCCGCCGACTTTATAGGGCAGCGGGCAAAGGACCAAGATCAACTTTTGCCTACACGTCCGGTTTTGTTTTTATTTTGCTCTTTTTTGTGCGTATCAGCCTGGCTGGTTTGCTTGATTTGCTCTTATTGTTTTATAGTATAGAATATAATACTATCCTATACATAGAAGAGTAGTCTTGTTGTTTATGCCTACGCGCATCACCATGAGATGATGTCTTAACGCGTTTACTCCTTTTCGTCTCTTCGCTTCTTTGATTTATTTGACTCCGGTTCTGTCACTGATAGTCCGTGCACATTCCATCTGATCTTCTTCTTCAACGATCATTCGCTTATTCTTTTTACTATTTCTCTTTTTAGCATCCGTACCTGCCGGTGTTGTGGGTTTGACTCGTCTGTCTGGACCAAACATGCCATGATCATTGCCACTGTATACAAGTAAACGCCAATATTCTATATGATATTTGATGTGTGATATTGTCCAGATGAACACCTCTTGACTGTACCCTGTATATGTGTTATGCTTAAAATGCACACGTAGCTGATGCATGAAATCTCCCCTATTGACAGTCCCTGATCCTCACTCCGTTTGTGTCTGTCTTCTCTCCTTATTTTCTGCAGTGAGTCTGCCTAGTGCTTGGTTTGTGATTCTCTTAGGCTCTTGGCCTCGTGCTGCTGGCTAGAGTGATATGTGATATGTAGTATTTTGCGTGAATTTTGTCATTGGATACATGTGGCTGCATCCCACTCCGCGATATATATTGGCATTGGCATTTCCAGCACCATTGACCATATTCAATCATACTCGATTGAAATGGCAATTATACTATATTATGTGAAATTTACCGGCAGGTAAATATATATCAAGTCATTCATGTCTATAATACTCCTAAACGGACCAATATCAAATGACGTCACTGGCCAGGAAGATCAGTCCATTCGGATTGATCCCGGGTTGATCCTAGAGTCCAAGGAGACCATGATCCATTTCTACCTTGACCATTGCTTTTCCGCTGTTAAAGCATGTGTATTCTGAGACTTTTATACCAGAAGTAGTATTGCATAGCCAAACGCCATCAAGGAACAAATTATCATACATCATAATTCCATCCAAATCAAGAAGCACGGGGCTTTGCCTTAGCCTCCTTCTTAGCCTTGGCCTCATCCTTCTTCCGCTTCTTCTGATCCTGGATCTTCTCCTCGTTCTTGCGCTTCAGACTCGCCTTCTCCTCGTCCGTCCGCGCCATTGGCTTGAAGAATCCCTCTAACCGCGACTGCTGCGCCGATTTGAGGTTCTTCTGCAGACGCGCCGCACCGTTGCGCACACGATCCTCGTTGAATCCCTTGTCCTTCACCAGGAAGTCAATGAGTCCCTCCACGTCGGGAGCTTCCCATTTAAAATCACAGTCCGGGTGGTCTGCATCGCGGACGTCCGGCTTGACGAATAATTCCCGCGCGTCTTGGTACCGCCAGTCTTCGGGGATTACAAATTTCTTCTTGGGGTCACTTTCTATGTGTTCGACTACCTTTTCCAGACTACCGTGCTCGCGGATGAGCTTCAACGCGGTGTTGGGGCCCACCTTGGGGATGGGTTCGAGGTAGTCGCATCCGAGGAGGATACAGAGGTCAATGAACTAAGCCAAAGTAAGTTTTCTACCGGAGGATCACGAAGAGAGAACATGCGCATACCTGATTACGGTCCATACCAAGTCCCTCGAGCGCACGCTTCAAGTGAATCTCTTGAATCGGCTCCTTCCGCTGCTCAGCAAACGTCAAATGCCTCAGAAGAATCGGCGTCTCGAAGCATAATGTGTCCATATCCTCCGAAGCAGCCGCGTAGACCTTGCCCGCCCGTGCGAGCGCCGCACACTGAGCCTCAGCTTCTGTCGGCGCATCAATATACGGAACACCCATGAGCTTCATAAGCTTCTTGCACTCCGCATTATGCTCCCTCGTCACCCGGACTGTCCGGCGCGAAAACTTTTCCACATCCTCCGCAGTACCGGTCTCCTTGGCCTCCTCGTGAGCCTCGGTAGCCTCTGACTTTCGTGCGGAACGCTTGGCCAATTCGCCCGACTTGAGCTTCGGTGGTGCGCCGTCGAACACGTATAGGGGTTTGATGCCGTTGTCCACCATGCGTAGTGTACGGTAGAACATTCCCATCAGATGTGATGTCGTCTCGCCGGTATCACTCATAAGTTGCTGGCCTTCGGAGCGCACGGCGATCATGAAACTGTAGATACTCATTGATCTGTAGTGGGATTAGCCTTAGCTCTGTTCCTGCGTTTTCAGTCATATGCGGAATTCGAGTTGACGTACGCGTCCTGCGTGTTAGTAGCGACAGTTGTTAGCTTCCTGGCCACCTGTTTGAAGGGTAATTTGGAATCTGGAACTCACAATTGCGACCTTACGGCCAAACTGCTGCTTGATATCGCCCGTCTTGATCGCATCGGGCGCATTTTCTGCAATCACTTGATAGAGCTCTAGCGTCTGCCATTAGCACCCTGCACGCGTGGATTCACTACTAGAATTGAAAAGTTCAAATAGGTAAGGGATTGTACTCACGTTTAATACCCATAGTTGCTCTGTTATATCTTCTTTAGCTATCGCAGGTGTGCTGGAAGTCCGACAGAATCGACCACCGCGCAGAAACGCGCCGCGGAACTCTAACGCGCCTACATCATTAAGCCCCATCGGGAATAGCGCGTAATCGACTTGGCTTACATCACGTGATATATCCCCGCGCCAATCTCCAAGCGGCCCCGCTTCCAAAGCTCGGGTTGCCGCATTGGGTAAAGCGTACCGGCCCCCGTGATAATGGGCTCCTCCCGAGCTTTTCGGATAACATCTCGTGCCCATATCTTTGTCGCTAGCTGTTGAGTCACTGCGCGTGCGCTTACCTTTGACTTAACAAACGGCCATTGTGCGGGCTCTGGCTTATCTCGACGAGTACGAGTGATTCCCCAGGATGAGTACATAGTACTCTGTACGGAGTACCTCACCGCGAGTCTATCAATTGATAAAAATGAAGCGAAACCGCATTCAATTCGAGTCTAATGGCGAACACGCATCGACATCTCCGCCGCAAGGGACAGTTGCACCGGAGGGGCACATTCCCAAGATCTCACGCAGGATCCGGGCGTGCACCGAATGCAAGAAGCACAAGGTCCGGTGTAATATGAACCCTGGTGAGTCGATTTGCCAGAGATGTCGACGGATGAATTTGGAATGTGTTGTCCACAAGAGCCTCCAGACCTTGTTGGAAGATGAGACTGAGTGCGTGTCTATCCCATACCTGACCTAGGTCTCGGTGATTTGCTAATGCGGATGTGTTCGTGTTTAGTTGGAAGACGACCGTTGAACTTGCGATGTCCGATTTGCTGAGAAAAGCCCAACTACCGGAACTCTCGTACTACCAAGCCGTTAGCAGAACGATAGACGCGCCCTCCAAGAGACGAGACCGCAAAGGATCGACCGCATCGACCGAGGATATAGGAATAACGACGGGTAGCGACAGGAGAACCAATTCTATCGACGCCAATGTGGCTGCACCAACGGCCCCACGCACATCGTCGAACTACAACTTCTCGCGACAACCGGCGCGGTATTCCCCGGATCGGGAGGAGAATGGCACATTGTCCTTGGTCACCGCGCCGATGGGGAGCTTATACGAAGTCACACAGCTGAGCGATATTCGGGCAAATTCTCCAGAGGAGAACGAGTCGTCTGATCACTCGCTTGCGACGGACTTCATATCGCGAGGCGTTGTGGAAATACAAGAGGCAGAAGAATTGTTTCAGTATTTTGACCAGGTTCTCAACCGTTATCTTTGGGATGGGATAGCACTGGTACACAAGGATCTTGCATCCGTCCGGAACTCATCATCGATGCTGTCTGCCGCCATCCTTGCTGTAACGGCTTTGCACATGCCAAACAAAGAGCGCACGTTTGACACTTGTTATACCGAATTCGCGAAACTTGCATCTGGGTCCATGCTTGACCGACATCACACCTTGGATGATTTGCGCGGGCTGTGTATAGCGGCCTTTTGGCTTGCGGATGTTAGCTGGAAGCTCTCCGGGTATGCAGTACGGATCGCAACCGAGCGCAACTTGCACCAGTGTTTTCGCAAGGCCACACAAGGTTCTCCAGAGCATAAGGAACAGGCAAGACTCTGGTATCTCCTTTATGTATGTACTTTCCAAGTTGCTAGGCTGATCCCATACTAACTAGCGTATAGACTTTGGAGCATCATTTCTCTATCGCATACGGGCGTCCACCAATTATCCACGAGGATCCCAGCATCACGAATCATAACACCTTTGTTCTTTCTCCGACAGCACCACAGTGTGACATCCGCTTACATAGCCAAGTTGATCTGTTTATCATCCTGACTCGGATATACCATGCATTTGGCCCGGATGTGGACCTTGAGGTCCCAGAAAGTGACTTTGCGAAGATCGACAAGTTTGATGCCGACCTAGACGAATGGTGTACTACTTGGATTCCTCGTATAGGTATACTCATTCTTCTTACTTGGTATATTATATGCTAACCGGAGCAGCTGGAAGCTGGCACGTTGGTGCATACCCTTACAGAGCCGTCTATTTGCATTATCACTTTTCCCGCTTGCAGGTGAACTCGGTTGCTCTGCGAACCTACCACTCACCAACTTCAACTCGCATCATGTCACCTGAGCGCAAGAAACGCGCAAATTTGGCAGTTGAATCAGCCATTGGTACGCTTCTCACTGTATTGGAAGAACCAGACATCCAAAGAGGTCTGGTTGGCGTTCCGCTATATCTGCACAGCATGATCACCTTTGCTGCAGTGTTTCTTTTGAAGATCGCGGCCAAAGGATGCCAAGGACAGCGAAATTCTATCGCTTCAGCCGACTTGCACATCGATGTCGCATATGTTCAGGAATTAGTCGAACGGATTATCGAATTGATGGTATCGTGCAGTAAGCGAGCTAGCGAACGCCATCTCAGCCACCATCTCGCCCGCGGTCTACGAAAGATGCTCACTGGATTTGAGGAATGGGAAAAAAAGAATTCTTACAACCAGCCCTTTCCCCGACAGAACTCCCATGATGTCTCCCCAATGTTCAAACCAATTATCATCCCCGGGGCACAACCATTGGGTCAACGAGATACCATCCTCAACCACCCGCCTCCTTTACTAGGTGTGGCTCCTCTATCCGCAGAGCGCAACAATGGGTTTGAGCCCAGCACGATCCCCGAAAACGAGCAACTGGGGTTTTCTGAGGGTTCGATAGATCCGATGATGAGCGATTTATGGGGATTTGATGAGGAGCATTTTCCCATGGGGGTTTCTGATTTCTTGCAGTCACAAATGCCTGCGTGACGCGTCAATGGTATTGGCTTTCGACAGAGATGCCATAACCGAGGGCGATCTTATCAAAATCGCCGTAGATCGCCGTCGATATCCGTCGCGTCATTTGCCGGTGTCGCCGAAGCCGAGACGGTACGGCGATTCGGGCAGTCTTTCAAGCGTCTGTCCCGAATAGGAGTGAGCAGCCGAGAGCAGACGTATGCCTAGTTTCCGGGCCAAGGCCATTTTAGCCGGCGGTAGGGCTGATTCCAGCCGCCTGTGTATAGAGTAGGTACCCGGTTATAGGTACATGTCCTGGCCATGACTGTATAGTCTTAATGAGTTATGCCTACGCAGTCAATGTATACAGTATCACACTCTATGATCTAGAGACGCAAATGCGTCAATTGATTGCGATGTTACTCCATATACTAGTATTATATACTTTTTTGGCTTTCGGCATGACCGCATAGGAAGCGCCAGTGCTTGGCAATCCGAGTTTATACCCTTATAAGAGGCCATTGAGGCTATTTAGCATTCCATTGTAGAAAACTGCTGTACGACTCAGCATCTCTCATTGTATCTCATTGTGGAGCTCCGTGTTCTACCGAGCACCAGCCGAGGTTGATTTGCCAAATCGCCGCCACTCTCACTTTCTTGTCCGGACAAGCTTCCCCGCAAATTCATTTTCTCGAAGGACGTTATTTATAACTCTTTATTCCTGTTAATTAAAGAAAAAATTTTTCTGCGGACGCTTGAATTGCTCTAATCCACTTCCCTACCATGATGAATCGCTTCGGCTTTCGCGCGGCGTCGCGCCACTTCCAGTCGGCGACTCGCCGTCCCACTCCTATCGCACGGGGACTAGCAGCTCACAACACATCGACACGAGGCTATGCAACATTCAACTGGGAGGATCCGCTGGCTGCGTCAGAACTGTATACGGAGGAGGAATTGGCGATTCAGAACACAGCCCGGCAATATTGCCAGGAGCGATTGATGCCCCGAGTGCTGGGTATAACCCTCACCACCACAAACAAGTACTCTAGGCAGTTTTGGACAGTGCTAATGAGAATGAAGACGCCTACAGAAACGAAGACTATGACCGCAAAATCCTCGAAGAAATGGGCGAACTGGGCCTCCTGGGCGCGAACCTCCACGGATACGACTGCGCGGGCGTGAGCACTGTCGCCTACGGATTGATCACCAAGGAAGTTGAGCGCGTGGACTCGGGATACCGCTCTGGAATGTCAGTACAGGGATCGCTGGCTATGACTGGTATCTACGAATTCGGCAGCGAGGAACTCAAGCAGCGACTTTTGCCGGGTCTGGCTAAGGGAAAGCTGTCTGGATGCTTTGGGCTTACAGAGCCCAACCACGGCTCGGACCCTGGGTCGATGGAAACTGTTGCGAGAGAACATCCGACACAGAAGGGTGTGTATTTGCTTTCTGGGTCGAAGACGTGGATTACCAACTCGCCTATTGCGGATGTGATGCTGGTGTGGGCTAAGTTGCAGAGCACGGGTAAGATTCGTGGATTCGTGGTTGAGCGCAGTCGCTGCCCGCCTGGTACGCTGGAGACTCCTCCGATTAAGAACAAGAGCGCCCTACGCGCGTCGATCACGGGTATGATCCAGATGGATGAGTGCCCTGTTCCCGTGGAGAACATGCTCCCCGACGTCGAGGGTCTCAAGGGTCCGTTTACGTGTCTCAACAGCGCCCGGTTGGGTATTGCATTTGGTGCGATGGGTGCTTTGGAGGATTGTCTCGCTCGCGCACGGGAGTATTCGTTGGAGCGCAAGCAGTTCAAGGGCAACCCGTTGGCGAAGTACCAGTTGATTCAGAAGAAGTTGGCGGATGCGACTACGGATGCGGCGTATGGTACGCTGGCTGCTACGCAGGTTGCGAGGCTGAAGGATGAGAAGAAGAACACGCCTGAGATGATCTCGATGGTCAAGAGGCAGAACTGTGATCGGGCCTTGACTAATGCCAGAGTGTATGTCTGCCCTGCTCTTGCTTTTTTGAGATGAATACTAACCGCGATATAGACTGCAAGAGATTCTGGGCGGCAATGCGACCAGTGACGAGTATCATATTGCCCGCCATGTGGCCAACCTGTTTGTGGTGCAGACCTATGAGGGCCAGAGTGACATTCACGGTGAGCACCTTCCTTTTCTTCTAGTTCAAGGATAGAATACTGACTGCTACAGCCCTGATCGTTGGCCGTGCGATCACCGGTGTCCAGGCGTTTGTTTAGACCGAGCCATACTATTTCTTGGCCCATCTAGTGTATTAAACATAAGTGTATATAGAACATATCAAGCAAAAGCTATTACTGATCTGGTAACGTGACCGATGACATAGGGCTCCGCTGATTTGGCCGGTTCCCTGCATATACCCGTAGGGCAGGGGTGTCATGGGTGTTCATTACATACTACACTTGGGCATCCTGGATTATATCCACATGTATTATCACTTATCAAGATGCCCTATATATGTGTACCCTCTTCATATATACTACCCAAGAACAGCCATTTAAAAGTCCCGTAATGAATTACATACGGTACCGGATTCCGGCGCCACCGCCTCGTCGGGCGAAAATACGGGCATTTGAAGCCCAAGAAAAAATCACGGATGATGTGGCGAGTACCTTGCTGACACTTACTTTACCATTATTTTTGATACTTGTACAGAGTATTATAGAGAAAATAATAGATTAGAAATGCTGAGTAGATGCTTATCTTTATGTCAGTCAGGAGTATTCTATATCATTTAGTAATTGCATCAGACTGTGGCGGTGGATGTGGCGGTGAGATGTGTAATATACTATACGGTACGATACCGTCCCTCTTTTCTTTCACTTTCCCCTCTTCTTTTCTTTTCTCTCTTTTTTCCTCTTTCTCTTTCTCTCTGTCCTTCTTGTCTGTTTGGAACCTCTTTACAACCCCACGTATTTAGCCTGTGAGTCCCATTTATATCTAACTGTGTTTATATCTTCTTTTTCGCCTTCTTTTCTATCTCGTTGTAAGAGTACTGGTTAACCTGTTCTATCGTGCAGAATCAAACCACCTATTCCATTCGACGTCGCCCTCCTACCCAACTAGGAGTCTTCCTCTTAACACCTCCTTCACACCTTCACACACCATGGCTCTTAAGAGAATCAACAAGGAACTTACTGACCTGGGCCGGTATGTCGTTCCCTCGTCTTTCCCTGCGCTGCGTTGTGGTTAGGTGTTCTCACCTTACCACGTTGCGGGGTGGATTCAAGACTACAATAAGAGGATATACAATACTGACTGACTTAAGTGACCCGCCCTCGTCCTGCTCTGCTGGCCCTCTCGGAGAGGATCTGGTATGATACCCCTTCCCTTTCCCCGGTCTCGTGATTCTCGGTCGTGATATCGCTGGTGCGGCGGGGCAGATACGAAACTGCAAATCCTTCCTTGTCCGGGAATCAGACCGCACGTCATTAGGAGAGTGAACAGTGTACTGACATGCTTGATAACAGTTCCACTGGCAAGCAACTATCATGGGTCCTGTAAGTCGCATCGGTCGCATGTCTGCAATCGGAACAGTGCTGACTCCTCACAGAGCGACTCGCCATACTCCGGAGGCGTTTTCTTCCTCAACATTCACTTCCCTACCGACTACCCCTTCAAGCCCCCAAAGGTCAACTTCACCACCCGTATCTACCACCCCAACATCAACTCGAACGGCAGCATCTGTCTGGACATCCTAAGGGACCAATGGAGCCCTGCTCTCACAATCTCCAAGGGTTAGTTTTTCGCATCCGGCATCCGCACCCGATGACTCAAAACTAACCCATATAGTTCTCCTTTCCATCTGCTCGATGCTCACAGATCCCAACCCCGACGACCCGTTGGTGCCCGAGATCGCCCACGTCTACAAGACTGACCGTCCCCGGTACGAGTCGACTGCTCGCGAGTGGACCCGCAAGTACGCTATCTGATTTCCGCAATGAAATTCTCTTCTCAACCGCGTCTACGCCTTGTCTTCTTTCGCGCACCGTTTAGATCAGATCTGAAGCCTGGCGTACCGCGATCGTAGATCCTTTTTTTTTTTTTTTTTTTTGCCCTACCCCGTTTGTTTTCTATTTGAAACATTTGCGAACTTTTTTTTACCCGTTTTCTGTTCCCTTTTATATCTTTTGGCGGGAAATGTCATATCCAACGATCATTATGACCAATTCTCATGCATTCCATGGCATCGTTTTTCTCTGTTTCGTTCAATGGAGTCGGGATTCTACATTGTTGGGACCTCACCGGGAGGTTTCTGGGGTGGACGTGGAGGCTTGTTCGTGGAGGAAGTGAAGGATATCCGGATGGCGTGTGAGGAGGGAGTTGTGTTGATAGCGGTTAGGATGAGATCAATGACAACCGTTGACCGGTGTTTCTTTGGCTGGCAGAATTCAGATTTGATCCTATAGATTCTCAACCTACGAGTAACCGTATAACTGAGGTGAACCCTGAAACAGCGGATCAATCGGAACCGAGGTACTCGTAACCCGCCTCTCCCTCGGAACCTATATAAACCTCGGAACCCCATCCCAACCTCAGAGCACCTTAAACTAAACCAAGCCGCCAAAATTAAGTTGAACAAGGTTAAGCTAAGCTACAATGTCAACCCGCCGCTACCGCTCGGCAGTCGCCTGTGAATCTTGTCGCCGCCGCAAAGTCCGCTGCAGTCTTACGGTCACGGGGTTCCCTTGTATTGGGTGTGCGCAGGATCGCGCCGAGTGTGTCGTTGATGAGAGGAGGAGTTTGGCGTGAGTTGCCTTTGCCTCGAACTTGAAATAGAATGGGGTGTGTGCTGATGTGTGGTAGGTTGAGTAGGGTCCAGGAGCGGAGGGCTCGGCAGTCGCAGTCGCAGCCGCATTCACCTGGACATAATAGATCTAACGAGGTTGTGCCGTCATCGAGTCAACCGTTTAATAACCCGGTTGGTAAAGGAATTGAGGCTTCAGAGTCACCTTCACATGCCAGTGACCGGATACAAGATGAAGAGCGTAACGGTCTCGAAATCGCAGCTGCTGCATTGGGCCAGCCTGAAGGTGTTGGGCAGGTTCCTTTCTACACCGGTACCCTCTTCCTCATTATACCCTACACCTATCCAAGATAAACATGCTAATTGCTGGCAGGTGACCAAACCGGCATAACATCAACCCTAGACCTCTGCTCCCCCGAACAACATCTCCCGCGCCACCTCCTCCTCCCTATGCACATGCCCGCCTCACTCTCCAACGAAGACAAACAATATCTAGCCAATAAAGGCGTGTTCACGTTACCCGGAAAAGAGGCGTGTGATAGTCTGATCCGAGCGTATTTTCGCCATGTGCATCCGATTATGCCGATTATTGAGGCGGATCAGTTGTTGGGGGCTGTTGCGGCGGGGAGGTTGGGGGACTATAATGTTTTGTTGGTGTGGAGTGTGTTTTTTGTTGCTGTTAATGTATGTCCTGCCTCGTTCACTTCATCTGAGATGTTTTTGTTGGATTGGGTTAATGGATGGGACAGTTTATTCCGATATCGATATGTCAGAGTGAGGGTTATGAGTCCCGGAAGGCGATGAAAGCAGCTATGTATTCATGCGCAAAGGTATGCCCCCCACATCCATTTCAAACATTGGTACAGAACCTCAAAAAAACAGTCCATGTACAACCACACAACCGACCGAACCACCCTCCTCCAATCCTCCCTTCTCCTCGGCTTCTGGCACTCTGAAACAGACCAACACGCCGCCCCCTGGTACTGGACCGGAATCTCCGTCAACATGTGCCAAATCCTCGGCCTCCACCGCAACCCCGACAACAGCCCCAACAACAACACAACCACCGCTGCCACCCGCCGCAATTCCTCCATAACAGACCGCCAGCGACACCTCTGGCGACGCCTCTGGTGGGCATGTTTCTTCCGCGACCGCTGGATGAGTCTTACGCTTGGACGGCCGATGAGGATTGATCTGAATGATTGTGATATGCCAATGGCGAGAGCGGAGGATTTGTTGAGTGACCTTGAGGGTGTGGGAAGGGAAACGAAGGAGGCGTTTCTGCCGGGGGATTTGGAGAAGATGGCGGAGTTTTGGGTGATGTTGGTGGAGATGAGTAAAGTGTTGGGGAAGGTGTTGAAGTTGAATTATCAGGCGCTGAGGGGGAGGCCGGGGTTGGGGGAGGTTGAGGCGTTGGAGGCGCAGATATTATCTTGTCAGTGTCCGGGTGTGGATGGTGGCGGTGGGGGGTTGAGTCGGGAGGCGGTTTTTTATGTCTATCATTTGCAGTTGCATTATCAGTTCGTTCCCCTGTTTGTTGAGATTGGGCTGGTTACTGACGCAGACAGAGCGATTCTGATCATGTTCTACCGCCTCTACGGAACCGAATCACCAGAAGGTCTCCATCCAGCACAACAACAAAAATGGCAGCACCGAATGCGCCGCGAGGCCGATATAGCAGCCTCCCGAACAAACGATATCCTCGACATGCTAGCCCAAGAGAATCTCCTCGAATTCGCCCTCCCAATGACGTACGCACCGCACCCCCCTCCCCAACTACAAATCAATCAAACTCTTAACATGTCATGACAGCCCACCCCTCCTGATCCCAGCAATGCAAATGCACCTTCTAAACTGCAACTCAGCAAACTCACTCTCCCGACGATTACGACTGAACAAGCTTAATATATGCATGATGGTCATGGAGGAGTTTCAAAAGGTGTATACCGTTGCGTCGATTTATCGGGGGATTTTTGCAAAGGCTATCCAGCAGTTTTATCCCCGGGATGCGGGGGTTCTGGGGATGTATAGTCCTATTTGGTTTGCTTTGGATGCAAATGCGAATACGAACGCGGACGCGAATGCTGGTGAGGGTGTTCCTGCTCCTGTTCCGGCGCCTGTGGCGGTTACTTCTGTTCCTTTTTCTGTTGATGCTGGTGCTGGTGTTGAGAACAGCCTATCCGAGGGAGATGTTAACATGAACACCGAGATGACCAGTGATCTGATTGATGCACTGGTTGATGAAGCCTCTACGTTTAATTTCTGGGAGACATGGGGACAGTTATGGGTTGATCAGTGAATGTATTATTACCGATAGACTAACAAGTACTCTGTACAATAATCTCCAAACCAAACATACTACTTAGGAGGCAGGAGGATACAAACCACCCTTTTCACACTTCGACCCCAACCTGCCCTTCTCCAGGTACTTCTCCCTCAGAAAATCAACAGTCTTCTCCCCCGAAAGCCCCCTCTCCTTGACATAATGCTCCTCGATAAACGCAACCGTATCAAGACCGACATCTGCACCATTAGCCACAAGTACAAACATCACCAAGGGTCCTAAAAACAAGGGGAAAGACTTACTATCCATCATCGCACAAGGTACAGCAGCCCCCTCCACAAACATCCTCTTCCACATATCATCAATCTCCTCTGGCTCCGAAACACCCTCCGCCAAAACCATCAACGCCTCTCTCTTCACCGCCGCCCAGAGTCTATTGAAAATAAAACCCGTAGACTCCTTCCTCGCGACGTACGGTACCAATGCAGCTTCTCTGCTTCGCTCAACGAGGAACGGGAAGATAGACACACTTGTGTGGCCGTTTGTCATGAGCTCGACGATCATGTTCCCGGGGGGCATGTAGTAATGCGTGTTCAGAATCCGAGTCCTAGCTTCTGCCTCCGGGGCAATCTTTTCAAGCATCTCGGAGGTCTTATAGGACGAAGAATTCGATGCCAGGATACAGTCCGCCGGTGCGAGAGTGGCTAGCTCGGCAAATGTATCAATCTTGAGGGCCAGTTTCTCAGGAACGGCCTCGATAACTAGCCAGGCGGTTGAGACTGCATCGCCCAGGTTGTCGAAGGCCTGGATGTCATTGTTTGGTTGGATTGCGGTGCGTTGGGCGTAGGAAGGTGCGTTTTCGGTGATGTAGGTTATTGCTGCTTGACGTTGGTCGGGGCTGGGGTCGAAGATGCGGGTGGCGTAGCCGGCGGAGGACCAGACGCAGGCTGTTTCGTTAGTATATTTATTCGTTACTGTGTAAGTGGACAGGATAGGCTTACCAACGCGACGACCGAGGACGCCACCGCCTAGGATGGTAACCGGGCGGGTGCGGTAGTCTTGAGGGTTCCAGGTGGACATTGTGGTGTTCGATTTGGTATGATATGACTTGAATGAGCTGGAGATGAGTAGTTTCTGGATGAGAACGATAGAGCATACTTATACTACTACCCTACAACTACAACGACACATCCTCGGAAACCATTATGTACTCAAAAACACATACGGTCCGCAATACCCGCGGTGAGTGGACTAGATACTATACACGAATCCTATACTCGGTACGGAGTGCATATAGCTCGGAATCTTGGATTCGAAGGAACAACGAGATATTCCCGAAAATTCCATGATCTGTTCCAGAAAAGATAACGGTCTATATTTAAGTACCGAGGAAGAGGCTCGGAAGAGATGATAGTTCGGGTTGTGGGTCTGTCAGATCTCGGGACTCGGCTTGCCGGTACGAACGGCAGTGGATGGATGGAGGCGGAGGCGGAGGACGCGGGAGGGAAAGGGATTATTATTGTTTTTGTGTTATTGGTGGGTGGTATTGGTGTGGTTGGATATGGTTGTTGGACTTGTACAGTGAGAGATCTTTCATTGTGCTATGTGGTTTGGATTAGGGTTAGGGATATATTCCATAGGATGATTGCTTTAGCGTGAAGTCTATATGGTAGCTAAGCTCCGTTTCTCAATACTAGATGTGAATAATGACCACAAAAAACAATTGTAACCCTTCTACTAGTAAACAATACCTGACGGGCAGATGTTAAACATAAAAAAATAAATCAAATATATAACTCTCTATTCTATATTCTATACCTATCTAACAAAATCTAATAACACTCAAACAGACTTAGCAGGCCACTTGGTCCTCCTCTCAGCCCTGACATACAAATTATTCGGCCTAATCAACTGAAACATCGGATCATACTCAATCGCCCCATCAGCCTCCCTCCGAAACTGATACCGATACACCAACTTGGGCAAAAACACCTTGATCTCCTGCAACGCAAAGTTAAACCCAATACACATGCGCTGTCCCGTCGCAAACGGAATATACGCCGCGCGATGCCTGTTCTTCACGGCATCCGTATCCCATCGGTCCGGATCGAATTTCGCCGGGTTATCCCACAGAGCTGGGTTATTGTGGATGTGGTGCAGGGCTGGGATGATGACTGCGTCCTTGGGGATTTTGTAGCCACCCGGGAGGATCAGATCGAGTCGGGCGGTGCGGCCGGGTTGGAAGGAGGGGTTGTGGCGGCGTTGGGTCTCCTTGATGTATTTGTCGAGGAAGGAGAGGCGGTCGGTGACGTCTGCTGTTATGGGGGTGGTGTCGTCGATATCGTTGTCGATGAGTTCTTGGAGGAGACGCTCTTGCATGCCGGGGTATGTGCAGAGGCCGTAGATTAGCCAGGAGAGGAGGGAGGAGGTTGTTGTGAAGCCGGCGGCGGTGGCGACGACGAGGGACCAGACGAGGCTGGATTTGGGGAGTTTGTCGCCTTTGTTGTCGGTTGCGCGGATTGCGTAGTCTACATAATCAGCATTAGTATGGATCAAGCAAAGACATGGCAGGGGATAGAAACATACCAACCATGTTTGCCGCGCGCAACGCAGCATCCTGCAGCGGCAAATCCTCCACACCACCCCGTTCAGCACTCTGAACCGACTCCCCCACCATCTCTTCAATCCTATTCCTCAACACATGCAACTTCTTCGGGTCCCCAAACGGCAACTTCGCATACCAATCCCCCTTACTCGTGACCTTCTTATTCAACGACAGCATCTCCGCAATCGCCCCAACCATCTCATGCAACGGCGCATCCGCACTAGAAAAGTGCTCAAAGTCCAGCCCCAGCGTCAACTTGCCCACAGCCTGCGACCCCAGCTTCAACATGTACTGGTACACATTCCACGCCTCGCCCCGCTCGTCTAGCTGATCGAAGACCTTGCACGCGTCTTCGACAGAAGCCTGCATCGTGGGCGCGTAGTGCCGCACAGCCTTGGGGCCCAGCGCGGGCGGCAGGAACTTGTGCGTGACCTTCCACTCCTCTGTATCCGTGTCTCCCAGGAAGATACCCGCGGCGGGGGTCTTGAGGGCGGACAGCGGGTGCGCTTCGTTGATATGTTTGGAGAAAAAGTCCGACTCGGCGAAGGCGATTGCAGAGATTTGGGGATCGTTCGTGTGGTAGGTCGTGCGGCCGAGGCTTGTGGCCTTGAAGATTGGGCCGTATGTGTCGAAGAGGCGTTGGTGGTTGCCCAGGTGGTCTGGGTAGATGTCGAAGTAGTTGCCCACATAGGGGAGGCCGTTGGGGCCTTCAGGGTCGCGGACGGCGTGGCCATCGATTGTGATGGCTATGGGTGTTTTGGAGGCGAGGATGTCGGGGACTTCTGAGAAGATGGTTTCTTCGTCTTGGAAGCCGATGCCTGTTTCGTTAGTATGATATGATTAGAGGCCGGTTGATAGAACGTACCCGTTGCTTCAACGATGGCAAAATGCGCAGCGACTACATACTGCAGTCCTTCAAGATCCAAATTCTTTTCGACGGGAAGATGTCTTGCCGAAGAGACTGGCTCTCCAAGAAGATAGAATTGCTGAGACATTTTGGTGTATATTCGCAAATGAATCTGACTTAGCTTGCAGGTCATGCAATAGTGTCCGTACCCTCAACTTATATACCATCCAAATACCCTACCTAGCAAAAGATTCCGAGGTTTCTTTACCGCAGTCATATCCACTTATCGGATTGCCATTACAACAACTCACCGTAGTGTGGTCTAGCCTTCGTTAAGAGTACGTGTGTACTTCCTCGGAACCTGCGCGTTTCCGATTGGTCAGTTTGGACTCCGTATAGATCAGACATTGACAGGCGTTTATTTAAAGAAGCGAATATCGCCCAACAATTCAGAACTCATCAATTCCTAAGCGATTATCTTCTCGCAAGTTGAACTCTGAAATCGAGTACAATGTCGGAATACACCCCCCAAGACATCGCATCTCACAAGTCCAGAGATGACCTGTGGATCGCCATACACGGAAAGGGTACTTCTTCCTAATACCCTCACACTCCTAAGTACTAAAACTGACGATAACAGTATACAACATAACCCCCTACATCCGCGACCACCCCGGCGGCGTAGACGTCCTCCTCGACACAGCCGGCACCGACGCAACAGAAGCATACGACGAAGTCGGCCATTCCGAAGACGCAGACGAGATCCTGCAATCATACTTCATCGGAACCTTGAAAGATGCACAGGAACACCGTCCCAAGAACAAAACTGTTCGTGTGATTCAGCAACCAGCCAAGTCTATGGCGGTGGTTTCAAAGAGCCCCAAGGGTTCGCGGAGTATACTCAAGAAGATTGCCCTCATTGCAACCTCGAACGTGGGCGTGGCGCTCCCTGTGTACCTCTTCTTTTCCTCCGGGGGTAATGTCGACATCCATAAATTTCTTCCAAAGAGTCTACCAGCCTGGCCTCGGTCATTGTCGATTGCCTCCCTACAACAAAGCACAGCAGGAGGCAAGGGAAGTTTCACAACGGGCTTCACAACAGCAACCATCCTCATGGGCACCCTGGCGGCCCTCGCAATCCCAAAACTCTCCGCCCTGGTATCCCCCGACTCCGGCTTCACCAAGTACCCACCGCATATGAAATCGCGCAGAGCCCCGAAAGCCAATCCCCATCTTGCAAAGGGCTTCCTCAATCCCAAGGACTACAAATCCCTCCCGCTAGTCCGGAAGGATGAACTCGCGCCGAACGTGTATCGCTTTGTTTTCGATCTCCCGAAATCAACGGATGTCATTGGTCTTCCTATCGGACAGCACGTTGCTATCAAAGCTGTTATCAACGGGGAGACGGTTTCGCGGTCTTACACGCCCACGTCGAATAACACTGACCTCGGCCGTTTGGAACTAGTCATTAAATGCTACCCCGATGGCCTATTGACAGGTAAATACCTCGCCAACCTGCAAATCGGCGATACAGTGCAATTCCGCGGCCCCAAGGGCGCGATGAAGTATTCCCGGGGCCTATGTAAGAAGATCGGTATGATTGCCGGCGGCACTGGCATCACGCCCATGTACCAATTGATCCGTGCGATCTGCGAGGACGAAGCGGATGAGACGGAGGTTAGCCTTGTGTATGCGAATCGCGCCGAGGGCGATATTCTGATGCGCAAGGAGTTGGAGGCGTTTGCGAAGGCGTATCCGAAGAAGTTCAGGGTCTGGTACATGCTTGATCAGCCGGAGAAGGGGTGGAAGTATGGATCTGGGTATGTTACTCCTGCTGTTATGAAGGAGAAGTTGCCCGGGGCGGCGCCGGATACTAGGATCATGCTTTGCGGGCCTCCGGGGATGGTGAATGCGGCTAAGAAGGGTCTTGCTGGGTTGGGTTTCCAGCCTCCGGGGGCTGTTGCGAAGATGTCGGATCAGATTTTCTGTTTTTAGTTATTGTTAGTTTTGGATAGACTTGTATAATAGAGCACTTGTTACCGTTCACAACCATCTTTAACTGATCCTGCCATTATCAATGCCTCTTTTTGAGGGCAGAGATATCTAAACTGGCCTCGCGAGGCTATAGCGTAGTCGCTTATACGATTACTATCAACCAGGACACTTGCGAGATGTCTACTGGAGAGAAGTGGCACGTCTTCACCAAGCAACCGTGTCAGCGTTGTTGAAGAATAGGCTTGTCTGGTTGCCTTACCTCGCTATAATCAACTCAATAGTAGGGCTTCACTAGGGGTCACCTGTTCTGACGCTGTCTCTTGTCCGTCTGGTCCGCTTTACCCTTCATGTTCAATAGTATACATAAAATGGTTCGACACTTCGATGCCTGTCTCAACTGTTCGTTTGTAATCCCAATGGTGTAAGTTAATGCTATCTCAACATACTAGCTACGATAGCCTCTACTAATCTAAGAAGAAAGAACACCTCATAACCTAAAAATGGACATATATGTGTGTATTGGGCGCATCAGCCACTGACTGATATCTACCTATGATAAGGGCGCCAAAAAATCACGGGCGACAGCAGGTAACCAACACCCTTCCTAAATGCTTTGCTATGATGCATGCAACCTAACCGGTATACCCTGACGCCTCCAAATCCTTCCGAACACCATCCTCCGTCTGGATCTTCTTCATCTGCGTATCCTCCAGCTTCTCACCCCCAGCAAGGCGCATCTTCAGCTCGTCAATAGCACGCATCTTCTTCAACAACCCGCGGATCTTCTTGTCCTGCGCGCCCGGCTCTTCCACAGGAGCAGGCTCGGGTTCGGCGGGTTGTTCGACGGACTTGGTCGTGCCGTTGGTCTTGCCGCCCTTGCTGGCGCCATTGGCGTTGGCAGTGCGGTTACCGTTCTTCTGGGCGGCGGCGGCGGCGGCGTCGTCTGCTTCCTTTTTCTTGGCTTCGCGCTTCTTCTTGTTCTTGGCGGCGGATTTGGAGAGTTCTTTTTGTTCGGAACCCGGTAGTGGGACGCCGCCGCCTGGGGCGGCGCCAGGGGGGAGGTACTCGGGGTCAGCGCCGGGGACATCGCGGCGGCGGGGCTTGCCGAAGCTGCTTGTGGAGGCAACGCCGGAGCCTGCGCCGTCGCGGATAAATGCGGCTCCGCCCTCGTCTTCACGCTTGAACGCCAGAGGAGTTGTCTGGCCGCGCGCTCCAGGGGGTCGGTAGGCGCCGGCCGGCTTGACGGGGGCTTTCCGGGTGTTGAGGTAGGCGAGCGCGGAGGGGTGCGGGGTGGGAGGGTTCTTGAGCGGGTCGGCTGAGGCGGCGGTTTGTTGGACGTCGGGTTGGGGTCTCCAGAAGACGTCGTAGAGCTCGTGCATGTCCTCGTTGTACATGAGGCTGCCGCCGACGTGCCAGATACGGACGCCGTTGTCCACGCGCAGACGCGGGCTGGTCGTTGCGGTCAGGATGTACTGGCCGTCGGGAGACCATTCGCACACACTGGCGTTGGAGGCTTCCACCGTCGTGACCTTTTGGTAGTCCTTGTCCACGTCGATGATGTCCATCTGGCCAGCCAAGTTACCGAATCCAGCCACCAGCACGAATCGTCCGCTGGGCGAGAACAGGATAGTGTTGCGAGGTCCCAGAGGGAAAGTGTGCTTGGGCACACCGCGGAAGTTGAAGATGGTCGTCTTGGCCGGCATGTAACCGTACACAACACCAAACTCCCGCGAGTTGGGCGACCACGACACATCGTGGATCGGTCCCTCCTTGTCCAGCTCCACTCTCGAGTCAAAGCCACCGTTGGAGCTGAGCAAGTACAAGGTAGTTTCACCATAGTAACTCTTGCCCGTGCGGTCGACCTCAGTCTGCGCAAGCACAATCAAAGTAGTTCCCTGAGCGTTCCACTTCAATTGCACCTTGTCGCCCTTGAAGAAACTCTTCTGCGACACCGGCGCACCGAACTGCGGCACAACAAAAACCTTGACTGCGGCGGGCTGTCCCTTACGCTCGGGAACAAAAACCGCAATCGACTGGCTGTTCTTTCCCGACGAGAGCGCAAAATCCGCCACCCCCTCCACGCGCAGCTTGTTCCAGACCGTCGACAGGTTCTCGCTCTGATAAAACTGGACCTCGTTGGTGACCACGCGAGCGCACAGCTTCTCATCGGCCGAGTACTGCAGGTTCCAGCCGGTCTGCGACTTTTGCACAAAGCTGCCCACGACCGTGTGCTCGTCTCCATCTTCGACCGCGCGCCAGACCTTGAGGTTCTTCACGGCGTCCCCGTTTGCGTCTTTCGTCGGACGCTGCCAGGTGATGAGGTAGGAACCGAGGGGCGAGAAGGCCAATTCGAAGACGTTCTCGGCGGGGATAGTAGAGACGGCGTGTCCGACGGAGGGGTCGATGATGATCACCCTAGATTGTCAGTTCCTTTTCTCTTCAAACAGGTTAAAAGACATACTTATCAGGAGATGCCCACGCATAATACCGACCGCACGGAGAATAAGCTGCACAACGGAGGTTTCCCTCAGGTCTAACCCGTCAGCACTATCCAAATCGATCCACAACAAATATCATACCTCGTAAACCCCGGCAACGACTCATAAACAGGGGCCGCATCGAGAAGGCCAATCCCCTTGACCGTTCGGACTGAAGTTAGTTAGCCAGTGCGCCTGACACAAGTACCAAACTGGCAGGAAGAAGAAGGGAAAAAAAAAAAAAAAAAAAAAAAAAAAAAGCAACTCACAAGCAAGCTGTGTAGGAGCGGCCATTTTCAAGAATTCTGCACCTGTATCAAACCACGCGCAATCCAAAGTATGCTATCGTATGCAAATTTTCCAACAGGAAAGCGAATCAAGGCAGACACGAGGAAGTTTTCACTATCCTCCCTAGTGTGAAGCACGAAAGCCGCGAAATCCCCAGCAAGCGTAGAATAAACAAGACAAAGTGCACAAAGACAGCAAACTTGTCTGTCTGTTCTCTCGGTTTGTTGGTTTGGAGTAGTGGTTGTGGCGAGGACTGGTGTTGGTCTGACGCAACGGGAGGCCACACAAATTCGCACAAAGAGAGCCCGAACGAGGGAAGAGTTCAATTGGAGTTGATGCTTGACAAGTCAATGCCAGCAAGTTGAAGGCAAGCAGAGCGGAGGGGTGTGTAGAAGAGAGAGGTGTAGAGAGAGGTGTAGAGAGGAGGTGTAGAGAGGTGGAAGTGAAGAGGTGGAAGTTGAGTGGGTGGAAAAAGTTCGGCGGCATGGCGGCGACTACAGGTGATATACAATACACATGATATACAGTAGAATAGTATAGAGATACTTATACTGCTATACTTAAGTAAATAAAATTGATTCAGCTCGATTTACAAACAGACCGTAATAACCATAACAGAAACAGTAATCCTCCTAATGACGCCAGTACAAATACACCCAACCGAACCCGAAATAGAACATAATCAAAAGATTAACTACCCTCACCATTGTACGGAGTAGCCAACCGCGGAGTCTTAACAGTAGTATCAACCACATCCGCATCATAAGTCATCCCATCAATCATCCTCGCATCCTCCCCCGTCTGCTCCGGCATATTCGACGACGATCCCGCCGGCGACAACGGCGACGGCATCATAGGACTATCAGCCTGCCCCTGCAAATACGCCGCGATCGTATTCGCCCGGCTCGCTGTCGTCGGACTACCCAACGAACTGGGCGTGCGCCGACCAGATGACACCCGGTTCAAGTTCGGCCGCGAAATCGGTCCGCTAACAGTACTCGCGCCCTCACCGAAGCCAACGAGACTCGCATTCCCCTCGTCGCTGATGTTACCTACGCTCGAGGCACCGTCATCAGGGTCCTCGCTCATCTTATCGCCGTCAAAGGTGAAGTCGCTTCCGCTAGCCCAGGTCGTGCGTCCGCCGACGCTGGCTGTCGTCGCGCTGGCGCTGCCCACGGTACTTCGCTCTTTGCTGTTGTTGTACTGGCTGTCGAAGTAGCCCGGGATGATCTGTGTCGCGAGACCTGAGCCGCCGGGCTGGGAGGTGGGACTGGCGCGAGCGGTAGCGACTCGTTCGAGACCGGCGAGGCGGGAGATGCGGTCTGCGCGCTCGGCCTCGAGGGTGTTGGTGGAGCTGAGGGAGGTGGAGGAGGAGTGATGCGCATGGCGGCCGTGGGGATGGGGATGGCCCTGGTGACCGTCTTTGATGGCGGTGGTGGATAACGTGGAGAGGGAGGTGGTTCCTGAGTTGGGGGTGCCACTGGTTTGTTAGTTAAGCTCGCTAGATATGAGTACAGTAGACTTACGGTCCCATGTCAGATGGAGTGACGGAGCCGGAGGGAGGAGGAGGAGGCAAGTTGATCAAGGTAGGAGTAGACATCTTGTCTCTTTGATGTACTCTGTAGAGTAGTAGAATAGAAGAGTAGGCGAGGCCAGCTGCACTCGACTGCAGAGTAGATCAATTAGCGACAGCCCACGAAGCAGTCTCGATTGCGACAGAGCAAGAAGATTGGCGTATAGTTGAGTGTCAAGATACAACACAAGCAGTTGAGAGAAACGATGACGGTGAATGGAGAGTAGTAGGTGGAGGGGCGAGTTTATCTTTCCGCATTCACCAGACCACAAACAGCTTACTGATCCCCTTTACTAACTATGTATATTCTTCTGACATCGACATGAATCGCATTCTTTTTTAGATAATATTATTTTATGTCCCTTGATTTCTTTGCTCAAAATGAGGCGACGTCATGGCTCCCTGCAGCCAATCAATCCCTATGCTCTAGCACGCTATGTACATAGTACATTGATACTAATGCAAGCAGTACAGCTATGTACTATGTAGATACAGAGAATAGAACCATAGCTCATTACGGTGTATATACTTATACGTATCAGTCTCTCCGAGTTCAGCATAGTCAGTCATAACTCCTCCCCAGACCCGTCTCCGAGATCCACTTCCGTTCCAAACAATGTTCTCGCTCTCGCCACCGCCGGATACGGAGTATGCACCAGGGTACTCTGCACTGTATGTGTATGTACAGCAGGATCATACTTGTAACTAACAAACAATCATTCATAAAGCATCCAATGAGTCACAGATGCAGCTAATGACTCCCCTGGCGGCTCTCATACCGTCCCCGAAGATCATCCACCTCCTTCTGTAACCGCGACAGATCCTCCAGGATGTTATTCGCGTTCGATGGTTGGAAGGAACTCTCTTCTTCCGTCTTCTTCGGCTGCACGTAGCTGGCGGGTCGGGTGCTATCATTGCTATAACGAGCCCGTCGCGGCGGTGGAGGAGGAGGAGGCGCTGCGGCTGAGGAGGACCCGGACGTTGTTCGTCGGATAGATGTTGTTCTCGATAGTGGTGATTCCGCGGTGGGTGATAGCGGGGATGGCGCTTGTTCTTTAAGTGACGAGGTAGATTTCAATGTATTCTCATCGGTTTGCAACGACAGCGGCCTCGAAGCTCGTTGCACCGGCGGGTTTAATGACGTGGTGGTGGTACCTGGACTCGGGGGCGGGGAGGGCTTAACTCCCTCGCTCCCGACAGGTAGTGACAATCGGTTCTGATTCTGTTTGGAGGATAATGTAGATTTGGATCTCTTCATCTGACTATGTCGTCGACTGAGCGGTGGCGTAGGCGGACGCTTGTATTGGGACTGACTGCGCTTGAGCGTGTCCGTCGCTCTGGGGTTCGAGTTCTGGTTCGGATTCTGGCTTTCATTCGGAACTGAAGAGAAATAGTCCACCTGGACAGACGGCTTACTAGACTGTGACGGCGTACTCGGCGTATTGAACGAGGTCTCGGAAGAAGAATCATGAAAGGAAAAGCGTTTCGATTCAGCCGGCACCGGTTGCACCGGATTATTGATCAACTTCCCATGATGGCTCTTCGGAGGAGGCGGTGGTTTCTTCTCCCTGTTCCCTGACCTGCTGCTCAGAGATCTTGTATCGATATCCGTAACCGACGTGCGTTTGTTCACCGTCCCCGAACGTGTAGATAACTGAGAGACATCGGTACTGCTGCTATTCGCAGTCCGGGACCCCGTGGGAGGCGGAGGAAGTGGACGACTAGCCCGTTTTGCTGACTTTGGATGTAATGTGTTGCTTTCTTTCGTGGATATATCTGCGCTTGTAGGAGGTGCCGACGATAGACCATCGGGCTGAACGGCGGAGTCCCGTCGAGTCTCCTTGTAACTCCCGCTATCCCGATCATTATCGCTCAAATGTGAAGCCTGCCGGAAGGGATCTGACGTCGAGCCATCATCGGATGACACGGAGGTTGTATCGACATCCCTGGTTGATTCCGTTGTCGATGCCGTCGTCGCGGCGGTAGGAGTAGCAGCGGCGGGGTTCTGATCCTCGTTGTCCTGCGCGTCAAACGCCTTTATATCCTCATTTCCATTTTCATTATCATAACCCGCAGCCCCAGGAGGAGCGAAAAGCGAATCATCAACGAATTGCGTCGTAACCGGAAGCGCTGCACCACGATCAAACATTAGCCTTCACATTTCCCCGGGGGGGCCAACCGGAAGTGGCGGCAGGAAATGCAGACTCACTCACCGTCAGGCTTCCTACTAAGGCGGAAAGGATTTAATCCAGACATCGCGAAGGAAGTAAACTGCGCCGAGCATCAGAATGATTAAAGTTGGGAGGGAAAGGGAAAGGAAAAAGGGGAGAAGGAAGAGGAGAAGGAAGAGGAGAAGGCTGAGGTGAGATACTAACAACAAGGTTGGGTTGGGATGGCCGTTTCCGGATAAACCGCTATGATTGTTTGGGTTCATAGATTTGTTGTGATTGATTATGTTTAACTATGGCTTTTGAAGTATTTTAAGCCTCTTTTTATTGTATCTTTTTACGGAGTAATTGTGGTTGTATTGTTATTACTTTTGTAGCACATCACCGTCACAAGCTTCCGAGTACATCGGCAATCCCGTACCCCATACGGGGTATGTCGCCCTGCTACACAATGGACACCAGATACCCTGTAATACACTGTACAAGAATGGAATAGCTGTTGATGAGTTGGCACACTTCAATACAACCAGTTATATACAGCTGGTTATAAGATTCCCCCAAATCGACATCTGCATGTCATTCGCCTCTCAAAGGCTATCGTACATGGTTATGATTTGCATTCCGGGGAGTGAATCCTGATATGCGAGGGTACATTATTGCTGTAGCTAGATGATACTCTTACTTATCAAGAGATCGAAGAAAATGTAGTATGTCTGCTACTCTGGCTGATTGCAATTTGCTTCCCTCGCCTCTAAATGATAAAATGACAACAAGATGCAACCGTTGACGATAATAAACGAATAAAAAGACCTATATAGTACAGAGAAGATATCAAGGAAATGAAAAAAAGAAAAAAAAAAAAAAAAAAGAAAGAAAGAAAGAAAACACAGTATCCTGCCAGATCCGTGTTATACAAATTGAGCCAGATTGCTCTGCGCAATCTCTTCGTATACCAAAGCCCAATGGATAAACAAAATAAATGAAAAGGGTATCAGTCAGTCACTCTTGTACTGAGTGTGTAACGTCCATATCTGCTTCCATCCCACGCAATTTCGATCCTGCGAAAGGTTCAACTCTCATTGTAAACATGCCACGGCTCATCGGGCCCAAAGAATGACCGAATCAAACGATTCCCACTTTCAGTGGGTTGACTGAAAGCGATCTGCTCCTTGGGGATTTCCATTCCGTAAATGAAATTCACCACCACGCAATCCAGGAGATCCATGGCAATTCCTTTCCGTCGGGACGAGCCTGACGTCCAGATCCGCGAGATGCCGACGATGGCGGGATGTGTCTCATCTCCAACTGTAATCGAGGAGCTGTTGTTGGACGGGTGTTCGGCACCTCCACCGTTGGCCTGTGTTGCCGACTTTTGGACGGGCTTTGATTCCCAAATCCGCTCCGTCAGACATGCTCCCACGCAGCGACTATCTTTCATGTGTAGAAAGACCTTGTAGCGATCCACCTTCTCCATCGACTCGTGTTGTTGATCCTTAGGAGGCTCGACTTGGCTCCAGAGGACGTCGTCGGGAATCTCCGGAGAGGAGAGGTCCTTGCTGATAACCTCCAACACTTTCTTCGCCTGGTTCTTCGCAGACGGCGACGCCTTGCGATCAACAATCACCACGTAGCCCTCATCGAATCGAGTCGCCTCGTAAACCCAGCGACATGCATTCGCCCGCATAAACGCCTTCCCAAGATCCACCCCGGTCGAGTTCATATCATGAAACTTCTTATGCAAAGCCGCATCCTCCGTATTGGTGGGATTATACTCCATCCCACAAGTCGTACATGTCTTGCGCACATCCCGTCCCACGTCGATCTGCATCTGTTTCAGCGTCGGCTGTTGCTGCTGCCGTTGTTGCGACGGCTGCGACGCCTGTTTCAGCTTTTTCTTCGGTGGATCGGCCGACGAGCGCACACTGTTGGAATTCACCTCGGAAAGCGGGGTACCATTGGCACCATCTTTAGTCGCGGAGTGCTTGCGCTTGAGGAACGAAAACGTGGGTTTCCGCGTGTTGGCCGGCGGCGGGCTCAACCTGGGTGGCGGTGACGAGGGAGGTGTTGAGAGGTCATCGTCCTGCGTGGCCTCTGAAAGAACAACTGAATTGCGACGCGACGGATTTGATAGGATAGCAGCGGATGACTCGCGTATGGCATATTGCAGATTGGCTTCAGCTTCGTCGGACTCGTCGCCGGCTTGGACGCGTCTCTTCTTCGCAGCAGGGTTTTGGTCGTCGTCGTAGACGCGCCATAAGGGTCTTCCGTAAGTTTTCATGAGGCCTCTGTAAACGGACAGTATATTAGCATTATTCTGGAGTCATGGTGGTTGGCGACCGTACCGCTTGAATGAATTCGTTACAGTCCACGGCATCTCAATGTCGACAAATGCATTTACTTGGGAGCGCGAGGCGACATGGACGAGGCTGAAACGAGGGTTTTATAAGATCGCCTGCCTTGATGCTTTTTGGTGGCGAACTGGACGTGTTTACTTTTTTGATGCGGATTCGGCGCACAGCAGGAGAAATCACGGGCAACGCGTGTGGTTGGCGCTAAGCCGCTTTTAGTCATATTGCTGGTGTCAGTCACGAGACTACTTACTGGGTATTTGTAGGATTGAGGAGACACGGAGAGAGTAAATAGTAGTAGTAGTAGTAGTAGTAGTAGTAGTAGTAGTAGTAGTAGCAAAAATAAAGAGAGGGTGAAATGAGAGAGAAGAATACTGTATTTATGCGCGTATGGATGTCAGCGAATTCCGTGATGAGGACGGAGTATGCGGATATGATGAATGATGATGGAACGAACCACTGTTATACTGAAATAGATAGTAGAAGAGAGTATAGAAGAGAGATGATGATAGAAAAGAGAGAATAATTGTACGGAGTAGAAGATGAGACCACTGGTGCTGTGGGACTTTTCTCGCCCCTTAATAGCGCTCACCACTACTTCCTACTATGTATAACTATACGGACTCACTACTCCATAGAAGACCTGGGGCCTAATCATCGCCAACCCATTCAAATCAGAGTCCTCCAGATGGTGAGTCCCCTCCAAGACACTGTACGAGGATCCGGCTGAATCTGACAGATCCGCCCCAGAATACGGGGTACACAGAATCACATCCTCAGCTTGGCTCACAGCGATCGGTTCTCGTTATGCGATAGATGAGAATACAAGTACATCATCCTGGGCGACGGCGTGGATGCCCATCTCAGCCAACCCCGTCGATGCTATGCCTGCGAGATGTTGCCTTGCTTGCGCAGCTAAGGCGCAGCAGGCTGTACTTGTAAGCAGTAAAGGTAAGGCTCCGTTCTGATGTGGATAATGTGGAGAGTTGACTGACATCTGCTCAGTGTGAGACAACAGTACGGATACGGTTCTCTACGAGTTCGCTGATACAGGATGGCTGATTATCATCCAGTGAGATATGCTATCGAGCTGATCTCTGGTGACTATGCAATCGATGCAATTCCATCACTTGCGCACTCCCTGCATTGTCAAGGTCGCACCACCAGGCTGTTTGCGCAATATCGCCTCAATAGCGCTGGCATGTGTAACTTGGATGTGCCTTGCCATGAGTAAGTTGCTGTTGATACGGAGTACTCTCTACTCTGTTTCTCATGATTTTGCTCTGTTGGGTAATTTGGCCTTATGGCTCTACTAAGCGTGCCTCATTCATATGCAGCTCGGACCCCGGGCGACGATCTCCTGTGGCAAATAGCCTGCATAATATCGCTCATGCTTCTTGATATGTACGGAGTACTCTCGCACTCCGGGACCGGGCGTCAGACATCAGAGTATTAGTCTCGCCGACCGGAAATACTGAACCGTCCAATTGATACTCCGGAGTACGCTTCCCGGAGGACTGACAGCCGTGCTCAACGCCTGGATGTTCGATTATCCTGCAAGTCATCCTCAGAGAAATTAAACATGTGCTTTTGCTATACCGGCCAGTTTTACGGAGTAACGGAGACAACGATCCCGGGTATGTTGGCCTACGAGAGAGAGCATCAGCATTGATTAATTTCGGCGTATGTCGGTTATTAATGTAGTAACAAAAGCAATTCGATTAAAGAGAACCAGATGGAATGACAATAACTCCTCGCACTTGTAGTATTGTTCTTGTTATTGGTATGCCTCTTTAGTATATTAACTCCGTCTGCCGCTTATCTTCTTCGGGTTTTTTCTCTTCCTTTTTACTTCCACCTTTCGTATTCCCAACAAGAAAAAAAAATTTTTTTTTCTCTACTCTTTTAACACTTTCAATTGCAAGATAAACAATTCTTCTCTCCAAATAAAACAGACACAACAATGGCAGACATAACTCAAGTGGCCGGCAAGAGAAAGCGTGCGAGTATGTTTAATCCAATGGGAACCCCCGACAGTCTTTTTTTCCTTTCCGTCCCCTCTCCTCTCACCTTTTCTTCTCTCTTCCATCTCCCACTCTTCTCTCAACGAGGCACTTCAACAATTTTATCCTTATATTTATATTGGATATCTTGGCTATCTTGTTCAACACTATATATCTGATATCTCTCACTGTTTTTTGTGCCTCTGCGAGATTCTCACTTTTGCCCCTCTCTTGACAACCCGCCACTGGACACGACATCGTCTTCCAACATATACAAGAAAATGACTGACCGATCTTCCTCAGGGACCCAGTCCTGCCCTCCTCCCGAATTGCCCCAGCTGGTGGCTGAGCAGCATACTCCCATCCCTCCCCAAGACAAGGACACCAAGCGTTTGATTGTCGTTCTCTCCAATGCCAGCTTGGAGACTTACCGGGCTGCCCACGGTGGACGCAGCGGTCCGGGTCGCGACGAGAAGTACTCGTTGCTGAACAGTGACGAGCATATTGGTGTCATGCGCAAGATGAACCGCGACATTAGCGAGGCCCGTCCGGATATCACACATCAGGTTAGTATATCTGCTTTTTATAATTGTTTCGTTTGGTTACTAATTGTTCTTTCACTGTAGTGCCTCCTGACCCTCCTCGACTCGCCCGTCAACAAGGCCGGAAGACTGCAAATTTTCATTCACACCGCCAAAGGGGTTCTGATCGAAGTGAACCCCTCGGTCCGTATTCCCAGAACCTTCAAGCGGTTCGCCGGTTTGATGGTTCAACTCCTTCACCGGTTGTCTATCCGCTCAACAAACTCGCAGGAGAAGTTGCTGAAGGTCATCAAGAACCCCATTACGGACCACCTTCCCCCCAACTGCCGGAAGGTGACCCTCAGTTTCGAGGCCCCCGTGGTGCGGACCACCGACTACGTCGAGTCTATGGGTCCCAACGAGAGCATTTGCATCTTTGTTGGTGCCATGGCCAAGGGTCACGATGACTTTGCCGACTCCTTCAAGGACGACACCATCAGTATCAGCAACTACAGTCTGAGTGCAAGTGTGGCGTGCAGTAAATTCTGCCATGCTGCCGAAGAAGCCTGGGATATTCTTTGATTTCCCAGCGTTTATGCGTCAACCGCATTTACAACGAGGGAAGGGAAAAAAAGAAACTTTTACGAGGTGACGAAATTTCTTGCGTTGGGTACTCGATGCGATGATCAAATGCCGCACGATATTTAATGTTTTTTTTTGTTGGAATCCTTTATTTTAGGGGGTTTTACAACGGTATCGCCACAGCCGGGCCACCAGCGTCTCATGGGCATTCACCTTCCAGGGACGGTCTCATGTGGTGCTGGTCGGGTTACAATGGGCCCTACGATTACGACGGCCCAAGACAGGGTTTGGCCTTGGCTTGTGGCGATTTACGCGCTGAGGACTTGAGCGCATGCCAAGTGCGGTACGCCAAAGGAAAGGAGGAGATATTAAAGAGAGACGAGAGAGAGACGTGGTGGTTAGACGTCTTGGGGACTGGCACTTTCCACCTTATTTCGGTAGACGAATTCAACATTCTGTTCCCTTCCATGTCTTCAACAGACTTGGTCACTGTATGGATAGACCGGGACAAGACGGCTATCCGGGGAGAGCAGCAAGTGCTGCACGAGAATCCCTACTGGCATGGTGAGACATCATCTCGTGATGGATTGCTCTAGCCACGAGGGGCTGTCAGATCGTAGTCGTAAGTACAGTACTCTACTTTATTGTACAAGTACTCCGTAGACAGCGCAGAGATGGATGCCTTGTTTGTGCCTAATCTTTGAGGCATTCACATATCTTGGTTGATCGCCTTTCTCCGGTGTTTCACCAACGGAGTACAGAGTTCACACTCACAATTATTCTGCCGCCTGCAATTCAGCCGGCGACATGCTCGCTTCAATTTATTTCAATCACGTTCACTCATTAATGAACCCCAGACCATAACTAACCCTCATTCGCCCGGGTGCTCCCGGTGGCTGGAGATCTCGACGTGGCACGCAGAAATCCCAGCATTATGTATTGCCTCTATCCACAGTGGACCGGACCAGCCGCTTCACTTTTACTGGTTTACACATTACAAGCGGATGACAATGAGTTATTCTTTTGACAATACAGCGAGGATATGGCGATCAGGCCATGCACGGAGCTCTCTCTGAGCAAAGCCCGAACGAGCTGAACGGATTGATAGGATGGGAATATCTCATGCTTCTAGAAGATGATCTTAGTCTCTCGCTAAGGGATCACGGCCATGGACAAAGTTCGGCGGTCAGAGTGCAAATAATGCCCAAGAGGAACGAGGCACAACGCCGTCCTATCGGTCTGACTCTCGGGACATTCTGACAAAGTACGGAGCACACGGAGCACTTACAGACGGTGTGAAAAGTCTGTCCGCCCCTCAGCGGTGCTGGTCCAATACGGGCGGTCCTTCATGGCCCTTTGACTTTCTTTCTCGCTGCCTTGTCGCCTCACCAGCGTCAAAGAATATGCGCTCTTCGGGACTTCCTATCTGCGGATCGGGCTCCTGTCAGTAGTATCCCTGGTCTATCCTTGTCCTATCCTTTCCTTGATAGGCGCTCATCCGACCCGGGAGAAGACTCAATTCCCCGCGATGACCTGGCTGGTTGGTCCCCACTTTGAATCTCTTCTGGTCTTGGAGCTTCACCGAAAGAGAGCGAAGAACGTAGCCATGATGGGTCGAAACATGCATTACCGAGACTCCTGGTTGGAAGACCTCGTGGAAGGACCGAACATTACCTGCAGTGCTGGGCTTGTATGCTACATGACTGGTCAGTCTGGCACCGTATTTCCTTTCAGGGCTGGATACATGGTTCTCTAAGCTTTTCCTGTTTTTCCATTTCGCCGTATATTGGGCATCTTTTTCTTTCTGTCCATTCGTATGCCTTGAAATACTGCAACTTTCGCAGCTGCCTGACTCGGGTTTTTATACTCTTGTTCTTCATTGATTTACCACACATTGTCAATCAGTCCTGCATATAAGACTGTCTTTCGCTTTGAATCTCACCGTTTACCCCGCTAGCCGCTAGACAGCGCACTCGTCTCAATTCTCTACAACTTCACATCATCTTACTGTGACAACTCGCAAGGTCTTCCTGTGAGACTCAGACATGCCTCTGGCTCACCTTACCCTCACAGTTCGAGATGTTCGAGCTGCCACTTCGTTCTTTCTCGCTTGCCTGCAACCCCTCGGTTACCAATTCGTTGGTCGCCATGAAGATTATATCGGTTTCGGGCAGAAGACCGGCGAGCCAGCTGACTTTTGGTTAACAGAACAGAAGCCTGGGTAAGTTTTTTTTTTTTTTTTTTTTTAAATCACCGTATCCCGAATTCCTGCTAACCCGAACAGACTACCCGCTGGCGCTGCACATCTCGCCTTCCCCGCCCCGTCAAGAGAAGCAGTAGGCAAGTTCTTCATGGCAGCCTTAAAAGCCGGAGGAAGAGTACACGGGGAGCCGAAACTGCGTGATCCCGACTCTGGGTACTACAGCGCTGCCATTATAGACTCTAATGGAAACAGCGTCGAGGCTGTCTACCGCCCGGGCCACTCGTCCGGAATGTCGGCGGTTAGCTCGTCGGTTGACAGTACTGTTTCTATTACCACTAAGAGTAGCTCGAGGGCTAGCTCTAGGACACAGACTACTGTGCCGTCTCGGTCAGAAGCCCGGTCGCATACGTCCAGGGCTAGCACTAAGGTGGAGAGACCTCCTCCATCGGAGAAGTCGAGGGACTTGAGAGAACCGAGGGAGTCCAGAGAGTACAGGGAGTCGAGGGATCCGAGAGAATCGCGGGGGCCAAGGGACTCGAGGGAGTTGAGAGAGCCAAGGGAATCAAGGGAACCGAGAGAGTCGAGAGAGTCGAGAGAACCAAGGGATACGAGAGAACCAAGGGAATCGAAGGGGTCAAGAGAGTCTACTGCAAGCTCGAATAGCAGACGAGGAAGTTCAACGGCTCAGACTCAGGCCCATGCGGCCCAGCAGCGAGAACAGCAGCGAGAGAAGCAGCAACGAGACCAACAGCAACGAGGGCAACAGCAACGAGACCAGCAGCAACGAGACCAACAGCAACGAGGGCAACAGCAACGAGACCAACAGCAACGAGACCAACAGCAACGACACCAACAACAACGAGAGCGAGAGCAACGAGAGCGAGAGCAACGAGAGCAGGATGGCAGCAGCCGGGCGGCTAAGACGCTTGTCGGCTCACTCATCGGTGCTGCTGCAGGTGCTGCCCTTGCCTATGCCTGGAGCGGTCAGTCGCCATCGTCGGAAGATACGCCTTCTTCGCAGCCTACGCAGCCTACGCAGCCTACGCAGCCTACACAGCCTACACAACCTGCGCAGCCCAACCAGTCTGGTCAGTCCGCACAACAGCCACCGCGCGAACGAACTTACCAACAAGCGCCGTCCTCGCGGTCCTCATCCCAGACAGCACAGACACTACCTATCAGAACCATCGAGGCAGGCGGCTCATACTTCCCGCCGAAGCAACCGGATCCCCCCCGTCCAGGCCTGACCCGCAGCGTCACGTCCAAGAACGCCCGCGCCAGCACCATCTACGAAGGCTCCGAATATGGCGGCAAATCCGAGACCAGCCGTACCTATCTCGACGACAGCGGTCGTCGCGCCTCTGACGGCGGAGCCGCCTTCGGTCTCCCAGACCTCGCAAACCTGCCCCTCCGAGCCATCGAATACCCCCCACCCACATACAGCAAGGCAAACGAACCGTCGCGGGGGATGGACGACGACAAACGAAGCATGTACTCCGCCTCCACAGCCCGTCCCTCCAACGCAAGCTACCAATACCAATACCAAGATGACCGCGACCGCTCCGCCTACGCCCTCTCCCACGCCAACACCAACACCAACACCAACAACAACAAATACAAACCCAACAGCACCGCCTCCCGCACCCCGCGCAACATCCCCCTCCCAGATTCAATAGCCTCCTCCTACCGCACCGGCGCCAGCGGCACAAACACAAACACCGGATCCTACACCTCCGCGCGCGGCGCCCCCCTCACAGAGGGCTCCCTCGCATCCTTCCGCAGCAACTCCGCCGTCCCCATCCCCGAAAGCGTCGTCAACGTCGACGTCGACACGGATGTCACCCCCGACGACTCGGTGAGCCAGATATCGTCGAACGCGTACCGGTCGAAGCCGAGGCAGGGGCCGATGCCTGCGCCTGCACCTGTGAGGTCGGGTGTTTCGGCGGCCGCGCTGTCGAAGAAGTCGAGTCGGTTTGAGGAGCCGGTTAGGCCGGATGATAGTGTTAGTCAGGTTTCGTGTAATTCGAGGTCGACTGCTAGGGCTGGGGGTGGTGGTGGTGAGCGGAGGAGTCAGGCTGTATAGGGGTTGGTAGTTTGGGGTTGAGGTGGGTTGGTTGCATATTGTGTTTTTTTTTTTTTTTTTTTTTTTGCTTCTTTGCTTTGTTTCTGTCGGGTATGGATTGGGGTTTTCTGCTTTTTCTTCTTCTTTTACATTCATTCGAGCATTGTCTATCTGTGTCGCTTGGCTATGATGGACGTCTGCATTTTCTTTTCCAGACTATATTCTTGGGTTCATTGGCGTTAGGTGTATATAGTGACCGATTGATCAATTGATATCATCAGAACATTCAAGCTTGAACATGTCAGTTACTCTACTACGTATGAGTAAAGATATAGTATGGGCTGTATTAGACAAGGTGATAGTTTACTTGATAGTGATATTGCTGGATGTATATCTTTTTATGAACCCGCTCATTTCCCACCAAAGACAGCCAAACTACGGCATAACCAGAAACTCAACTACAGTTAAAGGCAAAGAATGTCCCCATCGACACCCACACCCCACCCAACACCCAGCAGCCCACCCCCAACCCTACAACCACCCCTGACGTAAACACATCCAGGCCGATAATAGCGAACAGAGACCTCGACACCGCTAAAAGCAGCATCACTTACTCCGTTGCTTTGGTCATCAACCATAAGGACAGATCAGGAGCAGCGCAGAGAGGTGAATGGACTGGTGTTCTGGAGTGTTGGATGGGGGCTGAACGAACAGTGCAATATTTTGTGAATATTGCTGGTTGTTCAGGTGAGGGTATCTGTGTAGAAGGAGATGATGGGGTTGATATATCGCATCCGATACAGAGCTTATTCCGATAAGGAATTTCAAGGCATGGATCTCGCCTTGCGCTCCACCTTGCAGCGCGAATTGTAAATTGTGAATGGGATAGATTTTGAAAAGAGAAAAAAAGAAAAGGGAGAATGCTGTATTGGGTATCTGAAATTGATGCATTTGGTTTGGTTTGCTTCCCTCCTACCTGACGATTAGATTAAGTAAAGATGCGCGCTCGTTTGATCGGACTTCCCATCCGAAGTGATCGATTCCCACTAGCCATACCGCTCAGCACCCGGCCCATGCCGTTCACGTCGAGTTCGCCACGACGGAGCATGAGTTGATCTACTTCTGTAGGGATTGGTTCTTCTGCCGGTCGAGAGGCCGATTCATAGTGCGGCTCGACCAGTCGCGGGGCCAGGATCATTACTCGATGCTCTGCGGTAACGAGAATGTCGAACTCATGGCGGTCCGTGGTCTTGCGAGTTTGGCGAGACGCTGCGGGGAGATGACCAATGCCTGTGAAGTGCTCACCCATCAGGTGAACGTCTTGGATTGTAGACACGCGGCACCGGTTCGATGAGTCGAACGTGCCGGCGGCTTTGACTGTGTTGCGCCATAGGGCTAGCAGGCTGGGAATAACCGCGCTCTGGCTTCCGTGGCGCAGCAGAACCGACTCGTCAGGCAATGCGTCTCTTGCCGAGTTGGTTTGGAACACGGATAGTTCACCGCACATGGATGGACTGGTGGACGTTCCGACCGAGCCTTTGAGCAGAGTGTCCTCACGCACCCGCTTCGTGGATGGCGTTAAGGGAGCGAATTTCGGTCGCTGATCGGTCTCGCCCGGGTCCGTCTTGTTGCTCAGCGGACTGAGAATGCGGCCGCTGACCGAGAACGTGGTCAGAGAACCTCCCGTAACTCCTTGAACACTGGACTGGCGTTGCAGAGGTCCCTTGGCGGTCCCCGGACCAGCACCCTCGATGTCCCAAACTCCCCATTCCCCGTCAGCCATCAAGACCATTACTGCACGTCCTCCAAGCACCCAATCAGCGTCAATAATCGTCTTTCGAAGTGGGAGTCCCGAAGGCGTTGATTCAAATCCAGGGAAGAGACTAATGAGCCATCTTCCTTCCGTCTCCGTAATCTCGTAGTCGCTCTGCGGACCCGACCTTCGCGATGCCTTGGATGGCTTGGTCGAAAAGCACGAGTAGATTTTCACGCATCCGTGGAATGCGACAAGCAGAGTTGAGTGGCGGGTTGACGGGTATCCCGACGGATTAAAAGCGATTGTCTGGGCAGGAGCGGGCAAATGGCGTCTCCTAGACTCGATGTCCTCGTCTGACAGCCGGTAGCTGACCTGGTCATGATTGAATTCCTCCAATAGTGCAATCCGGTGTATCAAAAGCAAGCCCGACGCCTCCGCAGAATGAGTTGCCACAAGAAGATCCCATCTTTCCGCTGTATTCCCATTGTTTTCCACCTCCTGGCAAGTAAACGTAATCGAAAGACCGCGCGGAATCTCCTGGTGAGAGACTCCGCCAGCGATGGAAAGCGTCTGAATGTCCCATGTCGACGGATCGGTCTGAACAAGGTGAGGTGGTTTCAACGGGAGAGTAACGATTCGCGTCGAAAAGTCTGCGCAGACGGCGGCCACCACGATTGAATCCTTCAACAGAGGCGGGAAAGGGTCAAGTGCTGAGCGTGCAGTCTCCGGGAGAACACGCGGCACGGCCAAGTCAAGAACTTTGCTTCCCAACGGGATGTCGATCTGTCGGAGAATCTCTTCGAAAGGATAGGCAGGGTCAACCTCTGTCTCATCCGCCTCAAAATCATACACAGTCTCCTCTTTCTGCGGCTCTGGGCTGTCCTCATCGTCCGAGTCAATGATCATGACCGCATCGTCACCACCGTTGGGCTTCTTCGACTTATTCCCGTTCGGGGACACTGCTTTCGGGACCGAAAATCGTCTTCCACCTCTCCAGACCACCTTCAATCCATTCTCATAGCCGTATATGATAATCGAGGAGCCGTTCGGGGCGAGGATAGGATAGCCTTTCGCAGCGTGAATGCGGTGAGGGAGTTGATAGCTAGAGCTGTTAGACCGGGTTTATCTCCAAATAAAAATCCAGTGGCAAGTACCTGAGCTGCAGGCCATCGTCCCTTGGCCTTACCAAGGGCGTATCAGGGAATGAGGGCATGGGTGGTGGCGATTCAAGCTCGACTGTTCTTGGGGAAGAAAAAACAAGGGAGCTGCTGCTGGCACCAGCAGAGGAATATTCAGTGATCAATGTGAGTCCTCTGCGATTAGAAGTCTCTAAATGATTAGAGTACTCCAGTAATGGTATAGTTATAGAGAACAGCTGTGGTAGTAGAGAGTTGGAGGAAGTTGGCTCTCTCCCCGAAGAGGAAAAAAGGAAAAGCCGCGCCGCGTCGGCTTCACTCTCAGTACGGAAAAACAACAACACGCGAGACCTTGACAACGCTCCGTCCGAGGTCTTTGGACTATTTGCTTACTGACTGCTGAACTGACAATGGGCATGATCCAGTCACTGGCTCCTATTGCCAGAATCGATACTCCTGCTGCATAATGGCGACTGTCCGCTCTCTCGGCCTCCACGTCCCCTCCGCCCTCCCGTTCCTGATCGCAGAGAACCTCCTACCCCCCGATCCTTCTGACGACCAGTTTGCCTGGAAGACTTGTGTCGACGAAACGCCAAATGGCACTGTTGCGGACGAGATTGTCTGGACAAAAGAGTGCGTCGTGTGGTCACGAGCCGGGATTGTGACGAGGGTATTTCGATTGGATCTGGAGAAGGAAGAGATACGACATGCTTTGATAACACACTTTGCGCCAGAGAAGGCAAAGAAGTCCGACGCGAATGGCAATGATACATGGGGATCTCCGACAGGAGCACAGCGGGGACCGGAACCGAAGCTGGCTGCTTCTGGGTTGACACTGGGTCTACGAGATGGAGAGATACAGGGGACAAGCGGTTCTGGCTCGACGAATGGGCTGTCTAGAGCTCTGGTGGTGGTGCTCAAGTCTCAGGCGCACATCTTCTTTCTTACTGGCAACAGCCATGTCATCCCATTGCCCTTCGAAGTCGACTCGGTGTTTGCTACTCCCAGAGGCCTTCTATTTCAAAGGAAGGTCCAGGAAGAGGATATCAGCTCCACAATATACCCAATGGCGCCTCCCAATTCTTTTATATCTCGACCGGGTACGGCGTCTCAGTCTCAAACCAATCAGCCGTCATTAACGGTTTCCCCTCTCCAGCCCTCTCTGAAACCAAAGAAGAGTAAACATGCCAACCTTCCTAGGGTCTTTTCCCTGATGGATCCTCATTCCGAAATGGGACTGGTTGTCACCAGCCAGTCTTCTCGTTGGTTGCAAAGCAGCACCAGTAGCAAACCTTCTGGATTAGATGTTCTGGATCCAGCAGATGAAATAGTATATGTCTCTCCAACAAACGAGCTGTCAGGCTCTAGTCAAGCATTAACCAAGGGGCCCCTCATACTTGTCGTGACAGTCAATTCGCATACGGGTCTGTATACCATCTGGACCGCACGCTATGGAGATGAAGAGAACGCAACATCGTCTTCGTCGAAGAAACGAGAAAGACGTGAGACGGGAGGCACCCGCTCTCGACGACGAAGCTCCCATTTTGGAATGGCCACTGGAGCGACAACCCCCGTGGCCCGTCCATCTACTGCTCGGGAAAGCTTTGGCCCTCGAGAGAGCTGGAACACTCCCGGGCTATCACACTCGCAGTATTCTACCGATGGGAGACCGGACGAGGAGGATCTCGCATCTCGCTTGGGTCAAGATTTGGGTGACCTCGGGGTTCCGTCCAAAAACTCACGACGGGTGAGCTCTTTGCTTGCACGCGCAGACTTGGCGACCAACCAAGATAGAATCGCGTTTTCAGACCTTGCGACAGGAAGCCAGTCCACCACTGTGTCTCATGGAGGGCTGCGGCAGTCTATAAGCGGCGCCAGCACCCGTGGAAGCTTTGGATTCAACCCTCGCGGATCTCTGCCACCGGGAAGTGCTTCTATTTACAGCACCACAAGCAGCGCTGCTGACGGTCCGGTTGATAGGCTCCTGGAGGAGTTGAACAATGATAGCCTTTATGAGGGATTTGAGAGCATGGACCTTAAGGGAGCTGCGTCGGGTCTCCCGGAGGAAGTACTGCTTAACAAAATCGAGAGCTTTCCTATGAAGTTCTCGGGCAATTTCCAGGCAAACACCAAATCCAAGTCTCGACGGCTGAAGATCTCTACCATGACGCCCTCTGCTTGTGGTCATTCACAGAATGGGCTCACAGCTGTCTTGGCTATTTGTGTCGTTGATCAAGATGCAAAATCCATGGCGATTGTCAACCTAAGGGCCGACCGAATTGCGTTCCCGAAAAAGGATCGAGTTATTTCCAAAAAGACGAAGAAGAATGTGTCCCCGGATGAACGCTCCTTGCTCGTCCAGGCGACTGGTGTACATCATTATTCCAACGTATTGGATGCCTGCAAGGTTGTGGACGGAGAAGTCTCGCGGTTTGCGATATTGAGCGTCGCAGACCAAGGGGAGCACGAAATATCTTTGCAGTCTCCGTGGTGCAGTCCAATGACGGTCGAGGTTCCCAGGAGACTCATGCTCTACGATCCATACGGTGTATCCACAAGTACCCCGATGAACAGGCCTCGTGAGAGTGGTTTGCACCGGCTCATGACGGACTCGTCTGTTACAGTTACAGGACTGGATCACCCATCTGTCCGTGGCCGAATCGACGTGATTGATGACATGAAGCGGAAGCACAGCCTGCAAATTCAAATGGAACCTAGTAACGAGGTCGTCAGGCGTATCATAAGAGTCTGTAGGTTCGTTTTGCGCGATACGGAAAAGGCTGGAGAAGGAATCTTGATCGGATGGTGGAAGGTCATGAAATGGCTTCGCGCCAGGGAGACAAACGAAAACGATTTGGAATGGACAGCCATGGTAATTGTTCTGTTCTCGATGGCTATTCCATTCATCAGCGGCCACACGCCACAAACCCCAGTTAAAACTCGCAGGCGAAGGGGCCTTCCCAGATCAAGCAGTGGAAGCTACGCCGACTTGGAGAGTTGGGAGGCGATGCTGGACCAAGAGTCAGGCTCTGCTGGTGTGGTCGCGCCATGGATGAACAACAGCGCATGGGGATGGATCGTCGAGCAGGATGCTGAAGAAGAGGACCACAGCAGTGCACCGTTAACGCGTGGACGGAGAACATCCACCATGGATCAGTTGAACTCCAGCCGGTCTACATTCCGCAAAAACTCCTACTTGCTTCGATGTGCCGCTTTGACCCGCGAGTTCTTGCAAACTCCTCAAGGGACCGAGGCTTCAGGACCGGAAGGCTATCTTCCAACCGCAGAGTCTTACAATGAGAACTCTCGCCGGACCGCCTTGTGTACGGTGTTTGTGGGCTTACATATTCTACGGGAAGAGCAAAAGCTGTCTATTTGCGAGACAGAGCAATCTCGTAGGACCCTAGGTCTACTCGCTCCGGTGCTGGCACAGATCGGGCGATACCTGGGTTGGAAGGCGTGGACATGGACCGAAGATTCTTACTTTGGTTGCGAAATTGCGAGTATCGATCGCTGGCAATTCGAGGATGCTGAGATTTCTACACTCAACGTTCCCTCTGAGCCATTTGCACCTCCCTCGATCTTCGCATACATGGAGAACGCGTGGCGCCAACGGTCGACGCCGTTCCTTTCACTCCTCGATCTTATCAGTGCTTCGGATAGATCTTCGAAGAAGGGCAAGTTGTGGCAAGAGTGTTTTACTTTGACACCCAGAATGCTGGCGTTGAATGGGTTCCTCTCCGAAGTGCACCGCTGCTCAACAACACTGGATAAGGTCAAACTCCTGCATCGTTGGGGCTTGACGAGGAGTGTCATTGAGACCTTCCCGGAGGGAGTGAGTGCACCGTTGTACGAGGCAATCATGCAATCCCAGGTCCGCGCGTCGACTTCATGGAATGCGGCACTCTTGGAACTTATTGATCGGGAAGACTTGAACATGTCAATGAATACCGATAATTCTCGCCCATTCTCGACAGCACCGCAACCAGCAGTGTTGCACGAAGCGGTGCGCGATTTCCATAATGTCGGCAACTCGGCGATGGATATTGATACAATCAATTCTTTCGAAGTTTCGGCAGAAGCAGATCGGTTCTCTGTGACGCGGCTGATATTCCGAGAAGACAAGCGTTTTGTGGAAGCCGCCAGGGTGCTGAATCAATCGAAACCACCTGCGGCAGAGTGTGTACCGGAACCAACATGGACGGACTCGGATCTGCTCGAGGCGCAGAAGGAAGTCGTGCAGTTGGTAACGCTACGGACGTTATCTATTCCTGCTGGAAGAGCCATGTTGGCCTTTAGTGGTCGGTTACCATTGTTGACTGAAAAGCTACCGATTCCGTCGTTTTCGTTGCAGTGTGTGATGAAGCCTTCTAATGTGACCATCAGTGCAGACCGGGCCTCATTCAGCGAGGAAAAGGTGTGTTGGGCGTTTTTCCACAATGGTGTGTCGACAGGTCTGGCGATTTCGAAAGCGTCTAAAGGGATTGATACCTCGTGGATTCTGTTCAATAAGCCGCAGGACTTGACGAACCGACACGCAGGCTTCCTGTTGGCCCTGGGTCTGAATGGGCATCTCAAGTCGCTGGCGAAGTGGGTTGCATTCAAATATTTGACACCGAAGCATACCATGACATCCATTGGACTTCTACTGGGTCTCTCCGCGTCGTATCTGGGCACGATGGACACCCTGATCACGCGTCTACTTTCTGTGCATGTAACGCGCATGTTGCCTCTTGGAGCAGCGGAACTCAACCTGTCACCGTTGACACAGACTGCTGGTATTATGGGCATTGGTCTGCTCTACTGTAACTCGCAGCACCGGAGAATGAGCGAGGTCATGCTGTCGGAGATTGAAAACTCGGAACAAGAAGATAGTTCTTCGACATCGCACGAAGACTTGCGAGACGAAGGATATCGACTTGCTGCCGGTTTCGCGCTTGGATTTATCAACCTTGGCAAGGGCAAAGATCTCCGGGGCATGCGAGACATGCATATCGTGGAACGGTTGCTGGCTATCGCGGTGGGAACCAAGAACGTTGACCTGGCGCACGTCTTGGACCGGGCTACTGCTGGGGCGACGATTGCGTTGACCATCATTTTCATGAAGACAAACGATGTATTTCTGGCGCAGAAGATCGATATTCCTGATACGACGGTGCGCTTCGACTATGTGCGGCCTGATTTGTTCCTGCTTCGAACGTTGGCGAGACATTTGATCATGTGGGACAGCATCCAGGCCAGTGAAGAATGGATTATCGAGAGCCTTCCAAAGATCTATCGCCGACGTTATCGGCTGACCGGCGTTCGTCGCCTCAAGAGTGACGATATGCCGTTCTTCAATATCATCGCAGGTCTTTGCTTCACGCTGGGTCTTCGATATGCCGGCACCGCGCAGACGCACGTGCGTGACCTTCTGGTTTCATATCTGGACCAGTTTATGCGGATTTGCCGACTGCCTGCGATGAACTACGATGGAAGGCTCACTCGGAACTCGATCCGGAACTGTCAGGATATCGTCGCGCTTTCTGCGGCCACTGTGATGGCAGGAACCGGGGACCTGGTACTGTTCCGACGGCTGCGTTCGCTCCACGGCCGCGTGGACCCAGATACCCCGTATGGTAGTCATATGGCGGCACACATGGCCGTTGGCATGCTCTTCCTGGGTGGTGGCAGTTACACGCTGGGCACTTCGGACTTAGCAATTGCCTCACTCCTCTGCTCGTTCTACCCAGTCTTCCCGACCACAGTGCTAGACAACAAATGCCACCTCCAAGCATTCCGACACCTATGGGTTCTAGCAGCAGAACCACGCTGTCTAATCCCTCGGGACATCGACACCCGCCGACCTATCTCGATCCCCATCACAATCAGCACCAAGACCAACGGCCGACGCAAGCTAACAGCCCCCTGCCTCCTCCCCGACCTATCCGAGGTCAGCAAAGTTGAAGTCCGAAGCACAGACTACTGGCCCCTAGTCCTAGACTTCGGCCCCAACCAAGGCCTCCGCGAGAAATTCCGCCAGGGCGACCAATCAGTCTACCTCCGCCGCAAGACAACATACAACCCCACGGGCTCCTCAGTCTTCGTATCAACCTTCACCGGCCTCAGCGAAACACAAGACAAACCCTCCTCCACCACGAATCCCGCCTCAACAGTCACACTCGCAAATAACCAAATGACTCTCGCCCCGCTCTCCCTCTCCATGGACTCGCAAACCGGAAAACCATCCACCCCCTCTGCAAAGAGCCTCTGGGACTGGATCTTCCACCTCCCCTGCCTCCGCGGCCTGGACATCCGCGAACGCTCGCTCGTCATGCCCTCCTCCTTCCCGACAATGTCCGGTAGCCGGAAGAACACACTATCCAGCAACGCCCCCTGGCTCCGCATGTCCGCCGTAGACACCAAGTTAGTCCTCGAGCACAACGTATCGAACATGGTGAAGGCAGCGATAAGCGCAAGGGGCGCGGGACCCGATGAAGTTCGTGATCGGCTGTGGCAGTTACGGTTGTTGTTTGGGTGGGTTGATGCGCAGGTGGAGAGGGCTATTGTTGATGTTGATGATGACGGAGATGATACGGAGGTTGAAGACGATGGGATTGATGGGGATAAGGATAGTCAGATGGTGGGAAGTGAGATTACGGCTTCGAGTAAACGAGGACGCGGAGGGGAAGGGAATGGGTTGTGGTTGAGGAAGGAGTTTATTGAGGAGGTTCGGTGGAAGATTTGGGGGGTGCAGGTTGGGGAGGATGGTCATATTTAAATTTGTTTCTGTATGGTTATGGTTATGCTTATGATATCCATGTTCTTCGTTATCCTATGAGTATGCATGAAATGACTTTTATAAAACAAAACAATAGAAGAGAAACTAGCGCGGCCGAATAGTTCCCTCCTTCAAAACTCCCCGATCACCACCACCACTCTTCTGCCAGAGCCAAACACCCTCCACAGCCCAAGCAGTAGCACTAGCATGTCTCCCGATACCAGCTCCTTTGAGCGGCACCTTACGTCCATCACCCTCATTTGTATTTGTAGAACTACCCGCCTCCGCCAACATAATCGCAACAGCACCCTCCTTCTCAACGACCTCCCACATCCCCTCGACAAGCGGACTCCCCCTCTCACCGAACTCGCCCCGTCCCAGTCTATACAATATCCGCCCTAGAACCTGCCACGCGACGCATCTCTGCGCAGGGAACGATGAGCGTCCTAGAATAGCTAGCTCAGGAATCGTATACCCGGCCGCCTGCGGATCGTTCCCGTGATGATGCAGACCCAGCGTCGTCGGAAGGGACAACGAAGTCGACGGCGCGATGACAGTCCCAGTAAGCGAGAACCGAATCGCAGCGGGATGGATTGCTTCTGCGGTACTTTCGGGGTCGTAGGGCGATGTTCTGGAGGTGTCTATGCCTGCTTCTTCGGCGGAGGGCTCGGGTTGCAGCCAGTTGAGGGAGGAGGGGTCGTGGGGGGTGTTGGGGAAGTAGTGCGTTTGGAGGTCGGAGAGGAAAGATGGGGAGGAGGGGTCGAGGGGTGGTGGGTTTGTTGATGTGGATGGTGGTGTTGGGAAGTGGAAGGAGGGGGGGAGTTCGGAGGCGGGATGGAGATCGGAGGGGGGTGTTGGGGGTGGGAGGTCTTCGTTTATCGGGGGTTGCTTTTGTTGTAGCGGCTGTGGTTGTGGTTTTGGTGGTGGTGAGAGTTGTTTTGGTGGTTCTGGTTCTGGGACGTCGAAGGAGACGGATTTGGTTGGTTTTTTGGAGGATTCGGGTTTTTGTTTGGGTTGAGGCTCTGGCTCTGGCTCGTCGATAACGGCTCTGCGGAGGAATCTTTCGAGAAGACCGGGGTCGATGGAAGACATTAATTCCTCCCGCTCTTGTTGTATCTGTGCATCCGACAGCGACGCCAACTGACGCCGGTTCTCCTCATCGATAGCTTTTTTCTCATCGCTGACAGGACCCGTGGCGAGACCTTGTCCTTGCTCCTGCTGCTCCTGCTGCTGCTGTTGCTGCTTCTCCGCCCTGCGCTGCTTAAACGCCGACCGCTGAAACCTTTTCTTATGCTCAGGAAACCCCGTCCCTGTCGGAGGCTTAGGCGCCAGAGGAGCCGCGGCGGTTGGAGCACGTTCTTGGATCTCGCCGATGAGGGAAAACGGAGAGGCTGTATCTTCGAACGAAGGGATATTCGGAGCTAATTCATTGTCGTCATCGAGATCAATGACGAAACGTTCACCGGGGAAGGCCATAATGGGTGATTTGACGGGGGTATACTGAATCGAGAGGAAGTGAAGCTATACAAAAGCGCCGAATCGGGATGCGGCTCAAAAGCTAAAATTGGTGCAGATGCGCTAACCGGATATGGAATAGTGTGGTCTGTGTGTCGATGTACAGACCCTTGTAGATACAAACAGTGGGATCATGGTTTTACAAGGTCGGTATTTAATATAAAAATATATAATATTGAATCGTTATGGCAAACACCTATAATACGGATACCTCTGTTTACTCAGTGATGAATCGGGCTGAAACCAGGGTGTGTACAGTTGTATCAATATGTTGCATGCTATGATACAGTTAATAACTTGGACGTAAAGTCTTCGTATATGAAAATGTTATAATAATCCTTGATATCTACTTATACTATATCGCTTACTATGAGATATAGAATGGTCCTTGTCTAGTATTGTACGCTAGAAGTGCGTACCCAGAGTATCTGTCATGGTGGTATCAGATATCGGCGTAGTGGAGGAACGCAGATATCTATGGATGCAGAACATGTGGCCGGAGTCAAGAGTTGCATTATTGCATGGATAGATTCAATTAGATATTCCTTAACCAGTATACACAGATACCTGTACCTTATTGTGTTCTCTGTTTTATCCGTGGTTAACTGTTATATACCACGGCATCTGCCCATTTCAACCCTTTAATAAAGTCCCCCTTTCTGTGTCTGTTTCTTCCGCCTTTTTTCTCGCTTTTTTCCGTTTGTTCTTTTCTCCTTCTTTTCCCTCTTTTCCCTCTTTTCCCTACCTTAACTGCGCCCATCTCCTGTCCTTTTCCATCTATTTTTTCGTCTTTTATTTCTTTTCTTCTCTTCTCCGTTTTCTTGTAATCTTCTTTCTCTCGTTCTTGTTTTCTTTTATTTCAACCAGCCTTTTTTAACCCCATCTTCAACCTCACTTCTTGTCCTCTTTACACCGTCTCTTCACTCACACCACTTCTATCCCTCAACTCGTCTATGCTAATATGTCCACGGAACCCGACCACAATCCCATCGCCCAAGAACAAGATGCCGGCATCGACACCGAAACACGCGCGGAAGATGCGTTGAAGGGCCGGCGTGTTTCTGCCGGGACTCGTCGGTCGCGTCGAAAGAAGGACGACGACAACAACACGACCGAACCGGAGGATAAAAAGAAAGAAACCAAGCCTAGGAACAACCGCCGAAAATCCAATCCGGCGTCCACCACGAATAATACCACGTCGTCTCGTAAAAAACCCAAGCTGGAGAATAACGATGCAGCCACACTGCCTTCCCCATATCAGCAGCCTCCTCCGCAACAGCATCAACATCAACAACAATCACAACAACAACAACAACAACAACAACAACAACCTCCTCCGCCACAACCTCCAGCCTTCCACCACTCGTATCCCAATAACCACCATGCTCCTTCTCATATTCCTTCCTCGTATCCTCTAACCCATTCCCTACCACCTTCTCGACCACAATCTCAACCGCCTCCGCCGCCGCCCTCAGTTCCGCAGAGAACGAGTGGTCAGAACTACGATCCCATCCGATCGGCCTTGGATGACACCGCCCCGACCCCGTCCGCCGCCAGTCCTCCCACTCGCAGTGCTTTTCGCGCCAGTGCATCTCCGGCCATTGCTAGTATTATTGATCACCCCACTGCAACAAGTAACCCGCAACCTATTTACTCGCCTGTTCCTCGTCGTGCCTCTCCTCATGTTCCCTCGAATCTTTCCTCTCCCGCTCATCCCAAGGCTCCGACGCCTTCTCATCCCTCCCTAGCTCCTTCGCCCTTGCCGTCTTCGTCCTCCCCGTCGCACCCTCATGGATCCCTACTTGCATCTCACCACTCTTCGCTGCCGCCTGCTCTTCAACCACTACAAGCTTCACATTCCTACGCTCATCAATCCCCGTATCCTCCTGCACAGCATCCGCAGCATCCGCAGCAGCAGCAGCAGCAACAACAACAACAACAACAACAACAACAACAACCTCGTTATGAAGACCAAAAACCTCCTCAGCCAGATCCATCACGAACGGTAGCCCAACCTCAACAGCAAGCACAAGCGCCAATCGCAATGGATGTGGATCAACCGGAGCCCGCTGTCTCTCAGCCCACAAAGATGACCAAGAAGGAGAAAGAGAAGGAAAAGGAAAACCAAAAGGAAAAGAAAGAAACTTCCTCCAAACCTCCCTCGCCCAAGTCTGGTCGCGCTGCCAAAGACAAAGATGCTCCGTCCAAGCTGCCCCAAGGATCGGGATTGATTTCGAATGCCCTGTTTGGGGGTGGTGACAATACAGAATCATCAGACACCCTCACCACGCCCAACATCATCCTACACGTTCCCTTGAACGGCACTACCAACCGAATCATCAATTTTGCGCGTTTGGCCGAGGAACAATACGGGTTTGCTGCTCTACATCCACGATTGGCCGCCCACAAGGAGCAACTAGCGCGTGTGGCTGCCGCAGGTGCCATGTTGGAGCGGAACGAAAAGAGCGCCAAGGGTCTACTTTCCGCCGGTGAGAGCGCCGACGAGGATCTGAGCTTGGACATGGAGCGCGACAGTGACTTCGACGGCGATGTTACCATGACTGGCGCAGCCAACATGAATGGTGCAGCGGCTGCAGACGGAGCGGAGGGGAAGAAGAAGCGCCGCAAGAAGATTGAAGACTACGATCGGGATGACCCCTTTGTCGACGATACTGAAATGGCTTGGCAGGAGCATGCTGCCGCCAGTAAGGATGGATACTTTGTGTATAGCGGACCTTTGGTGCCGGAGGGTGAAAAGGTGCAAGTCGAACGGTTAGTTTTTTTTTTTTTTTTTTTTTTTTTTTCTTCCCAACTTTCTCTCTATACGCAATACTAACTTAACCAGGGCCGACGGAACTATCAAACGTGGTCGTGGCCGTGGACGCGGAGGTCGCAGTCGTGCTGCTCCAGCTACCAGCCACCAAGTCCCTCTGGCGGCTGCCGTACCTATTTCCCAGGAAACCGGTTTGCCTCTTCGTGGTCCAGGATCGCGTGGAGGCAGCACTACCCGTCGTCCTCGTGTCAGCAAGGCCGCCCGTCAGCAGATGGAGGCGGAGAAGGAGAAGCAAAGCAACCACAGCTCGCCTGCCTCGAATGGACGCGGCGGTGGAACGGCTGGTCGTGGAGGTGGGCTTGGAAGTCGCGGAGGTAAAACTCCATCAGCGGCTAGCCCCAGCAATGGCGGCAGCAACACCAACACCAACAACTTAACACCGCAGCCCAATGTTGGTCCAGCACCGCCGGGGCCAAGTCCTTTGTCGGGACCGGAACTGGTAATGAAGTGATTTTTCTTGTCTTTGTATGTGAGAGTTGTATTCTCGATCCATGACACCGGTGTTTCTTTGCTTTCGGGTTATATGATATTTTTTCAGCGTCAAAAGGACGGGTCAGACGATTTGCTTTATGTGTTCTTATTATCTGGATCTTGTCAGGTCGATTATCCATGCTATCGTTTATCAGATATGGATGGCAGCTCGTTTGCTTTGTGACAATAATGAGGGTTTATGCATGGCTGAACATTGTTTTGAATTGATATGGCTTACTCGATTACTCTATCTGTTTGGTTTAATTTGCTGTGCTGGCGATGTATTCTGGTTGATCACATGATCAGCTAGGATAACATGTGCATAATTTGCATAAGGACATAATGACTTGTGCCCTAACAGTGTATGCACGGAGTACAGCGCTTCAAAACAATCATGACCAACAAATGTAGCCTTTTAAAAAAAAAGCTCGGTAGCGAGTCTTGTGAATTTGAAGAATTGATTTTGGTCATATAGTGTATTTCTTTCATGATTCATGATTGCGAGTCAGGCTAGACTACTCCGTAATGTAAGCATAATCCAGACAGATGGTGTTAGCTTTATTTCTTGCTCGTATTTTAGATGTTATATACTCCGTACTATAAAGATATCCCTCCTTATCAACTATTCTCGCTTCCTAGGTGTTGATTCCCTTGTTCAGCGTCACTATGAACAGCCTAGGGTTCCGAGTCGAGCCCTTGCATTTTCTAGCCCGTACCACTAAAACAGCCGCGATCTTCAATCACCACTTATCAAGACGGATAGCGAATAATATGAAAGGACCAGAGCGCCTACTGTGATCTGTATCAACGAGGACCCTGCTCCCTCCGATGTAACGGGATGCTCCGTCCCTATCAGGACCTATCAGGGGTACAACGTCCATACAGGTACCTTTGGACAGCGAGATAAACTCACGACTTATCATGGCCGTGACTCAGAGGACTGGTCTAGATGATAAGAGCAAGATTCAAATACCGCGCATCCCCTCTGTTCTTTCTAGCTTTTCCCTTCTCTTCTTGATTCCAGTTTTGGTCGTGATGACTAACCTTGCCATAACCTTAATGGTACCTCCGACGATGTCCCGGACTGGATGGTATGGCCAGGCATTTATCGACATGAGGGTTCTGTTTACTGGATGATATGATCATATGCCGTTGTCATACGATGTCTTACTCCGGAGAATTTACTCGGTATTCGAGAATTCAGTGCTACTTCTATACAGACGAATGCTACGGAGTACAAAATCATCTTCTCGGGCGAATGCTTAGACCAATCAGACAAACCCGACCATTCAAGCACATAATTCGATTGCCAAATGCTTTCCAACCTTATCTGTGCTCCACTTTTCCGATATTTGGGTCTCCAATGCTTGTCGGAATGCCGACGAATCGGGAAGTGCAGCCCTGCAGACTCCCGAGTGCTAAACTAAACCTGTCGCGTGGTTATGGACTCTGCCGTCAGAGCCGTTCTCTGGAGAGCATAATCGTATTATGCTTAGATTCTAAGCCTTTGGAGGTTCCGTGGCGGCTCCACTGTGTCTCCGAATCTTCCCTACAATCTATACGGGTGTAGTACTACCCCTGTGCTACTGCGAAATGGAGCGAGAAGAGTTTTTATTTCGCGTTCTGCTCTTGTTCCATTAACTTTCTGTCAACTTTATTCATACTTACCGGCCATCATGGTCATTATCACCGGTCTTCCGGATTATGACACTGAACGCCAATCCAGCGTGGCGCCTGGAATCCCTCCGTTCGCGGGTCGACTAGGAGGACAGCAGGAATATCCTGATCGCAATGATCCGCGAAATACAAAACTGCTCAAGGAAATCCCCGATGCAGCACCTCGCATGCATCTATCCGAGGTTTTTGACCTCCGGGGATTTCTCAGTTTAGATCTATGGAAGTTTGCTCTCCTAGAGTGTGTTGGTAATTTTCTCTGTCCTCATATCATGCACAGAGCGGGAAGCTAAAGAAAACAGGAAGCATGATGTGCACCTTCATGACCGCCTGGGTAACCCTCCACGCGCCCTCCAAAACCGAATCCCCCCAAACCCAAGCCGGCATCTACGACACCCTCACCTTCTTCTCCCCCCTCTTCGGAGGAATAACCAACGTCCTCCTCATCCCCCTCCTAATCTACACCTTCTCGCCCTCCAGCGGCGGCCACATAAGCCCCACAATAACCCTCGCCACTTTCTTCGCGCGCATGATCTCCTTCCCACGCATGGTGCTGTATCTCGGCGGACAGACCTTCGGCGGCGCACTGGCTGGTTTCGCAATGCGCACTGCGTACGGGAGTCGCGAGTTTACGGTCGGCGGGTGCTATGTTGATACGGAGATGGTTCCTGTGAAGGATGCGCTGGTGATTGAGTTTATGAGTTGTTTGGTGTTGGTTTATGTGGCGTTTGGGGTTGCGTTGGATCCGAGGCAGGCTAGTCTTTTTGGGCATGCGGCGTCGCCGTGGTTGGTGGGGCTTGTGTTGGGGATTGTTAGTTGGGGGTCTGCGTTTACGAGGGAGGGGTATATTGGTGCTAGTAAGCCTCTCTAGGACCTGGATTGCGATTGAGTGGAAGCTGACTGGATAGGTGTCAATCCCGCACGGTGTTTTGGGGTTTACGTTGCGTCGTCGTTTCCGGGGTATCATTGGATTCATTGGGTATGTTTTTTTTTTTTTTTGTTTTCATCTCTTGTTGAATGACTGGATGTACTAACGATGATAGGTCGGACCACTCGCTGCTTCCATTGGCCATGGATTAATTTACTATCTTGATCCGCTCTGGGTTGATCCCAGGCCGAAGAATGCATAGTTGAACAGTTGTATATATAATGGAATACATGCATCAGAAGAAACTCGTCTTTGTTTCCACTTGTCGATCTCCGATGGAGAAATAAACCAACTATGGAGTTACGGTAAAGACACTGGCGGTTTCAAATTGCCTGGAAACCCTACGGTCTGATTTGCGACGCATCTCAGTATTGGATGGTGAACCCGTATCAACAACAACAACAACAAGCACAGTAATGGTCTACGCCGGAGGACACGGCGACGGTGGTCTCAGAGATCTGGTGCTAACTCGGTTGATGCAGGCCTGCAATGTTTTATGGTTTCTTGATAATGCTGACATGGCCTTTTGCTCAACCCCATCGATTCGCTAGCTAACAACCTCTGTACAAATGACCCCAATCTGCCGAAAGAGGGCCACCGAGAACAAATCATTGATGTTCAACTTCTTTACCTTCGCCTCCAGACAACCCTGACTACGACCTCAGCTAATACTCGATCACGTATCCGTTTCTCCCGCTCATTCATCCCCCAAACATACGACTCACCAGTGACCTCGCGAACCTTCCGAAGAAGATTCTGATAATACAGCTCATTCTTCCAACCAAAAGAGACTCCTAAAAGAAAATCCATATTAGCAACCCAACTCAAACCAACTCAAACCAACCGCCCATCCTCCCCCCTCCTCACCCCAAACAACTCATGCGGAAAATCCCTCTCAACCCTCCCCCTCTCATCCCCACCATACCCATCCATCTCCAGATCAACAATAAAATACATCTTAGGACGGTCGGACATGGACCCAGTGACGGTATCCTTCGAGTTCTGTGGGGGAGCGGTCGTGGCGCTCGAGATAGGCGCGGACTGCTTCGTACATGTCGAAGGCGTTGAAATCAGTTGAGCTGAGGCGGAGGATTACGCGCTTTGGGGTGGGCATTTTATGGGTTTATGGAGTATGAGTAGAGAGGATGATTGATTGATGAGAGGGAGAGGAGGGGTCTCTTCGTTTTATGGGCGGTTAACTAGGATATGCAAGTGCACAAATAAAGTCGTATCAAGAAATACTATTGGACAGAAATGCATTGTTACATAAAATAATAGTCTGCTTCTTCCTGCTCCAATTCATCATTCTTATCGGTCTTCTTCCCTGCTCCCTAAGAAAACATCACCAAATCAGCCCCAATTCAACCAAAAACAAACACAGCCCAATACAAACTCACCCGTACAGCGTATTCAAATTAAAAATCAAGCTCATCAAACCTGCCAGGAGGAGTCTCACCCCTAAAATCGCGAGACACGCCGTCCAAATTCTCGTTCATAGGATGAATAGCAGGCTCAAGATCTTCCAGCTTGCTGCTCAGGGGCACGCAAAGAGCCTGGCCAGGGCGTTTGAGAGATTCGCCACAATGATGGTAATCTTTGATTGGTTCTTAGTTGAAGAAGAGAACAGCCCGTGTCACATATAGCTAAAGATGTTTGTTCAGGAGTGATGAAGCTGATCGTCATGTTTGTGATACCTAGGCCAAACTCCCACATCATTTATGTATCCAGGTTGTTCCAATGGACTGCCAATAGAGGGACTGACTGACGAACGAAATCAACTTCTGCATGAATAGTCGGGCTCGTCACACTGTCAACCCAGGTGAAGCATGAATTCTGCAGGCGCGTGTCGCTTCAGCAGCTTACCAACGTGTGTTTGCCCTAGAAACGAGAGAATAGTTGAGCCCACAGGCCATAGTTCAAAGTCATCAACATCCAGTCCGTATGCAAACAGAATGCCGCATGTGTTTTGAGTAACAAGTAGGGTAAAGGGGCTTAGCATCACCGGGACTGGCAAACAGAGCTTTGGAGGATGATTGGTGGTTTTAACACGCTCACACATGGCACTAAGTGAAAAATGTTAACCCTAAATTCAGACCTGGGGTCACGAGAAGGTATGTCCCTGGATATTACAAGCATATCAGCTTACTATATTGCTCATTGGACTAAATGGAAATCCTAGGACAATCTTGACCAGTATGTTCCATGGATCCTGTACTATTGAGTTATGGAAAGTTCCACATATATAACTCTGGGATGTGGCTTCATGTATGTGGCTTTAGTTTAGTCAACATTAGAGATAGGACTCTGTTTCTTTTTGACCTGAGAGGTTTGATATCCATGTCGTTTGTTTACACGTTCTTTCCACCCAGCCCCCTCACAAGATTTTGCTGCCTCTGCAGGGGCAGGGTTTATCTTGGGATATCCATTCTGGGGATCTCTTCACGACATTGAAGGGAATTTCAAAATGAGTGAATGGTAGCCACATGTAGGAGACTGCGACCAGTGCACAGGATAAGCAATGTAAGAGTTTATGGTCCAGGTCAACGTAGTTTATCTGATAAATAGCGAGTTGTTCATGGATTTGTTTTATAAAAGCCACCGAGATACTTAGATTAACACAAACAACTCCTATCCTTCCCATCCCTCTTATCATGCCTACCCAGGCGTCGGAGTAAAATCCTTAGAAAGCGGAATGAGATAACCCTCAATAGGAATCTGATCCTTGATGTCAACTTAACTCGAACTACCTATACAAGCCTGAAGTCTCTTGCTGCTGGTCCAATTGTGCCGAGGTAGATGGCGTAAAAGGCGCTTTGCATTCCAGCCATGTATGAATCATATGCGTACCCTACTTTAGCCGTGAGTTGCTCGTCCAGCACGCCAAAAGAAGGAAGAGACTCCCTATACATTGGCCCGAGGCTCCTATGTACGTCAGACTGCTCAGGTTGCAAGTTGAAAAGGAGCTGTAGCTGGAGTAACTCGATATTATCATTTAGACTGAATGAGGTATCTAGTCCTGTCCCTGGGTACTCGTTAAACAACGGCGGGTGTACCTGTTCAGTGCTTCCAGGCAGATCGAAATTATGGGATACCTGGGGTGCCCAATTATTCATCTCATGGTCAGAACCTTCTCCTTCGTGTGCTCTTATTGAAGGAAGCGCTGGAAATGAGTAGGAAGTAATCCCGGATGAATTGGTAATATAGGGAGGAGCTTGTGCTGGCATATCAGCCCGGGGCTCAGAATGCGATACCGCGAAGATTGACTGTCGAGTATCTTTCTCTGATGTATTAGTTGTGCTATACACCCTAAATGACTGGGTATGTTGCACTCCCCGGTCTAATAAAGCTTTAATCAGTAACGTTTCAATGGTCTGAGATCAATGTATAATAACTTGAACCCAGCTCAGAGGATATACTTGGGGATATTGACGATATAATAACCTCCCACAGGCTGTTGAATATGTCGCTCGCCAAATTTTCAAACTCATCATTGCCATCGACATTCAAAACACCTCGATTTATGAGGCACAGAACTTGATTATTCCGAGTCGGCCCAGTTAATGGCAACAACCTTATACTGAAAAGTAATCAGCATCTTGACATATCCTTCAAGGCACGAGGAAACTCACAATTTCCCAGTAATATCTTCAGGAAAGCAAAACAAATTCCCGAGATGCAAATTATCTCCAGTCCTCGTGCTCCCTATATCTCAACATAGTGCATCAATCCCTCCACCCCTGAGCCGTCCACCGAGAGACATGACGCCTGATGTCATCCAGGTCACTATTAACCAGATCAGACTTGAATATTATCTGAGTCACCACGTCCACGGTCTTTGAGCTTAATTGCTGTAAAACATGACATGGATTATTCTCTTCTTGCATTTGTTGGGTTGTACAGGGAGCATGTAGAGGTCAGTCTTGATTGCCAGTACTAAGATTATATGCATTGGCCAGCCCCTGTTCAAGCAATTCGATACGACAACATAAACTTCAGGGACAAATTAGTTTTTCTATACCTCAGATATTCTTGATGTATTGATAGCTCCAGAGCATAGTGTATACTATATACAGTGCTCTACAGCTCTAAGCGGCGGAAGAAGGGCGCTGGTGGTGATTACCGCTTTGGGATACCCTTTTCTTTCACTTTCCTGTCATTCTGCATCTTTCTTTACGCTTTATATTTATCTACCATCCACCAGAAAGACTCAGGCTCAACTGCATCTCTTATTGCTACTCACCACAGGTACCTACCATCCACCCCAACCTATCAACCCTAACATTCACTGCAGACATTGCGCAGACGACTTCCCTACCAAACTTCTGACACCTGCCAGTTCAAATCCTGACTGACCTTCCTTGATCCCAGAGAATACTTCATCAGTTATTGCAGACTAGCTACCGTCAGCTTATCCCTGCCCCTCCATCGTGCCAACAAACAGCAAACAAACAAACAGCAAACAACTCCAACATCAAACTCCAATCCTCACACCAGGAACCACAAACACCGTCACCGCAACACCTCCTAGCCGCCAACTCCAAACTCCCCAAAATGATCCGCACCAACCTCTCCATAGCCGCTGCAATCCTCCGCGAAGAAATCAAGCAAATGATTCCCGAAACAGACACCGGATCGTTGCTCACCATCCCCGAGAACCAACAGCCGCATGTGATTGAAGATAAAGATGGGAACAAGAATTACTCCGGGGACTTGCTCGCGACCAAGTGCTTGCAATTGTTGAGGGCGATCGGGGTTGGCGGGAAGGTGCGTATATGCCTTGGGTGTTTTTGGTGAAAGGCGTGGGCTGACTGGGATAGGACTGGGGATACCGCGTGGCGCATTTTCCGAAAAATACCAAGGTTAGCAATGACCGGAAGGAAGCGTACTTGGTGCCACTGTCTAAATACTTTATTCTGATTCCCGGGGGACTGCTATCTGAGGGGGCCTATACTTATATCACCCATGATACGATAATTAGCAAAGGGGGCACTTTTGTACTTTTTGTCCCTGAATAAGCGGTTGGTCACGGGTTAAGCTGAAAAGCAATTCTCATTAATACTAAGCTATCGTTGACACCTGATCCATGGTCCGTAGACTGTTGGGTGACGAAGGTGCCGCCTTGGGAGGAAGTACTACCTTCTTCCCTGTCCGCGTTTATCTTTATCTCCTTCATACTATCCATCAATCTATCTCACGTGTAAACACTTGACCCGCTTAATATTAAACGTCCACAGCACCAGCCACCCCCATAGCCTGCCCCACTGCGGATGTGCTCAATATCAACGTTCGTCCTCTCTTGAACGGCAAGGAGGGTAGCAATTTTGAGCGCATTTTTATCTGCCGTCCGTTCATGGGGAGCTGGGAGAGGCGTCTGCATTCTTCGCTCATCAAGTCGATCCGGTGCTGCGACCACGCAAACTGCTCCCAGATGTGTCCTCTCGCGTCTTGGTCCAGATCGGGATAGTGCAGAGTAGGATGGATTCGGCAGTGGAAGGCCTGGTCGATTATGTCGGCGCGGTTGGACGTCATGAATAGGATTCCACGGTAGTATTCGAGAATTCTGGGCCACTATTAGTAAATTGGGATCGTTGGACATTGGAAGGCAACGAACCTGAGGAAAACAGAATATCTCATTGTGGTCCAACTGTCCGTTCAATCGCTGTTGCATAAAGACATCGCACTCGTCAAACAAAAGCACGGCGTTCCACTTCTCAGCGAGTTCAAGAACGGTATTTAGACGGTTCTCGACATCACCTGCATAGCGACCTAGTTCCCCCGCACTCGGAACATAGAGTGGCCGTCGAACATTGTCAGCAATAGCCTCAGCTGTGAGGGTCTTGCCCGTGCCAGGGTTGCCGACAAGCAGCATGGTTACGCCCTGTCCTTTGCCTTGGATGATGTCGTCAAACAGGAATTTGTCGGTGGTTTGTGCTTCCACGAAGGATGAGACGAGGTCTTTATAGCCAGCTGGGAGTATCATTTCCTCAAAAGGCAGTATCGTTCCAGGTAATGTCACGGATATTGGTCACCGCAAATTTGGTCCGGCACTTGTGCTTAAGTGAATAGACTCGTACATAAGGGCTACATATAAGGAGCTGCTCTTCCTTAAGATCATGCGCTGAGAAAGAGGCATATGTTAGCGACGGTTTGATTGTTTCCCTTTCTTTATCCAGTCAACTTACAAGGCTCTGCTTTCTGCTTTTGCATATCCGCCTGTACCATCATCTGTTGGTTCCGCACCCTGTACCTCGTAGAATCGGCTGTAGTACCGGAAGGATCCCTGCGAGGGTTGTCGGTAATGTTGATCGTGGGTGCGACGGCATCGGAGTCAAGAACAGTGAGATAAGCGATGCCATATTTTGCGCTGCGGGTGTAGGAGGCAGCGTCCACAACAATACGTCCATCGCCCTATTCATCACGCTTCTGGTTAGCAGACTGTTTTACTAATTCGGAGCCTGAATGCATTCTCACATTACGCTCTATTGTTCTTGTGTTTCCTCTTCCCTGGACAGTGTAATTGATCCGACCCGAGTATGCCTTGTAATGGACCCCGCGAAGCTCCCGGAACTGTCGACCCCGAGCAATGGCTTTCGCCTCTGCCTGACTCCTGGAAGGGTGAAATGATGCCGGAAACACCTCTAGATCCTCGATGGCCTGTGTACCGCTAAAGGCATTGATTTCGTGCGTAACGCTTTCGTACCCAAAGCGCGTTCCATCCCAGTTGATGAGTGAGGCATTCATGTGCAGAACCCCAAGGTCATACTCATAGTTCTGGACAATGTAAAACTGCCCATACTCATCGAATTTCTTCACTATAAGGACACCTGGCTCGAAGATCGCCCACAGGTGCGGATACGTGATGACTCCGTGGGAAAGAAGTTCCACAATCTCAAGCCTGAGGTCAGCCAGCTCAGCGCCTAGCACGTCGTAAATGAGCTGAGTGTATGCAGCAGCAGTGGGATCATTGCGTCTCTGTCGCTCTCCAGGATCTCAGACAACCGTCCCCCAGCGGTAATAAAACTCGTGAAAAGGTGCCTTGAAGACTAATAACTAATTACTAAAGGAAATAATTGCGAAAGAAGTTCACGACAGCATGAAGAACGTACTCCGGAGTATGCTTTGGCTGGCTAAGCTGTAGTTTCCTCCACTGGTGGATCGGGCAGCGGTAAGGTATAGAAATCGGCGGATTGTGCTGATTGGTCAATCGGAGGTCAACAACTTCTGCCAGCATATCGTTCTGTATAGTCCTAGAATGGAGAAATTACAGTACCGCATTGAAACAAATAGCTAAATAAAGACTGATTTTCATAGATACAATCAACAGTTCAAACTGCCCAAGAACAACACCAAGACGAATGGGACCACATATCAGGAAACTTTGCCAATCAACTACCAGGACCTGTATTGTATACTTAGAGTACAGAGCGTATTTTCCTGAACTTTCGTCCTTGGAGAAGTGTCCTCAAGTCAGCCCACATGAGCTTGGCTTTAGGAGGAGATTTGATCAGAGCAAAAGGCTTGCTACCGCCAAACTGGTAGTCTTCGTATGATACTTCTGCTAGTGTAATGAACCCATATCCTTGAAGTAGGAACTGTGACTGACTTGTTGCCTTGACTATGACTTCGTCGTACCCTTCTTGAGCTGCATGAAGAGCTGCAATGCCGACTAATTTAGAAGCGACGTGGATCCCTTCAAACTGACCTAGGGTCGCGCCTGTTGTGATTTCAACAACCCTGCCTGTTGTAGCTTTTTGAGACGTAGATTGGCGGTTCCGAAATGCTATTTCAAGACGATCAAGTAAATCATACATTGGCTCAAGACCCAATGGGGACGGAGTCGGGTAGGTTTCCTCGTTCCAAGGCGCTGCCATGACAAAGCCAATCATGGTGCCATCAGCCGCTTTCGCAGTGAATGTAACGCCGACTGCTGCGGTTTTTTCGCTAACGGTTTGGCTGAATGAATGGAATATGTCATCGCTGACCCTAGGGCTGGACGTCGCCAGGGCATGTGATAATGGCTCGCGCTCAATGAAGGATTCCGCCAAAAAGTGCCCTACTTTCTCGATTTCGGTACGACATTTTGGATTCAGACGTTTGATGGAATATCTGGGGATTTCGGTGGGTTTTGCAGACGCCTTGAGAGTAGTTTCGTGCTGTAAGTCTTTCGAGGCCGGACCTGGCTTGCGGGGAAAGTCCATATTTCTTTCTTTCTTTCTTTCTTTCTTTTTTTTTTTTTTTTTTTTTTTGGTTTCTTTAAGTGTATCGGGACACTAAGGTGATGTCCCAGTATATCAGTGTAGAGCCAGATATTACGGGGTTCCTTGATTCGGTCACTGGCAAAGGCCTCGTCTTGGAATGCGTATTCCAAAATATATTGAACCACACATAGTCTAAGATTATCATTTCTCTCGGTGTAGGTAAAATTGGTCTTAGCCTCGTCGGCTTTTATACTCGAAAAATGAGATCTGATTGAAACTCACGCGGAACCTTTGTTTTCTTTCCCTTTATTGAACCTATGCTTGGACTCTGATTGGAAGCACTTTTTGCACTTAGGATAGTCTGGGACTTTGATCATTCGAAATTAGAGAACCACATGGTGAATAACGACCTGCTTATTCTCTTGAAGAAAATAGAGGAATATAGACGAGTACGAAGGCACAAAGAAAAGGAAACCTGTTCAGTAATTGGTAGAGAAGATATGGAACAGATAGTAAGTAGAGACAGAGAATGTTGAATTGGCCGCTTTGAGAAGATAAGCGTGCAGCAATTATTATTTAAGATGAATAGAGAAGCAAAAGGGAAGAGTTTGAAGTTGGGAGGAATTCTGGCGACCTGCGAGGCGTCCGCTGTTAGGGAGATGTAGAGGTAGTGGTTGTTGTCGGGAATATGAGAGACGACGAGAGTTAGCTGATGAACAGAGGTGCGGCTTGGAGGCTCCGGCCCGACTTCTTAGGGCTATGACTCGACAAATCATACGTGGTAGGGAAATCAACCTTGTGGTGAAAAAAGTCGATCACTTCAATTCAATTCAATTTGCTCTTGCAAGGAGTCTACAAAAAACATGTCAAAAAAAAAAAAAAAAAAAAAAAAAAAAAAAAAAAAAAAAAACAACCACGATTGTCAATTATGAATCCCCAGGACAGCAAAACGAAAAAAAAAAAAAAAGTCGACGTACCTCGTGTACCCCACCATCCTCAACAGTAAGTATAAAGCTGTACGTCTATTTGCCAGAGTAATCCATCTGATGCTTTATTTTCTTCGAGATGCCTGAACCAAAGCCCCCGATGACAATCGAGCAAGCACCAGCACCAGAGTACTTTGTCCTTCAGTGTCCAAATGAAATCATTCTCAAAATTACCAGCTACCTGGAGCTGAGGCATGTATATGTCTTACTACAAGTATCACAAGATTTGCACGCCGTTCTGGGTAATCCATTCTATGATCGTATATCGACTATCTGTCGAGGCCGGAGTGGTCCTTCTCTCACTATGTTGGAATGGGCTGCACAGAAGGGCTACTCTGCTGTTATACAAGAGTTCCAGAAAAGGAAATATTTTTTTGTGCCTGGAATCAAAGATCTAACCATATGTATGACTGCAGTGCATGGTCATTTGTCTTGTATTAATACATTGCTGAACATGGGTGCTGTGATATCACCTTCATGTTATACACATCTATATCAACGCCGTACACCGTTACAGTGGGCTGCAAAAAAGGGTGGCCTAGCCATGGTGGAGTTTCTTCTTGAGAGAGGTGCAGCACCAGGGGCGCTGATTTGTGAGCATCTGACAGCGTTGGATTTTGCATTGATGAATGACCATGAAGAGTGTGTAATGCCTATGTTGGAGAAAGGCACGCGTTCTAAATTAGAAACTTTCCTAAACAAAGCAGTGAGGTTTGGCCAGTCGGGCATTGTGTGTCTGCTGCTTGAGAAAGGTATGGATGTGGATATCAAGGGCTTGGATGGTAGAACTGTCCTCCAAAATGCATTGATGGGTGACCGGAAATGCTTACCAGTCCTCATTGATCATGGTACATGTGCTAGACCTGAAATCCTATTGCATATTGCAATGATGAGTGGAGATGTGTCTCTTCTTCAACCACTGCAACTTGGGGCCAACCAAACATTTAAGCATGGGGGAAAGAATGCATATTATGAGGCACTAGTGTACAAGAACCACCATGTCTTGAAAGAATTGCTGAAGTCCCGTGTTGGGGCCGAGGGTCGGACCTTTGACCGAAGAACTGCACTACACTATGCAGCACATCTTGGGAATGAGGAGATCGTGCGGCTACTCTTAGCTAATGGGGCTAATGCTTCTGCCAAAGATATAACTGGGTTTCGACCTTTGCATTCTGCTGCAGGTGCCTGGGCGGCCTATTTTGAATGCCGAAAAGACCTAGTTGAAAATCGTCTAAGAATCATCGGATTGCTTCTGGAGAAAGGCGCCCAAGTCTCAAATACCAATGTTTTTGGGTGGAATGCATTGGATTATGCAAGATGCCTGCGCAATGTTGGCAACCATTGGAGAATTGTATCACTTCTGGAGCAAAAGCAGGATTAAAAGTTACCTGTACGTCAACGGGTCTAGTCCGATTTTGGGCTCGAACACTACTGGTATATAGCTAATAGCTTACTTGTGCTTGAACTACAATCTTCTTTTTATATGCTCGATAGACCTTGTCCCGAATGACACAACAAATATATACTTCCGCATTTATCGCCATATTTAACACGTGATTAGTGGATAAAGGTCACGTGTAAGATCTGATACATCTTTTGACAAAAACCATCAACTAGAATCGCCCCTTCCATGACAGAACTTGGAAACTTAGATGTATCGTGAGCTACAGTGAGTTACGTTTTTCTGAAATGGATTAAAAATACCACGACTGACCAAATATGTTAGCCGGTCTGGCCAAGGCGTGGCACCATGGTGACCGCAGGACAGGAATCCAGCACAAGCTACAAAAGATCAAAGGACGGCTGCCAAAGCTGTCGCCACCGGAAGAAGAAATGTGACGAAGTGCGTCCGACATGCAGTGGCTGTATGAGGAATAACCTGTCATGCCAATGGCCCGCGGACACCTCGCAGCCCCAACGTCAGCGGCGCCGTCGACCCTGCCATCACAATGGACGACTATGGCCTCGTGGTGTCAGAATCCCACAATCACTCGCAGATAGGGTCACTGTGTTTGCGGTACCGAGCCGGCGGATGATGTGCCGCTTGCTGGACCATTTTACGCACTCTAGTCCGTTGTGGATGTCTATTGGACCGGGGCGACGAGATAGGTTTCTACGCCATGTGACTGAGTTTGCGTTGGAAAATCCGTTGACGTTGAACTGCATATTGGCTGTGTCGGCTGCAGATTTGGTCAAATATGACCTTGAAGAACCGGAGCTTGGGACGATGGCGCTTGAGTTTTATGGCGGCGCTATAGCCGGGCTGAGCGCGGCGGTCAACAGGGAGCTGGTCTCTGAATCTTCAACCGAAAAACAGGTCCCCGCATCAGGTAAAGGCTCAGATTGCACGCTTCGAAGCTTGAGGGCTGACGGTCCAGAAGATGATGTTTTGCTGGCTATCCTCTTATTATGTGTGCATGAGGTGCGTGACCTAGTCTCAAGAATGAAGCAAATGCAAATGACTGACAGGAACAGTAGGCACACAACTTCTCTGATGCCAGTCGGATATTTCCCCATCTCAACGCAGCAGCCATCATACTGCGGCAGCGGTTGTGCTTTGCTCCACAGAATCCTGAACTGCGAACATTCCTCCTAGAGATATTCTGCTACTTTTTCGCACTGATAGCTTCTTCACACGGATCGAGCTTGGATATAGCTCCAGCAGCTGGGGTATTTGAATCAATTTCGGTCCAGGGTGGTAATGTTAAGAGTCAAAGTCTACTTTTAGGACCCTCCCAGGAATTGATCGCTACCATCTTTCGCGTCTCGATGCTGACGATGTATTTCTCGAAAAAACCGATGGACGATGAGAGGCGGCTAGAGCTGACACATATAGAGCTACAGTTGCAGAGCTTGGATATGAGCGCTCCGACTACAGATACAAAACAAAATTACCAGGGTGATCTGTCCCATGACGATCTAGTGCTGTTCGAATTATACCGTCTCGCCTGTCTTGTATACGTTAGGAAGACTCTCGATCCGCAGGCATCACCCCGAGATCCTTCCCTCCAGCAAATCATCACTTCATTCGTCAATGAACTGGGTTCTCTCCCGGGAGGCTCATCTTTGAACGGTCTTTTAGTCTGGCCGTTGGTTGTCGTTGGCCTTTGTGCTGTTGTTAGTGCTCATCAGCGCATTATCATTGGGCGTTTTCGCACGATTTATAAAACCTGGAGAACAGACATAATGGTCCGGAGCATGGAGTTTCTGCGTGACAGGTGGAAGACGTATCGCGAGCTGGAGGGCGCATCCGGAACATGTGGTGGCTGTCCTGACGTGACTTTGGCCTTGTATTTTTGTCTTCAGGACCTTCGTCTGCCAGCTGTCCTCGTTTAGCCGGAAGGACCTTCTCTACCATTGAATTTTACCGCAGCGTCACGGCATTACGAAACGCCTACAGACTCCCAACTACAACGACGCCAAACTATTGAATGAATCAGCAACGCTTCATTGATACATTACGAGTAAATAATAACGCTCTTCACAACGCCAACCCAATCTAAGTTACCGATATGCTCAGCCCTTGTGCCTTCATAAGACGAATCCAATCCCAACTTTTCTGCTCCCCAGCATCATAGCACGCCCAAGAACTCCGAACCACATTCCTGCACACCTGAACATTCCGAAACCGACGAGCCTCCGCAATCCTATCTAATTGCTCCTCCAACAGCTCTCTATCCTGAACCTGCACGCAAGCCACGGCAATCAGAAACGCCGGAAACAGCCCAAACGACATCAGCCACGGATCGTCAATGGCATCCAGACTCTCCAAACCCTTCCGGACCATGACTTGCACCTTATCGTCAGCGAGATTATCCGGATAAACGATGAAAAACAGCCAGATGAATATTGCAGCGACATAGGCTTCGCACATGTTGCGATAATCGAACGATTCCTCATCGTCCGAGCCGTAGGCTGGCGGTCTCCATTTGTCGATATCTTTCCAGATGGAGAATGTCTGCGCGATGATCGGGCTGGATATTGCCCCTGCGGTTCTGGCCTCTGAATGGAGAGCGGAGACGCGTGCGATGAAATTCAAAAGGCCATTGTTCACTCCGAATACGTGCTCGCTTTGATTGCTCGATGGCTTTTTGGAGATCAGGATCTTCCTGGACGGTTGCTGGATAGTCACACTTGCCAGGGTGTCGTGGTAGATGAAGAATTGTACAAGGGATTGGTTAATGCCTAGACCTTCCAGGTCTTCACGCAACGGCTCCTTGCACCCCCCAAGCATATTGAAAACGATACTCCTCGCACCATCCAATTGCACCCGCCACGCTCCATTCCCAGTCCCTTCCGACAAATCGTACACATACAGCAGCAGATACCCCGCAAGCAAGGCCTCGGGATCTGCAGTCTTAATTGCAGCGACTCGTGACGATAATTCTTTTTCGGATTCTTGTAGCAACTTTAACCTTTCCTCCGTTACACTGCGGGTTTCAGCTGCGGGCGTATTGTTGATCAGGTGCGATGCTCCGACGCAGAGAAGAGCTTTTGAAACCATTTTGTCCCTCAGGGCTATTGTGACAACTACCGATGCAAACGATTCGTCGTTTTCTTCTGTTGGGAGGGTCAAGATATTTGGTATCTCTTTGACGAAGTGGTGGAAGAATCGCTCTGCGTGCGGAGAATTGATATTCAATGCTGCGAAACTCGAAGATAGTTCCATCCTGAATCGCTAAGAATTAGAGCATCGATAAAGGTTATGGAAAAATGAAGAAAGTAAAAAAAAAAAAAAAAAGAAAAAAGAAAAAGGAAAAAGGAGATATCTGACAACTCGCCACCCCAAAAGAGGGCGGCCATGTCTAATATATCTGCTCAGAACACCGTGAGACTTTCTTTTCGCTCGCGGTAAACGCGCCTATACCGGAACAAGGGACCAGGATTAGATTGTGTGCTGTTTTTTGTTTTCCATCTTGCCTAACATAATATCTTCTGTTATAGTTTATTGGCAAAGGGACCGGAATCTATTTTCTGGCAGTCGTCCGGGGGTGATAACGAGGGATTATTATATGTGCCGTGTTGGCAATACGGTCACAACACGCCCTATGGGACTATGGATATGCGCGTAATATGCAGATGCGAGATACTCGCATGTCCAATCAATAGTAACAATTATCAAACCGGCTAGTCGGGGAGTGATTATCATTGAGTGATCCGTGTGTTTGTACCAACTAGTTACTTCCAGAATATGTAGAACAGCTGCGCTGTCCCCACTGACAATGTGTGTAAAACATGGCCGGTTTCTTGCATTTTGCATTTCCATTCTTGTATAGGTACAGAGTAAGCGCATAATTTAGAATTCCGGCTCGAAATGTTTGCTTTATCTCTGCTGACTCTCGATCTGACGATTCTCCTGTTCCGCTTTGTATTTCCGCTCCACTTTCCGAAGAATCCGTGCAGGGTTTCCTGCCGCTACGTGATATGCTGGAACATCCTAGTCCAAAATGGTCAGCGTTCGATGTTTGCTTGGACAGTTCCAATTATATTGCTTTTTTTTTTTTTTTTTTTTTTTTTTTTTTTTTTTTTTCGCGTTCCGCTTACGGTAGAGTACATGGTACATACCTTTGTAACCACACTCCCGGCACCAATAGTACACCCATTCCCAATCACCACCCCGGGCAAGATAACCACACCTCCGGCAATCCAGCAATCCTCGCCGACGGTAACATACGCGCCCATCTCGGGCCCATTGGTGCCATTGCGCAAGTCTGGATCCAGGGGGTGCGTGCCACTGAAAAACGACACGTTCGGGCCGACCAGGGTTCGGGATCCTATAGAGACCTGGCAGGTGTCGACGAATGTGCAATTGAAATTAATAAAAACCCCGCTTCCGACGCTGATGTTTGTGCCGTAGTCGATGTTGATGGGTCGTTCGAGCCAGGGATAGGCGTGCAGGACGGCGTCTTCGTCTTCTTCTGTGGTTGTGGTTGTGGTTGTGGATGTGGATGCTGGTGGGAGTGGTTTGTTGTCATTTGTTATTCTTTTATCATTATCAGTATGCGATTACTTCGGAATGGTCGGAAGGTCGGAGTATACTCTTTCCAGTATTCTGCGACTTCTCGTCGGCTTAGCTCCCCTGCACTATTGAATCGGCTGACCACCCGTGCGCATCGTTTCCGGGCGGCCACGAGCTGCGGAGTAAAGGCGTAATAGAGCTCGCCACGCCGCATCCGCGCGAGGTTTTCTTCTTCGTTAATGTCGAGTCGCATCTTGACAAATTGTCCGGTTGTTGTGAGAAGGAATGACTTGGAAAACTGGTCTATATATAGTTGGTTCCTATGTTTGTTTAGGGTTCTGCGCTTTTCCTTTTTGAGTCTGATAGTAGCCGCGGTGGTCCACTGACAAATGACCCGACCAATCATAAAGTACGCTAGACTTGTACTTTCGGGTAATAAATCCATTTGTGTCCTGGAAAAAATGGGCCGCTAGATGCTCAGTGTGGTTTTATCATCGTGCAAAAATCCTGCGTCAACAGTTCTCATGGTATGTAGATCCAAGAAGAAATTGATAATGAACAGAAAGAAGATTCGGATAGCATGACAAGTCTTCTTCCAATCCGTACGCTAGACCGGAAAATGCACTCCCAAAATATATCGCAGAATCAATCGCGTATGCCGGTAAGACTCCTGGTAAAGGACGTGTGGACGAGTGCAAACGTTGCTTAAGGGCCTTGGGACAGCCGTTAACCTTAACATGACACCCAACATGAACTATCAGGATGACTATCAGGATGACCATCAAGGTGATATCCCAGGGTCTTGAGGTCTTTGTCCAGTGGCCTGAGCAATGCCGCCAGGGACAAGACTGGAACAATTTTTGCCCTCATGGCAATCGGGACAAGGGTATCGCTTATTAGATGAGAGGGACGCCAAGCCAATGCATTTTCTGTGTTTCCATGTGTAACATGAGTAGCAACAAACGCCAGCATCCAGATCATCCAAGGAACCGCAACACGGGACCGATGACTCGGAGCGCCGCACTTTGAGGTCGCCAAATTGGGGCACCGAAGAATAGGACCAATTTTCGGTCGCAAATGAGCTGTGACATAGAGATAGGATGTCTCTTGGGCTCAGCTTTTTGAATATCATGTCGAATATCTTAGGAGGCAAATTTACTCCCCATTGTTCCCTATGGGCAAGCGACTCTTTTCAGAAGAATGAAGGTAAGACATGAGTGAGTGCACGAAATTCAGGAAAATAAAAGCCAGGGGGTTCGGGCTTTATTCCGAGATCCCATGCTGCAATTTGTAGGAGAGCAATAACAAGCGCATTGAACAGTCTTGAAGGGTAATGCCATAATGTATGTCCATTGATAAATAAAGTCCGTAAAGAATCGATATTGGGGTTCATTCAGCGGCGTGGATGTTTCAACGTTGATCTCCAAGTCTCCGGAGAAAGTAGGTTGCTCGCACATGGGCTTTACACGTTTCTGTAGCAGAGACTCAAGCGACAGATCCGAGGGTTTGTGAATATCCGCAAGCCCAAGTCGGAAGACTGACGGTTTAGTCCCATCAATCTCTATCCATGCAGCGATTGTTATAGACCCAGTCTCCAAGTCGACTCTGTACACATAACACGAAATCGGATGGCGCGGGTTCGGAAAAGGGACCTCTGTCCATCTCCATTCCCTGGAATCGCCTGTCTCCTCTTAAAGCTTTTCTATATCCCAGAACGTTACTTCATCCCAGGGAGCCCTTGTGGTTCCCACTATGGGACAATAGCGAAACCACTTGCCTAAAACACGCGGTAAGCATACTTCGATTGGCTTTGTCTGGATACGAGAGTACAAATCCTCAATTGATACCCAGGACTTCCAAGCTCCGGCTCGCTTCATTGCCACTGCTAGATGCGCCTGAAAATGCCTCAATGAAATGCAGCTAACGCCCGGGGTCAGTGAAGATTATCTTGGCATGACTCTTAAGGCTTCCCAAGCTCAATACGAACACTGGAATGCCAATCAGAGGAGCCACACAGCCAACACTGAAGTCATAGGTGCTTCCTTTATAACCGAATTTGAGATATTTGTTGACAATAATAGGTTGCTTCGGTCACATGACTTGGTCTATGTCTTTGTTCTTCGACAGCCTCGCGCGTCTTTGGTGTATAAATAGCTGCTTTCTATTAAAGAATCTACTATCAATTAACTGTTCATATAGCTCGCCAGCATAATGTCACGTGCCACATACAGCCACGCGCGACTGGACCGTCACATCACACCCAAGACATCTAGACCCCGGTATGTCCTGAAAGCACCAGAGCGCCAAGTCGCTTTTCGACAGGAGCATATCGCAGAAGATAAAACCAAATTAATCCTCAAACCACACGGCGACGCTCAATCGGAGAATGCATATAAAATCGCACATGAAGAAGGCGCCCCCGCATTCACAGCAACTGGTCGGAAACATAGTGATCGCTCCTGTCGGGAAGTCCGCGACGCCTCGGGTCTGCCTTTATTTGATATCCACAAGAAGCCGCTTTCGAGTCCCTTTAGTTGGGTCGTTACCTTGCCCGGGGGCAAACCCAGTGCGGATGCGGCAATAGCCAGAGCGACGCCCCACTGGAGCTGGGGCAGCATTAATCTGAATTTTCTGTTTCGCAACGGCGCTGCTGTCGAGATGAAAAATGAAGCAGACAAGGAGTTGTCATTGACGGTCAAGAAACATGGAGAGGCCCTGTCATTCTTTGATGTTGTGGATGGTGATAGAAGAATTGCCGATATACGCGAGAGTATCACCCACAATGAGAAATTGGCCTTGAGGAGGGGCTCCCGCGGAGGAAGCCATCGGCCTGCGTTGGACTTGATTATTGCTCCAGGAATGGATATGTCATTGGTAAGACCATGAGCCAACATGTCGATGGTATATCAACTAATCCTGGACTAGGTGGCAGTGATTGCGATCATTGTGTCGGATTGGTTTTTCGGGTCAGACTAAATGGAAGGCTTTGAAAAGCTGTGAATTGAAATAGACTACAAGCGAAACAATATATAATTCAAGGGTTCTTCATGCATCAAAGTATGAACTGTAGCTTCCACGACGTGCCAGTTGCCAGGTTTCTATAACCCGAACACGCGGGATTCCATCGATTAACGAGATTATAAGCCAGACGGTACTAACACCTTAAAGAAAAGGGATTGAGGGGCATTTTCTGATTTATCTCGGCTACGATCATATACCACTTCGCTCGTCATATTGGACCCGCTGCGGGCTGATGGTTCCCCGAGCTTGCATCTGATTCGTCTGATTACTGATCAGGGCCCTAATTCGACCGACTCTGCCAGCGATTATGCTGGCGGTGTGATATTCGGGTCAATTCAAGATTATTTATACTAAGCGAAGTGGTTAATGAGTAGTGCTGTGTTTGATCGGCAATGTATATATATATATATATATAGCCATGGGAACCCAAAGCAAAGACAGAAATATTCATCTACAACCATCCAAATCCATTGAAAATGACAGCAAAACCCTTCAAAGTCATCATCGCCGGCGGCAGCATAGCCGGCCTCTCCTTGGCCCTAATGCTAGAAAAGAATGGCATTGACTTCGTCGTCCTCGAAGCCTACCCGAGCATCGCGCCCCAAGCGGGGGCCAGCATCGGCGTATTGCCCAATGGCCTACGCATCCTCGATCAATTAGGTTGCTGCGATGAAGTGGTTGATATGGCCGAGTATCCTGTGGAAAAGGTGCTCTTTCGGGATTCGGCTGGGCGGCCATTTTGGTCTTTAGAGGATTTCGGGAAGGACATGGTTGATCGGTAGGTTATATATCCAGTCATCTTTGAACTTGTGTTGGAAATCCCGTTTGCTTATGTGTATTTTTGCAGCCATGGGTACCCTATTGTATTTCTCGATCGCCGGATGTTGATCCAGATACTGTACGACAAGATTGAAGATAAGTCCAAGATTTTTACTTCGGAAAGGGTTGTTGCTACCGAGAATGCCCCATCGCATGTCATTGTCACTACGCAGACGGGCAACTCTTATACGGGTGATATTATCGTTGGGGCAGATGGGATTCACTCGACGGTTCGGAAGCAAATGTGGCAGGAAGCTCAGTGGACGGATCCGACATGGATAGATCCATCAGAGGAAAAAGGTATGCATACTCTTTTGTCTTGAGTCCTAAGCCATAACTGATCATTCAAGCCCTCCCGGCAACATACGCGTGTATATTCGGTATATCCAGAGGCGTTCCCGGCATCGAAAAGGGAACCCTCAATTCTGTGCTCAACGAACACACTTCATATTTCGTTCCCAGTGGACCGGGGGACAGAACGTACTGGTTCCTAGTGAGGAATCTGGGTAAGACTATGTATGGATCGGATATCCCCCAGTTCACGAAGCGAGAGGAAGAAGCTATGGTAAAAGAACACTGGGACGACTACGTTACCCCGACAGTGCGGTTCTCTGAGCTCTACGAGCATAAGATCAGCTCGGTGTATACGAGTCTTCCGGAATATGTTTACAAAAAATGGTATTTTCAGCGGATCATGACGATCGGTGATGCCAGCCATAAAGTGAGTACTCAGCGATATCATCATCTCCAACGAGACTAATATCATCCAGTTCGAGCCCATAGCCGGACAAGGCGGCAACAACGCTATTGAAACAGCAGCTTCGCTCACCAATTACCTTATATCGGCCCTGAACTCAAACACCTCGCAGCCCCTCTCAACAGAGCAGATCTCATCTGTCTTTGAAAAAGTGCAAAAGCAACGACATGGCCGTGTCTGGGACCTAGTAAAAGCCTCCCACACACGCCAGCGCCTCGAATGCATGGAAACACCGACGCTCAAGTTCGTCGCCAAATACGTTCTCCCGCTCATCCCGAAGCAGGTCCTGAAGGATAAATGGATACAGACGTACTGTCCGGCGGTTTCGTTAAATATGCTACCTCAGCCTAACCGCCCAGTGCAGATTCCGTATCATGATGAGCTGCTTAGAGCACCAGTATCTCGTGGATGGTTGGGGCTTACGGTATATGCAGCGTACATCAGCCTCGCTTGGCTTGCTTTCCAGCTTTTGTTTGTTGCCATGGAGGGAAATGGTACTCGGGATCTGATTCGTAATGTTATTGTTCGACGTGTGATGACGGAGAAGAAAGTTCCTCTTCGTCAGAACTATACCGGCTTTCAGGGCATTGATCGAATCTTTCAGGTTTTGGTGGCTATGTTTTTCTCGACTGTGACCAGCCCTTCTCCCCAGCAGATCGTGCAGATATTGTACTTTCTCTCTGTGCTGCTACCGTTGGTTACTATTTTCACCATCGAAGGCTTCCGGCCCAAAAATAAATGGACGCTTCTTGCTGTGTATGTGTATCCTAAAACCGTATTCTTACTGACTGCTTAGTGCTAACAATTCAACAGTCCCAGTCTATGGGCAACTCTATGCCAGCTTCGTGGAATCGGATTCATTGCACCGCTATACTTCCTGACAAGTGCCTTTGTTTCTCGAAGTATCGAGTACTATTCGCCACCATCCATGGCCTTGCCTGTACCTACGGCCAAAGCTATACTTCCGGCAGCGATATTCGGCTACATTATCCCGAGCATGTTGTTGTTCTTTCCATATACCGACGCGGATACACGTCAGGTCATCATCGCTTTCTGGCAGCCAGCACCAGTGCTTGTTTCGATCTTAACGGGGCTTTTCTCATATCTTATCAAATTGCAGACCGGGAAACCCAATAATGATGCATCCAAGGAGATAAAAGAGGAAACGGACCTTTCTCATCTAAACACAGTCTACAAAGCAACAGGTGTGATAGCCGCTTGCTTCCACGCTTTCACCGTCATTGACTGTATGGTCTCGAATAACCTCTCATTGAGCGATGCTCTGCTACGAAAAGATTCGTTCGCTCCTGTTTTCGATTTGGCAGACGGTGTTTTTGTATTCTTTCAGAATGACTGTCTGATGAATGCGGTTGCTGTTTTCTTGTGCTGCATGGTTGCCATTTGGGATTTGTACAGGGTGGGACTATCGAATGTTACTTTGCTGGGTGGGCTAGGTGCTGTTGTTGCTGGATTTGGACTGGTTGGTCCTGGAGCAACTGCTGCTGCTGTTTGGTACTGGCGGGAGCATTTATTAGGTGGGAGGAACGGCAGACATTGATGCTGTTCATAGATGGGGTTTAACCGAGACTATAGAACGAGCAGAGCAGGAAGCAGTGTATAGTAGTATAATATGTATTATAGGTCACCAAGGTGATATCAATTAAAAGTCCACCGTACATTCTGCCATATAAAGCTTTCTATATCGCGGCGGCGAAATCCAGCAACGCACCCCAGACATATACAGAGCCGGCTTAGTCCTGAGAGAGTCAGTAATCCTGTTTCCCGGCGAATTTTTTCTAGACTTACCGTTGATAAGGGCCGCCTCATCGAGAACTGCGACCATGTTACTGGGAAGTACTTGTCCAGACAGAACCAGACTAGACTTGCTAGTATATGAAGCGGGATCATAACAACCAACGAGTTGAATGCCCTTATCAACCTGATATCCCTCAACATCTTTCACATCAAACCACTCCTCCTCACTCGGAATCACCCGCACCCCATTCGCCCCCTGAAAGGGAAGTAAATTGTGCATCCCAGACGAAAAGTGCATACCTGCATTCCCAAGACTAATAAACGGAAACCGACAATCGAGTACCGGATTACAAGGACTCGTGCTAAGCACCTGCTCAAAGTAAGCAATGATGTCCTGCCATGGAAGGTATTCCAACACGAGCCCGAATTCGGGCCATGTCTGCGCGTCTGTTACTGTGGGACCGGTAAGGTATCGATGGCCGCTTTTTGCACAGGCATGGAAGAGTCTCTGGGTGAAAGGTGTTGTTGTGTATGGGATTGTCTGGCTGGTTGTAGTGAGGGGTGGGTATATTGCGTTGTCATCATGATTTGGGGCTGTGTTCTGAATTGATGGGAGGATGGAGTTGGTCGAGTTAAAAAATAGGTGCCAGAAGTTTGATATTAATGGTAATTCAGGAGGGTTTTCGTTAGTAGGGCCATGAGTTGATTGACATGGCTCCGAAAGGACTCTGTTAATCTTCCCCTGGAACTCACACCAACGAACAGCAGGAGAAGTAGCTATTTCAGCTCTCTTCAAATGCTCCCCAACCTCATCCTGAAGCAATACAACAGTCTGCATCAATTTAGACTGCGAAAGAAACACATTTTCCTTAACAACAGCATCATGAAAGATGCCCATGACTTGGCCAACTTGATCAACTACATCTTCTAAATGAGCGACGCGTGCTTTCAGCGACTCAAGTTGCGATTGTTGGCGGGATCGATATGCCCTCTGTGCCTCTCGAATTTGCTTACGCCGTTGTTGTGTTTGTTGCTGCCTTGAATTAGCATGCGGGCTTGGAAGAGGTGGCGCGTGGATTACCTCGGAAGTGCTTGCTGAGGACTGGCAGGGCCGGCCTCGTGTGTTTGCTGTCTTTGGAGTACTAGGTGCTTGCGCTTGAAGCATTGTGATATATTTAGTTAATTGACTTTGGTATATCTGTAACGACTTTCGGATGAAATGTTGGATCTTCAGGAGTTATCCAGTAACTTGGTTAACATGCCATTTGATTACTAATCAACACCACCCTGATGCTTGAATGTTTTAACTAGTTGAAGAACCCTGAAAATATCTCCAGCGAAACCCTATAAAACATCTCTCCTATTATAGAAACCCGGCCAACGACAACCTATGGAAGCAGTGCTTAAGCCGACCTCTACTGGCGGAAGAAGTGAATGACCAATCCATCTTACCAGGACCTCGCTTACATGTGAATGGGGAGCGACGCCATGCTGAGACTATCCAGTGACTAGCCACTGCCTTAGGACCTTACTGGGTCACTTTGTGCAGCCCAAATTTTTTTTTTTTCATCGCAATAAGACTTATTGTGGTATCTCCTAGCCTCGCTAGAGGACCGAGATCGATGACCAGTTCGTGTTAACTACTATGCTCGGAAGGATGTCATAGGCACTATTCGGAGTGAATAGAGGAAGAACTCTGATTGAGAAAACTATCTATCGTAAGGCCTATTTATACGCAATCACGAGTATGTGTTAATCTATAGTCGATGGATGCTGGCTGCATAATCCGTAGCCCTCGAGCCTATCATCGTCTAGTCGTCTCAGTCCATGCATATATCCATGCGGCAGTAAGTCGTACGTTCCGGGTAGGCAGGAGGCTCAAGGTCTGATTGGTCAATCGGAACGGCCAACATATCAGATATTTCGGCATATACGGAAGTCAACAGTTCGGCAATGTCGTGTTTGACTACGACTGGCACAGTCAATTCATCTGCAACCGAGTATATGACGCCGAGATAGGAGGACCTACGTACAAGATACGCTTTCTCTGAGCTATAAGGAAACCGTCTTCCTATAGCAATATAACAATGCATTGGAAAGATATAGAGTTCCGGGGCCAGACTGCGATACATGAAACATAATGCACCGCAATTCTCCAACACCTCGTTATGGGCATTCGTTCACCAAAAAGCGCATGAGCCATACTAGGCCCTGGGCAGATATCCCATCGACCTTTTAGCGCTACCGAGAAAACGACCAGGATATCATATTGGGGAGCTTTGAAGAACTTGTGGTCAAACCCAGATTACAAACAACCTGACCCCAGGGATTGATCAGATTCCGCTTGAAATAATCGCCGAGATAAATACAGAACCACAGCCCATGGGTTTGTTGACCTTGCTGACAAGAGGCAGGAATTGCTTTTTGCGAAGCAAGAATTTGCTTCAGAGAAGACATTGATTTAAGCAGATTCTGCATACTTCGCGCCAGAGCACAGAAAACGCCGGTAGCCCTGTAAACCATTGTCGCTTTAAATTCAATGGGGAAAGCTGGAAGAACTGCGTTCCTTGCAGTAGTGCATATTTTCATTTACCCTACTTTTCAATATAACGGACCTGGCACCCGTTCACTTTATCCATTAAGTCAAATTGAGACTCGGAGATCAGAAGTTCTGGAGTGCCGGATGCTCCAGCAATCTCTCCGCGAATTGAACACCGCCAAATCGTGGCTAACTTGCTCAATCAAGCAAAGAGAAAACAATGCAAATACGTTAAGCACTTTGGTAGCACAATTTGCTCAACTGTCTTTTCAAAGAGCGGAGAGTCTCTCTCGGGAGATATTCGAGACATTAACCACCGATAATGAATTTCCCTGGGGCATCTTCCACAATTGTTTTTAGACTGCTATGAAGAACAGGGGGCATGGGAAGCCACATTCTCTTTCGCATTTACGATTTCTATAGTGAAAACAGGACCAGAAGGAGGCCCTCTACCACAGAGAAACTTCTACCCGAACGGCAAAATATCGCTACATGTGTTGCGCCAACGCTTGATCAGATTAAGCCGCAAGGAAGCCTGCTGTATGAATCATACTTCGAGCAGTCATGAGCACATGTGTCGCTGCACGGGGGGAAGATTTCACACGAGCCAGTTTCAATAGTTCATGGTACAGTCATTCGACCATCACAATCTCGAGTCACCAACCTATACCTGAGGATCAACTTGATGTCGTTTTGTTGATGCGCATACCTTGTTTGTTCAAGGTGAATCCGAATAAGAGATGTGACTACCGCTAGCAAACTAGAATTACTTTGATATCGGGGCAAAAAAATTAAAAAAAATTAAAAAAAAAAAAAAAAAAAAAAACCACCGCCTCTTCCAAAGTGGTCTGACATTATCGACCCGGCCAGAGTAATCTATGGCCCCAGGAACTGGCACGCCCCAGGCGGCTATTGCAGTGCCAGTGCAGAGCTCATACGCCAGTATACGGATTATCTTTTCATGGATTGCTCTTAGTAGCTGTCACAGTGTATTCCAACAGGCATTTCGTTGGAATAAATCCAAAGAGTCTAAAATTGTTAGGGCGAGATAATGGTTTAACAACGCCGGAATACAGACGCCATATCATTTCTATTCTGGGAAGATAGTCTTGGCATATGCAGAATGTGGGTCAGATGGGGAAAGATAACTTTATCAGTGTCTATCAAATCTACCAGGGGTCAATGTACATGTACGGATATGTATGCACTGTTTTATATCCAGTAGACAGTTCTATCCATCCAGCAAATGTGCATAACAAAGTCCAACATCGGAAACGTATGTGGTATATAATATGGCATGTACAGTATTTGGTCACATCATATCACATCCCTTGACAAGCCCATAGAAAAGAAAAAAAAGAAAAGAAGAAAAGACTGTACGCCTGACCGATGCATGCAAGAAAGAAAAGTGGGAATGGAAATCCAATGCAATGCCCTCACTGACGAAAATGGTGACTTGAACACGCAAGGCAAATTGGAAAAATGGACAAGAGAAGAAAAGAGAGCTGGGCTGATTCAAGATGGACCAAAGATCATGGTCAATGGTAGCTGTTTTGCCATATCGCGGGGAATGTACAGATTCAAGTGCCGTGCGCAGCTCCCATCATGTCGCGCATTCGCCGCCATGGCCCTCCATTTGATGGTTGTGACGATGTGGAAGATCCGTTGGGCGCCGGAGCAGCACGAATGGGCAGAGTGGTGTTGTGAAGCGCGGCCTGAGATCGCATGTTACTCGAACTGGCAGACCGTGACCCCATCTGCGGCCTGGCAGGAACATCTAATGTCGCTGTTGGGCTATCATGAGAACTATAAATTGGACGACTGGCACGAGGGTCGTCATCTCTTGTCACCAGAGGCACTTGGTCGAGCGGGGAACGGGTTGATCGAGATGAATGGGAGGAAGAGTTGGACGGAGCATAGTTGTACCGGCTGGGTGCGTCGTTGATGCCCAGCGGAATCTCGCCAGAAGGTGGAGTGGGACGCGGTTGGCGAGAAGGCTGGCTGGGAGCTGGTTTAGGCGGCGGGGCAGGGCGGGAGCTCTCCTTTTTCTTTTCCTTTTCCTTCTCCCTTGCCTTCTCCTTCTTCTCCTTCTCCTTTTCTTTATCCTTGAGAGACTTTGGCGGCGCAGGTCCGAGATATGACTTTCGGTTGTGTCGCTCCATCATGCTGACGGCCCATTCTTCGAGGTCGACGGGGGTTCGCTTGGCGGCTTGTAGGAACGCATCCCGGTCCTAAACGAAAATAAGTGTTAGCCTTCTGCTTGTTCCTTTTCTAAGTATAGGGCTTGCTCGTACATAAAGTTCCCGAGGCGTTGGTCGCTCATCTGACTTCTTCATGAGACATTTGGCGACAAACTCATGCAAAATAGGAGGGAAAGCATCGCTTTTAGGAAGCTTGGGCGCGGGTTCATGAACAATCTGTTGCAGAAGATCCAGAATACCCATGGGCCCAGCACTAGCACGGTTTCCTGCGGCCGTATCCGTTGAATCGAAGGGGAATCGACCAACAGCCAGCTCCATCACCGACAATCCCACACTCCAGACATCTGAACGCACAGTGTAAGCACCACCTTGGATACGCTCCGGTGCCATGTAGGTCGAGGTGCCAACAAATGTATCTGCGATGGAATTGACGGTTTCCGTTGCGACACCAAAGTCGCAGAGCTTGATGTTGCCGCGCGAATTGACAAGGATGTTGGACGGTTTGATATCACGATGCATAATACGGTGGGTTTCGTAGAGATACACCAAGCCAGCCAGAACCGATTCGGTGATTTTTCCTAGCACGTCAACGCGAACTGGGCCAAAGTCTTTGGCGACACTATCGAGAGAACTGTTTTCGCACGCAATAGCAGTCAGAGAAGGTCTAGCGCTTGCAGCCACGTCGCAGAAACTCACCCGCAATCCATGTACTCCATACACAGCACAATATCCCTCGCTTCATTTTGGAAGGCTCCGTAAAAGGTGACAATGTTGGAAGAATTGCAGTCGTGTCCAACTTGCAGCTCCCGCAAGATCTGCTTCCTTACTTTCTCCTTGGCATCCACGCGGATAATCTAGACATGCAAAATCAAGTGTCAACGATATGGCGCAGAGCGCAATTGCAAAGCGCAATAACTCATACCTTTCGAGCCATGACGACCTTGGTAGAGGCGTGCATGACCTTGGATACAGTTCCACCATTACCGGCGCCCAGTTCCTTCAGCACGACCAAATCCTCACTCCGGAGATCCAACCGAAATTCCAGACCAATCTCCAAGGTATCCGTCCGGGTTTCTGAGTTCCCAGCAGCGCCGGGGGCCTGAGCATCGCCATCTGCGGGGGTTTCGGGTTTGGGGGCGGCATTCAGGGCGAGGCCTTTGACATTCTTGCGCCTCAGCGTTCGGGGTTTGAATGAATCGGCCATGTTGGCGACAAAGCGCTCTGTCGCGGGACAGAGGAGGGGCGGAGAAACGAAAAGGGGGAAAGTAAGAAAAGAAGGACGAAAATCGACCAGGAAGAAGGACGAAAGGAGATGGGAGAAGATGAATAACAGTTAAGTGATAATAACCCCGGAGAGCGGGCGCGCCCGATGATAGATCGTGGGACGGAGGGGCAGCGCTGGACCACGGATGGAGTAGTCAATCGCTGGGGAAAGTGGCCCCGAGAAGAAATC